TTCTTTCTTTCTTTCTTTCTTTCTTTCTTTCTTTCTTTCTTTCTTTCTTTCTTTCTTTCTTTCATACTTACTTCTTTCTTTTTTCTTGTAGGTGGAGAGAATCAGTCCATACTCTTCACGTAAGTGTTTGTCTCATTTTATTTTTCCCCTCCGTGAAGTTTCAGTGGAAAGTAGACACCTATATTTCATTGAGAGTAGAACTTAAATTTATTACCTTTGACTTGTTTAATCTTCAGATACAAAATGCATTTCAGGTACTCTGCAAGTAGTCATAACACTTCAGTGAGTTCTGTAAATATAGTTTAAGGAAATCAGCCTCCATCATTTAAAGAGACTCCTTCCTTAAAACTATTTTGTGCAAGCAGGTTTAGTTCCTTCTCAGGGAAGGGGCTTCCAGTCTAGCAAATGATCAACTTCAAAGTTCTCTATGCTGGCTAATTAAGCAGAGAAGCTCTATTAACAGCTGTAGAGTATGCCCACGAAACAGATAACTTGCTGCTGTGAGTAGCCATGGCACAGTACATATAGTGATATATAGTGTGCCTTTGGAGGATACCAAAAGAGGGCAAAGAGGACCTCAGAATGCCTTATTGAAGATTCATTTTGGGTGCACTGGATGGGCATGCTAGTGTGAGCAGGTGGCTGAGACCCAAGGGGTTATGATGTGCTCAAGTCTGTGGTCTTCCTTTGCACTGATGATGGTATGTTGTGTAATTGACCCTCTGTTGGTTTCTGTTATCTTAAAAGGGATCATAGGTTTTAGATTGTAGAGCTAAGTGGCTAGTTCAAATTCAAATCTATGCTCTTTGCAAATAGCATGGACTGGCTTCTGAATTTCATGTACCTAAAGGCAGGCTTGAGCGAATGTATTTGACTATCCAAGGGAAAGGAGAAAACCAAAGCACAGCTTCCTGGTGAAAAAAATGACAGGTCATTTTCTAAGACAGAGGTTGGATAGGATCAGACTTAGCTAACTTTCATGACATTGATCATCAGAAGCAGTTAACCATTTTTCTCCACTTCAAATCACAGAGGAGAATCTGGTGCTGGAAAGACAGTGAACACCAAACTGACGATTCAGTATTTTGCCACCGTGGCAGCTCTAAGTGAGACCAAGAAAAAGCCGGTGAGTGTCTATAACATCTGAACGGTGAGGTGGCCTCATCTACTGAGCCATGGAGACTTTCCTTTGACAAGCTATGGGGAACAAGGAGGAGGAGGGAGCCATAGAACAATTAGCAAAACTGTACTTTTTCTCATTTACTTTTACTTTTCTCTTTTAGTGACAAAATATCAGATACTGAAACTTAAGAAAGGCAGGGCTTATCCTGGCATTCCATTTGTGGATTTATACAGTCCAGCATGATGCAGAAGCAACAGAGGCAGGAGCAGGAGGCTGGCTAGTCACATTGTGTCATTGTAACCATACTCAGAAACCAGGAGACCAACAGGAGGTGGAGCCAAGCTAAGGCTATCAAACATTAAGGTCACCAGTGGTTCAGGTTGATCAGGAAAGCTCCACCTCCCGAAGGATCTACAGGAGTGCCACCAGTTTGGGATCAAGTTTTTAAACACGTGAGCCTACAGGGACATTTCACCTTTAAACCACCACAAAAATATTGAAATGTCTTGTTTTTCATCCTTTCTTTACTGCCTGAGAGGATCATCAGAGCATTCTAAATCAAACCAAAAGCGTGCATCACATACTCTTAGATATCCTTCCAAGAACGTTTGGTTGGCCCTTCTGATCAACATACCTTCAGGATCCAAACTTTGCACCAAGTCACCACAACCTTCAATGTCCTCTTCTGATATTTCACATACACACACACACACACACACACACACACACACACACACACACACACACACACGATGGCTTCCTTTTCTCTGAACTCCTTTATCAGATCCCATGCCCAACAGAAAAACCCTTAACTTTAACCATGCAACATTTTCTATAAATGTTACCTTCTTTATTATTTTTTTAACCATGGTCTCCTAATTTCATTTCTTGTTTTTGTAATAAAAGACCTTCACTAAAGTAACTTAAGGGAGAAAGGGTTTATTTGGCTCATAATTCTAGTTATAGTTATTTCAAAGAAATCAAGGTGGCAGGCACTTGAATTTGCTAGTCACATGACATACATTGTCAAGAAAACAGTGAATTAATGTATGTATGCTAATGCTCTTCTCACTCCCACTTTTCCGTGCAGTTCATGATCTAGTCCATGAACTGCTACATGAAATGGTGCTACTACATGTGAGGTGGGTCTTCCCATCTCAATAACGCAGCTTAGGAAAATCAAACAAATCTAGACAATCACTCATTGAAACTCCCTTTCCAGGTAGTTCTAGGTTGCATTAGATGAACAGTTAATATCAGCCATCACACTTGATAGCTTTTAATTCAGCTTTAGCTGTAAAGTGAGCATTCATAGTAATTTGGAAGTCATTCTTCCATGCAAAGTAAAACTAGGTAGTGTTAAGTGGTACCCAGAACCATTTGTAACCACACGAAACTGTTAACACCTCTCATCAGTCCCTGTCTGATATTGTCACTTTGTATTTTCAATTCAATGCTGGGTATCAACAGCTTCTTCTGCTGTAACAAGTAGGAGCTATACCAAAATGTAGACTCCCTTTGCTCAGATTTTAAACTATAAAACGTTTGCATTCCCATCACCCCATCCCTGAAGTTGGTTGATAGCTGCAAGCATCCTTGAACTGTTTTTTCCTACATAACAATTGTTTCAGTGTGCATTTTAGTTTTGTTGTTGTTTGGTGTGGACTAATTGGTTTTATCTTAATTGAGTCTTATGATGTCACATAATGTAACATAACAACACAACTTAACCTGTACAACAGGTCTATGGAAATCCTTGCTTATATAGCCTTTTATAATTCTTTGGAAGACAATAGATACATATTATTGAGGTCAAAACAATATGTATACATTGTATATTCTTGAACACCACATACTATATGATTAAACCTATGAAACAGGTCTTTGTGGATGAATTTATAAAAGCAATGCAGCTCTGAATTGATGAGGAAGCAGCTGGTCTTTTAGGATTACTTTGTGTAAACAGCCCATATTCTTGAATAGGCAAAATTCAAATTCAAGATCAATACTCTTACTAGTCACTGCTTGGTGTAACCCTCTAGATTACCTAGAATTAGTGTAAGGAAAGTATAAAATTAATAATGGCAAGAAACTAATGTATTATCCTAAGATGAATTTCTAGTTCTTTTCTGTTTGTCAATAAACATTTTCTTTATTCACTCAGACTCACACAAAAAACATTACAAACTAATGACGACCTAAAAGTTTTATTAGGAGAAAATATATGAAATAGTTATCTTTAATCCTTCCATTTTTTGGAATCTCAGTTTCCAAATAGTATTTTATCACATTTGAAAACTATAGGCCGCTAGTTATTTCGGCAGCAGTGAAGCTGCTTTTGGGGAGTTTGCTTCAGTGTGAAATCCTGTTAAACTTTATTCAGCTGTACTTCTCTTCTGTGCTTTTAGGGGATTTCAGAAGATCAAATTGTACAAACGAATCCTGTCTTAGAAGCATTTGGAAATGCCAAAACTCTGAGAAACGACAACTCTTCTCGTTTTGTAAGTAGTGCGATAACATCTCAGAACCTATCATTTTTAGGCTATCATAAAATTTGTGCCCGAGCACATTGGTAACAGAATTCTAGAACAAGGTTTTTGATCAAATTATATCATGTTGTGACATTTCTCAAAAGAGTTTTACCAGATATGGCTGAGACAATTAAAACTTCTTATTTCTATGTATTTTCTATTTGAAAGATTCCATTCATAAGGGATGTAGTTATCTTAACACACATCTCTTTACCTTCACTGTAGGGCAGCTCATCCAGCAAGGTATCATAATGCTTCCTATATTCTTATATTTTAGAGATTTGAAATTGTTTCTCCTTAATTTCCTATATACTGAAGTCAATTTAGTAGATCTTTCCTAATTCTCTTAATTATTCTCTCTGCTCTTGTTTATGAACTCCTTTTCCTGCATATTTAATGGGAATTTTTTTTAATATATTGAACAAGGTACCTCAATGTGGTTTTTTGATAACTAGAAATCCCATGATGGAGGAAAACATTTGGATTTAGAAATCAAGCTTTATAAGTCCATTTTGTTCCAAGAATGAGGGCCAGGGAGCCCCTGTAAAAGTTAAAGAAAACTGAAGAATGCTTCATGTTTGAATATCTAAGCATAACTAAATAATAGACTCAGGCTAATTGCCTAGTTTCTGACCAAAGCCTAGTGGTACGACATTCCTGTTTATATTGATTTGAATACACTTGTACATTAAACAATTGCTATTTTGAAGATTTGTTAAAATATTGGTTCATGTTTTATTAAATATGAAAGACAGTAATATAGAAAAAGAAGAGAAGAGAAAAATGTAAAGGAAAGAGTAAGGTCTGGGGACATAGCTAAATGGTGAATTGCCTGGCATGTGTGAAATTCCAGGATGAGTCCCAGGAGAGAGAGACAGAGAGTGAGACACAGAAAAAGGGGGAATAAGAAAGGAAATAAAATGAAAGAAAGAGAAGGGAAGGGGAGGGGAGGAAATTAAAGAAAAAATAAGAAGCAGAGACAAAGAAGATGGATAAAGATGGAGGGATAGACAGGAAGAAGCAGACAAAAGTAAAAGATTTTGATAAATGGAAGGAAAAAGACAAAACAACCCACCAAAAATGCAATAAAAATTTAAAAATTGAGATAGCTTTTAAAAAATATTACTAGGTATGCATGCATCTATACTGGTTTCCCATATACATGTGTATATATAGGCATGTGTGTGTGTGTGTGTGTGTGTGTGTGTGTGTGTGTGTGTGTGTGTGTGTGTGAGCACGCGTGCATGCGTGCGTGCGTATGTACACATAGGCATGTGTATGATTGTGTAGCTGCCATTGTACTCTGCTTTCTAATATACTAGCTCAGTCCCCCTGTTGTGGTCACTCGTCTTCCCTGCTGGAATAATGTTTTGCTGTGGTGCTTCCTGGCAGGGGAGGACCTCACCAACCCATTTTTTTTCTCCCACATTCTCATCCCATAAACTGGCTGCCACTGTATCTGGCATTCTGACATAGGTACTGTCAGCACTGAGCAGCCTTTATGCCTTGCTGGATTCTCCTTTTAGGTTTCAATTAAGAAAGAAGAGAGTGGAAAATCACAGTGTTTTTGAGACATAAGCCAGACACAAGCCCCTTGGTCTACTGAGCACACATGAAACAAACCCCTAGCCTTTTGTCTATCTCTCAGTCTTGGTGTATGTCCCCTTTTCTCTTACTTCCTAAACTACAACAAAAGAGGCTTGCTTTTGATTTCAAAATACTTCAAATGTCCCTTTGTTAGAGCTCTCGAGTAGCTATGTACCATCTAGAACATTTCACAATTCTGAGGACCGTGTTTATTCTTGTTATTAGGTGTCTAATTCCTCAGGAGTTCCTTAGATCATGGTGGATAGTCACTGAATACTGGATGAGTGAGTGAGCATGCTGAGAAGATTCTACAATCGTCCTTTTCAAATAAGAGCACTGAGATTCACACAGTTTCTACAGTGCATATGAAAACACACAGGCAGGAACTGGCAGATATGGGCCTGGACACAGTCAGGACTGCTGTAGTCTTGGTAATCAGTGTCGCTCCCTCTAGACCAGTGGTTCTCAACCTTCCTAATGCTGTGACCCTTTAATACAGTTCCTCATGTTATAGTGACCCCCTCAAACATAAAATTATTTTCACTGCTACTTCATAACTGTAATTTTTCTTCTGTTATGAATTGTAATGTAAATATCTGATGTGCAGGATATCTGATATGTGACCCCCATGAGGGGGTCGTTCAACCCCAAAAGGATTATGATCCACAGGTTGAGAACTGCTGCTCTAGACATTATCTTATCCTTCTCATCTCAATACCATCTTACATTTTATTTTTTTCAATCGTTGGAGTATATAGTCACTTTGAGGATGATGTAATCAATGAAGCCTTTGCAATTGTTCAGAAAGATTGGATGGGACACTGCGTTCTGTTTCTACCTAGGGAAAACTCATCAGGATGCATTTTGGTTCAAGAGGCATGCTGTCATCTGCAGATATCCAGATCTGTAAGTAACCATTTCACTATCTGGCTGTTTTCTTCTAAGTTTTGTAAGACTGTTCAAGCATGAATCTTTATTCGTTCTTGATCCTTCTAGATTTTCTAGAAAAATCTCGGGTGGTTTATCAGCAGCCTGGAGAGAGGAACTATCATATCTTTTATCAGATTCTGTCTGGAAAACAAGAACTTCAGGGTAAGTGTTAGACTGGAGCCCACACATACTCTAGAAAAGGACAAACAGAGTCCAAGGGAGAGAGAGTACTGTTTTAGTAAGTCTCTTAGTAGTTTTAGACCACAGTTTATTCATCCTACAGTAGGAAACTTAGGCACTTATAGAACTAATGGGGGTAGAATAAATGGCAACATTGTTTTTTTAATTTGGCATTAAAAGCAAGTAGAGAATTTACAGTGAATAAAATGCCTTAGCAAGGTTAAGTGTGTGTGTGTGTGTGTGTGTGTGTGTGTGTGTGTGTGTGTGTGTGTGTGTCTGCAGTCGATGTAAGAGCAGTTCTTTGCCCAACAGGGCATTTTTTTTTTTTTTTTTTTTTTTTTTTTTGCCAAGAAGAGGACAAACTCCATATGTCCATATGGAGTGTCTTTGATGCCCAACATCTTCTCAGGAGTAGATCGATGCTGCCAGGAGCAATCATGTCTCATGTCAACAGAATTCTCAGTTATTAAAACATTTAAAGGCCATATTTTCTAGGTCTATGAAGTGTTTGAAGATTACCTATCCACTCAACATGTATTTCTGTATACGTAGAAAACCTAACTAACATAACTATAAATATGACAAGCACAGGTGACTATTAACCTGTAATTCTTATCAACCTAAATAACTTAAAGACTAAGGCTTCACATTATGAAAATAAACAATCTATAAACAGATGTATAGTATAGAGATAACAACCTTGAAGTTGTGACAATATACAAAAATATCTTAATCAGAGGTAGAAATGTATAGTGCAATATAATAACAATATCCTTAATATGTATCAATATACAAAATATTCTACACAGAGGTAGAATATACATACAGTGTGACAAATATAATTTTACATTTGTATCAATATACAAAATATTTCAAACAGGAGTAAGAACATATGTACAATACGACACATATAGTTTTTATTTGTATCAATATACAAATTATCTTAAATAGGAATCGAAAAATAATTTTGTACTTATATCAGTATACAAGAAACCATACCAGTGCAAATTATCCAAAGTTGATAGTTACTGATTTAGTTTACAAGTAGATACAATAATCTACCTTATTATCCTATCATATCTATTCTCCCTTTTTCTTACCCAAAAGAAAATCCTGAGTCTAAACTTTATTGTTCCACCCCTAACTCTGTTACAACTTATAACCAATCCCTGACAGATGACAATTATCCATAACCCTGAGAAAACAAAACCTTTTGGGAGAGGAGTGTAGTTTTCTTAAAATTGTTTCCTGCTGTCTAGAGGGTGATGGTATTTATGTGGGATTCTGTAAGAAAACTAAAACAATGGTTAATTCTCATAAGGACTAGCTGTAACGTTTGTAGCCAGTCTCAGAGTAATGGGTAAAGCTTATCCGAAGTTCTGGCTAGAGGTATAAGATGATGGATTATCTTAGTTAGCCACCTTGGAACTGTCCTGAACAGTTTGTAGTCCAGAGCCGATCTTTGTGTGTTATTTTACTGGCTCAATGGCATCATTATGAACCAAGTAGAATCATTGTTGTGGGGCCCCATCTTCCTTCTGGAGACTTCAGAGATCATTGTTAGGAAAATTTATTGTTCACTGTGGAAAACTTAAACATTATTAATACCAAAATGGAAAGTTTAAATTTTAGGATAGCACTATATCTAAAGAAAGGTTCTGCTGGGTGGTGGTGGTGCATGAATTTAATCCCAGCACTCGGGAGGCAGAGGCAGGCAGATCTCTGTGAGTTCAAGGCCAGCCTGGGCTACAGAGTGAGTTCCAGGAAAGGCGCAAAGCTACACAGAGAAACCCTGTCTCAAAAAAACAAAAAAAAGGGGGGAAAGGTTCCAAAGAGTCAAGAATAAGTATGGGGGGTGGGGGCTAAAAAAAAAAGAATGAGTATGAGGAGAAATAGAATTTTGACAATAGTCCCTAGATTTTTGTTTTTTTCTGTCCGTGGCTCTTCTGATATGAGACAGAAACTCTTAATATTTTCTTTTAACAACATGCTTGGATTTAGAGAAGGAGAGAGCCATGCTCCAACTCCAAAGCTAGCTTTGATTTTTAATTGAGTTGAGAGTACAACTTTTCTGAGAAGTAAAGAAATATAGATGTTTAGGTAGTGAGATTTTTACCCTGCAGAGAATATTGGTACCAATAGGTCTGAGTTTTTCTTTGCTTGTAAATTTTTTTTCTGGATAGCCTTCCCTTCTGCTTTAGATGTCTAGATGTCCAAGGTCTTTTGACTTCTTGAAGATTGGTATTTCTGTTTTCATGTAAAGTCAAAAAAAGAACCCTGCCCTGACCCTTGTTTGGTGAGTTTTCCTTATAACTTGTAGAACTGTCACATTGGTGGATGAGCCATCATTTCTCCTTATTAAGAGGTTTGTCCTGTTTGAATCAAATCTTTATTAATTTTGATGGTATCCTCTAGCTTTTCTTCTCCTGTGGAAACAAAAGCAAAACCCCTTCCCCAATGTAGCACATATCCTGAGGTCAACACATCTTTAAAGTACACAGGCTGATTTAACTTAGTAAATTTTTCTATTATCCAATGTCTCTCTGCAGCTGTTGTTCCTTTCTCATCAGCATTAAGAAAATTCAAGGTTAATAAGGCATTATGCAATCTGTCTTTGGGGGTTTTGGTTCCTCCTTTCTGTTTATTTAGTATTTCTTTTGAAGTACAATTAAATCTTTCTACAACCTCTTGTCCTGTAGGATTGTGTGGTATATCTGTAATATGCTTTATATTATAATATAAAAAAATCATTTCATTTTACTGGAGACATATGCTGGAGCATTGTCAATCTTAATTTGTATAGGTATACCCATTATGGCCATGAATTCAAATAGGTGTGTAATTACAGAATCAGCCTTTTCAGAACTCAAAACATTTGCCCATTGAAATCCTGAAAGCATATCTATTGTATGTTGTACACATTTTAATTTTCCAAATTCTGCAAAATGAAACACATCCATTTGCCAAATTTTATTTCTTTAGGACTACTTCCTGTCGGTAGTGGAGTTTGGTTATAGAAGGAACAAGTAGGACATTTCTTTACAATTTCCTTGGCTTGTTGCTGAGTGATTGCTATTGACATGGTATTTTTTTAATGAAATTCTGAGGCCTCCAGCACACTTTCTATTAATTTGTCAGTTTCATCATTACCTTGTGTGAGAGGACCTGGCAGACCCATATGGGATCTGATATATATGATTCCTATTTCTGATTATTTCCTGTAATTGTATAAGTACTGAACTTAATTCTGTTTTATCAGGAATAAATTCAGCAGTTTTAATATTTAAAACAACTCTTTCTGCATATTGAGAGTCAGTAACTATATTAAGAGGTTCTGTAAAGTCCATTAGTACCATAAAAATGGTATACAGTTCTACCTTTTGTACAGAATTGTAGGGGCTTTGAACTACTTTACAGACTAGTTGAGTCCTTTCTCACATTGTATGGAGAATATCAATCTGTGGATTTTTAATCAATGTTCCTAAGAGAGATTGGTTTGTAATTCTCTTTCTTTGTTGCATCTTGCATTTTCATATCAGGGTGACTGTGGCCTCATCGAAAGAATTTGGCAATGTTCCTTCTGTTTCTATTTTGTGGAATAATTTGAGAAGTATTGGTGTTAGTTCTTCTTTGAAAGTCTGGTAGGATTCTGTTCCAAACCTATCTGGCCCTGGGCCGTTTTTGGCTAGGAGGCTTTTAATGGCAGCTTCTATTTCCTTGGGGGTTATAGGTCTATTTAAATCATTCACCTTGTCTTAATTTAACTTTAGTAAATGGTATCTATCAAAAAATTGGTCCATTTCTCTTAGATTTTCCAATTTTGTGGAGTACAGTTTTTGAAGTATGACCTAATGGTTCTCTAGATTTCCTCGGAGTCTATTGTTATGTCCCCCTTTTTATTTCTGATTTTACTAATTTGGATATTCTCTTTTAGTTAGTTTGGATAAGGGTTTATCTATTTTGTTGGTTTTCTTGAAGAACCGACTCTGTAATATGATTCTTTCTATTGTTCTCTTTGTTTCTATTTTAATGATTTCAGCCCTCAGCTTGATTATTTCCTGCCATCTACTCCTCTTAAGTATGTCTGCTTCTTGTTCTAGAGCTTTTAGGTATGCTGTTTAGTCATTAGTATAAGATCTCTCTAAATTCTTCAAGAAGGCACTTAGTGCTATGAACTTTTCCCTTAGCACCACTTTCATTGTGTCCCATAACTTTGGATATGTTATACATTTATTTTCATTGAATTCTAGGAAGTCTTTAACTTTTTTCTTTATTTCTGCCTTGACACAGTGTACCACTGCTGTGAGGACCAGCCTCCAGCATTATAGTGCTTTACGGGGATCCAATGGAGTCAGTAAACGAGGACTTTTCTGAGGGAGTAAGGAAAAAGATACATACATTCTTGATGATTTCCTTCTGACTTCTTTTTTATTCTTCTCCTTAATTTTTCCTCTACATCTTTCCTGGTGTTTTCCTTCTCTCATTCTTGATGCTTTCCTAACTTTATTTTTTCCCTTAGAGCTTGTATACTCCAGTAGAATCTTTCAAGTAATATAAAAATTACAATGTGGTCACATTCTATTTTTCAAGTGAATGATTACAATGAATACAGGTGAAACCAGCATGTTTTTTATATCCCTTACATGATTAAACATTTTACATTTTACAGGTGAAAAACAAGCTGTCCCAAGAACCCATGTACATTCATACCCAAGCAACTTGTTATAGCTTAACAGAGTATAAGAAAACAAGGTATTTTTCTTATCCAGTTCTTTTACTGTCAGGCTGCATTTTGCAGTTACATAGAAAGAATCAATCACTTTATTATTTATTTTGAAAAGTGATCTTATAAGATATCTTTGAAGAATCACAAATCTAAACTTTTATATGTGAAAAAGAACCAGTCAGTTCTATTTCAAATCCTCAGAGTGCATACCTACTCATCAACAGTTTTTTAATATCAGGAAGCTGAGGGTAGTAATGGGCACAAGGAATTAATCATCACCTTTGGTCACCAACCCATCTTAGCAAAAAAGGCACATCAGCTAATGATGACTGGGCTGCTTTGTTTTTGTTCTCTGACCTTAATGAATCCCTTACTCAGCTGTGTGCCTTTCTAAAACTTCAGATTGTCTTCCTGGGTTTTTCACATCAAAGCTTTTTGACAAAAGCATCTTAGTCTAACTTTAGTTATTTTCAAAGCTTTGTTTCAGCAATGCTGTACTCCAAAACCTGTGAACACATTCCCCAACATTAAGGTTAAACGAATTTAAGCTATCTGGGCTACTGGGACTAAATTGTTTTTCTTAATCATTAACCTAAGCCATAGTTTATATGGTTCCTCAATAGAAACTCATATATTCTAGCTATGTGACAACTCCTTGTTTTATTTTATTTTTTTTTATCCTCTGTAGCCTCTGCTTAATCAGAGGCAGGGGCAACATTTTATCCCTCCTTTACCTATGTTAATTTTCCCACTAATCTAACCTCTATCATAATCCCTTATTATATTTATTAAAGACCCCCAATCATCAAAATTCTATTTAAACTAACACTATTGTTGTATAAAATCATTGCTTCGATTAAACAGTACAGCTTAGGAGAAACCATCTTCATAATAGTCCACAGGCAAAAATGCCCAGTACAATGGGATATTTCCAAGAGCATTAAGAGCAGTGGGGATTTCCCCATGCCCACTCACACCATGCCAGATACCAGAAAAAAAAATGGCTGTGCCAAATCTGCAAAGACACAATGGTAGCAAGAAACATTCTGGGGCTGAGGCTCTGAGGCCCTTGTCTATCTGAGATTCATCCATCAGGGTTTTGTGTCCTGGTGGGCTGATAACCTGAAGTCAGTTGCCATCTGCTACTCCTCTGGCATGGCCACCAGCACCAGTGGTAACTCAGTAGAGAATTGTTCAGCTTCCATGAGTTTGTAGACTTTCTGTTGTTTCTGTTGTTGATATCCAGCTTTAATCCATGGTGGTCTGATAGGATACAGGGGGTTAGTTCAAATTTTTTTTGTATCTATTGATACTTACTTTGTGGCCAAATATATAGTTTACTGGAATTTGTTTTCTTTTATGTATACAAATTCATTTCTTTAGTTTTTTATCATGGTGTTCTAAAGATTCTGAATATTCCATTTATAAGTTTTAGAAACTTATCAGCGCTCTTGATTAAATGCTATAAGTTCTGTACCCTTGTTTTCAAGCTCTAATATTTTTATCTTTTATTTCACTTGTTCAGTTGCTGGCACTTCAGTTGAATATTTTTATACTTATTGATGATTTTTGATCATATTATTGATGATAATTTCCAGATTCATTTCAGTTTGAATTTTCTCCACTATCTTTAGTATTTCTATCTCTTGCATTTTCTTGAACTTCAGTCAGGAGTTTATTCATGTCTTTTTAAAGTTATTTCAGGTGTTTATTGATGTCCTCTTTGAATTCCTTGAACTCTTTGAAAACATTGGTAATCATTCTTTTGTATTTTGTGTCTTAAGTTTTTTTCTCAGTTGTTCTCATTGGGGACAATTATTACTGTATTTATAGCTTGGGAGAGAGACACTTTGACTTTTCAAAAATTATTATTGCTGTGTTTTTGCAGTGGGAACTTGTCATCTGGGTTAGGTTATTATTAGTTGTGTCTTTTAATGAGTTTTTCATTTACTAGGTTAAAGTCTCCCGGTGGAGTGGCAGTAGGCTAGTCCTGATAGGTAGATCCAATGGTAATTGGTCTCTTGTTAAGTGGTGTGAGCCATTGGAGAGTATCCTGAGAAGGAAGAGCCATGTGGACCCTTGGGAGCATGGTGAGGGGTGGCACTGAGGGGGCTAGTTCTCTTCCTGAGTTTGGCCAGAAGTATGGTCTGGGTGCCTTGAGAGGGTCCCAGAAAGGAGGAGCAAAGCCTAGGGTGAAAATGAGTTGGGTCTCTTACAGAGGTTTAGCCACAGGTAGAGTTCATGCCACCTGGAGAATCTGGAGAGTCTGAGTAAAGGCAGGTGGGATTTTGGGCACCCTATGGAGGAGAGTGCCCTGTGTGGTATCCGTGCCTATGCTAGTTCAGGGGAAAGCAGGCAGGGTTTGGGGATGTTCTAGGTACAAAGAAGAAGCCTTACCTAGCAGCAGCTTCAGAATTGGATCCTGGGAAAATCTGGAAGGTGTTGGGCAGCTTAGGAAGCATGAAGTGAACGTTCTGCCTGGCACTGCAGCCTGTATAGATTCTGTCAAAGGTAGGCAGGCCTCTGGGTGACTTTAGAATGACTAAGGAGAAGAGCATACCCAGAGGCATACAGCCCTAGGAAAGCCGGGTACATGGGTAACTTTAGAACGAATAAGGAAGAGAGCCTACCCAGAGGCATACAGCCCCAGGAAAGCCTGGTACATGAGTAACTTTAGAACGAATAAGGAAGAGAGCCTACCCAGAGGCATACAGCCCCAGGAAAGCCTGGTAGCTGGGTAACTTTAGGATGAGTAAGGAGAAGAGTCTACCCAGAGGCATACAGCCTAGGAAAGCCTGGTGGGAAGCTGGCAGTTGTGTGGCCTAGGGAGGAAGTTGATTTGCTTTGAGTTACTTTATAAAAATTTAAAAATATGAAACTTTCATTTTATTTTTAAATTTTTATAAAATGGCTTTCATGAGGGCTGGAAGCATGGCTCATCCATAAAAGGCTAGGCTTAAAACAAAAGTAGCTTTAAAGGAGAATCATACATCTACAGTTAACTGAATGTTTGAAATACACAGTTGCTATTGGTATATATATAACTATATTTGTTTGTATGTATATGTAAGAAGCCATTTCCACAAGTACCACATACAGCCTTTGAAAAATACTCCACAGGGTCTTTTACAGTTGCTCTTTCCTTTCCCCTTTCATTGTTGAAGCCCTTCTACCCCCATCCATCTGTAAGCATGATAATTAGGTTGCATTTTCTATAATTTTATAATACATAATCATCATACACTACATGTTCTTTTGGTCTGGCTGAATTCAGCCAGCATAGTTATTTTGAGACTCTTTAATGTTCCAGTTTCTTTCTTTATTTGATGAATAATAACTTAATCTATAGATAAATGACAGTTTTATTAACACATTCAACATTCAGCATGCTTCCACGTAGAGTTCCTATGAGCATTCCTGTAAGCCAGTTTCTTTGTCTCAGAGATTTGCATTTCTATAAAGCAGATCTTCTCTTCAAGGGGTAATAAGCAGAAAGATAAGACCAGACTTAAAAAATAAAAATAAAAACTTCGCTGAGGTCGAGTGTTAGGCAGCAGTCTGCCATGTTGACAGCTGTCTTAGCTTTGTCCTGCATTATGTTTCCCAACAAAATAAAACATGTCAGGACTCATAAACCCATCAGCCATTCAGTGGTCACACTGTATCTGATTGATGGACCCCTTGAATGAAGGACTCAGCCTCCCGTGAGTGAGGATTTGAAGTGACAGGACTAAGTGGCTAGCGTTCTCTGGGTGCTGACCCCAGAGAACTGGTTGTTTCCTAGCCAAGAAACTCGGGTATGTTATCCTTACAATTTCACAGAGCATTTTTACCCTCTGACCCTCTGTCACAAATGTAGGCCAAGTGTGCACATCATCTACAATCTCCTGCCAACCACCACCACTTTGTGCTGCTGCAATTGGGCCTGCTTTTGGATTTGGCCAGCCTGGTGCTCTCTTGGGAGGCCTTGACACATGACTGACAAGTTAACTGGGGAAACTATTGATTGCAGATGTTTGGGTCTAGAATATAGAATTGATTATGGCTTGTTTACAAGTATCCCATGGACTGTAAGAGTAACCTGAATTTTGGCCAATTGCCTCCTCAGGTGTTGTACATTTATTTCTCTAAGCTGTCTGACCAGAATCTTTCCATTATAGACATGCTCCTGGTGTCCACAAATCCCTCTGACTTTCACATTTGCTCCTGTGGAGTGGTTGCTGTGGAGAGCTTCGATGATGCTGGAGAATTTCTGGCCACAGAAGTAAGGCTTGGTAGTTGTAGAAGTTAACACTTGTGAAGGCAATGAGCAATGAAAACCAACATCCTAATACCTCATCTTGAGGTCTGGAGACCTGACATTGCTCCCCTTGATGATGGAGGCTGCTTCTCCCCAAAGTTTACCAATAGTAACAGGACATATTTTCAATAGAGGGGCATTATAGCTGTAGAAAAGTAGACAGAATTTTCAACTTAATAGCAAACTGTTGTAGTTACTGTGTATCTCTAAGGTCTTTACTCTGTTTCTATCTATATGGGGTTGCTTTGGTATTGTTGTTTATTTATAATTATACTGCAAGATCATGTGGTCCAGAGTTCGATTTTTCAATTTCATTTTATAAGCATTTGAAGTGGAAAGTCAAAAATAATTTTGTCAGGCATTTGTCCTATTGCTTACTGAACTATTCTCCTGTTGTGAAATCCCAAGACCTTTGCCTCTCTTTACTCTGAATGTCTTAGAAGGTTAGTACTCTTTTTGTGTATTATATTCACTCAGTTTTACATTCCTATAGATGAAGTTATTGAAAAAGGATATAGACTCCTCCACCCTTGTCTTTAAAAGCATTCTAAATTAGTTACTATAATGACTACATTCTTCTGAGACCACATACAGTAGTCGTAGGATGCAGTGATGTGGTGACATTGTTACAGGGTTAGAAAATACCTAGAGACCACCTGAACTCTATCCAGTTGTAATTAGCTGAATTTTAATTAAGCTGCAGCTGTCCTCAGTCCCCATGGTTGTATTTGGGACTGAGGCCCAGCTTAAAGGGGAGGAGGTCTTTTAAAGGCAAAGTTCACAGTTTCTTCATTTTTTTTTTTTGCACTATTTACAGATATGTGAGGAACTGCCTCACTCCCCCCATACACAGAGATAATCAAGGTTACATAAGCCAGAGCAAGTGGTTAATCATTTTACAATAGTCACACATCTGAGGAGGGGGTGAGGAGTCAGGGTTGTCCAATTAACCATTTGACGAAATCAGGTCACAGACAGTTACTGAAATGGGTGCTTAGTACAAAACAGAGTTTTCCTTAGCAACAGATGTTCTTTTCTTAACACCCCCTTTCACCAATTTCTAAAATTAGCAGGCTCTGGAAAAAGACCAGTTGAACATTTAGGACATGCCACCCAGCAGATTCAGGGATAATTTCCATAATCATGCAAGACAAAATAATGAACTTCCTGTAGCCAGTTAGTGGACCTGTTCCTGGAAGGGAAGAGAGAGAAAAAGGGTGCTGACGGAAATTTCTGAAGCCACTGGACGCTAAAGAATTCAAGACACCATAATTCCCTTCTAAAGGACTGAGCAGACTGCTGGTGGCCAAGCGCCAACAAGACCTATTTGTGTTTCTTTGAGCCCAGCTATCACTCAAGGCCCACAGTGCTCTGTCTCTTATTGCTGGAGCCCACAACCTGGTGTGACATGTGACATACAGTAGGGTGAGGTACCTACTGGAGCCATCAGGAAAAAGAAGACACAGCTAGCCACCTGTTTCTCTTCTTACAGAAAGCCATAGACATCTTGGGATTTCTTCCTGATGAGAAGTTTGGGTGCTATAAGGTCATTGGAGCCATCATGCACATGGGGAACCTGAAATTTAGACAGAATCCCAGAGAAGAGCAACTGGAGGCGGATGGCACAGAAAGTAAGGCTTCCTTTACAAAGACACAGCTCTTAATTCTGTTCAGACCTCTGCTTCCTGGTCTGCCTTCTTTTCCCTGCATGCACTGGATGTCTTGTTTTTGTTTTTTATTTTTCAGAGAATGTTGAAAATAATCATCACCATTTTTCCTTAATTACTGTTATTTATTTGTTTTTTTCATGCTGAGGCTTGAATTTGGGGCTTCATCCCTACTAGACAAGCCTTCTATACCCTGTACCCAGCCCTTTATTATTGTTGCTAGAAAGTGTTATCTCAATCAACATTCTATAGTATCTTCTTCTCATAGAATAAGAAGCATTTCTCAGTTAATTACTGGTAATGTCAGTGGATTTTTTTAGGGCTTTTGTGAAATATACTTTTAGCTAATGGACTATTAAGAAAATGACTGGAGCAAATTTCCACAAAATGTATCAAATGGTATAAGTGGGGATGGTTTAAACAAAGATGCTTGAAAGTCCAAAGGGAAACTGACTCCATCCTGTCAAAAGTATGAGGCTTCAAGTTCTGTTATTTTTTTCCATTAAAATAAAAAGTCAGAATTCCAGCATGAACAAGAAAGGGGCTCCTGAGGCCCTGCCCTTAGTGAGGGTCATTGACAGTTGATGGTTTCTGAGGGAAGGAGACTCCCTTTTCTTTGGAGATGCAGCTCCTAGTAAGTAAAGTGGACTTGGGGTATTTTAATAATAATGAAAATAAAAAAGAGGGAAATGGGTCTTTGAGTCTCAATGGACTTGGAGGGAGATTAATAAGATCAAAATATATACAGGTATGAAAATTCCAAAGAGTAAATAAAAATACTGTGAAAACAATGTTCTTAATTGATTACAAAAACATGGTAGACATTATTATAATCAGTCATCTCTCTGTAAAAGTGGGAAATCACAATTATAAAAAAAAGATAGAATAGCTATTGCAATGATTGCATTTAATTTAAAAGTCCATGTAAAAGAGTAACTATATCCATTTAATTATTTCAATGGACAGAAGTTTTAGTTTTATATTTTAATTGTGATAATATTTATGTGAAAATTGCTTACTTTAGCTAGAAGTGTGTATCTCTCTGAAATTAAGTACATTCATATTGTTCTTGTCTGACTCCAGAATTTTTTATTTATTGAAAACTGAATCATGTTAAGCTTTTCTTCCTTTATTCTCAGCCCCTGAAAACCATAGTTGCATTTTCTAGCTCCACGAATTTGACTAGTCTAGGTATTTCATGTAAATGGAACCACCTAACATTTATGTTTGTATCTGGTTTATTTCACTAAGAACCATATCTTCAAGCTTGCTATGTATTGTAATATGTATCAGAATTTCATTCCTTCTAAAGGTTTATTAATATTCAGTTGTATGTATTTATATTATCTTGTTTATCCATTCATCAGTTGATGTACATTTGGGTTGCTTCCACTATTCAGCTGTTCTGAATGAATGCTAGTATAAGAGTATCAGTTTCATTCCCTGCATTTAATTCTTTTGTGTATCTATCCATAAGCAGAATTACTGGATTAAATGGTAATTCTATGCTGTAGTTTTGAGGAGCAGTCAAATGGTTTCCACAGTGGCTGCACCGTTTTATAATGCCATACACAAAACATGAAAGTTCCCATTCAAATCTGGGCCAGCACTCGTCTTGCTTTTGTTTTTATAGTAACCATTCTCTGGTAGACATATAGTAGTATCTCACTATAGTTTTGGTTTGCATTTACCTCCTGATTAATGATGTTGAGCATCATTTTGTATGTGTATTTGACATTTGTATATCTTTTTCTTAGAAATGTCTGCTAAGGATCTCTTTTCATTCTGTGACTGGGTTGGGTTCCTTTTATTGTTTAACCCAGTACCAGGTATATTTTTATTCTCAAGGATACATGGGAACAAGAGATCATCCTGGCTCTGAGAGATCTATGTCAAACAAATATGTATCAACTGGTAATTCAGTGAAAACACAACAGCATGAAAGGATAAGGTATATGAGAATACAAATGGGTTTGGGGTAGATATACTGATCAGGTGGTCCCCTCAGAAATGATAGCTTTTGAACACAGGTATAGATGAAACAGAGTAAAAGGATATGAAGATTATAGATCTTCATATATCATAGCACATATGCTTTCATATGAACTTCTTTTGCTCTGTTGCTTTCCCTATGCTTTGAGACAAAGAGGTAGTTGTTGTTATGGTTATTAGTTTCTGAGATTGGATTCTTACCACATAACTCTGGTTAAATTTTAACTCATGGCTCAAGAGTCCTCCTGTTTGAGCCTTCCAAGAAATTGGGACTGTGTGCCATAGAGCCTAGTAAGGGAAAAGCTGCTTTTGTCTCTTCTATTTTGTTTTATTTTAAGTATCATTATTTATCTGGATGTATTAATTGATACAATTCTAGGTTTTATTATGACATTTTCATGTTTTTGAAGAGTTGTTTTTGTTATAGAAGCCAGGCATATTTACTAATAGATGAGAAAACAGTGATATTGGAAATAAGTAATCCCATCCTCACTTTCAGGTAATGCATTTTTAAGTTCTTGCCAGGTGTCTTCATCCTCCCCACCTGTACCTGTCTCAGGACTGCAAAAACACTTTCTACCTAAAGATAAGCTTTGTGCATGTTTTCCCCAATGCTAAAGACTATCTCTAAATTTATTTTATCCATAAATAAGATTAATTCAAGTTCTTAGTATGTCATCGTACCTTAAAGGTTAAAAACAAAATAATACCTATTATTCTAGGGTTACTTTTTAACCATTTCAGAGAGCACTGAGTATCCAAAGACGCACCTTGGATTTATTCCAAAGATTTACACTATACATCACATGTACACTTCACCTTTTTTTTTTTTTTTTGGTTTTTCGAGACAGGGTTTCTCTATGTAGCTTTGCGCCTTTCCTGGAACTCACTTGGTAGCCCAGGCTGGCCTCGAACTCACAGAGATCCGCCTGCCTCTGCCTCCCAAGTGCTGGGATTAAAGGCGTGTGCCACCACCGCCCGGCTAACACTTCACTTTTTTAATGAGAAGGAAGAGCAGAGAGCAAAAAAGAAAAAAAATACAATACTAACACACATAAATATGAATTATTTCACTTGCATTAAAAATTTAAACAAAAATGAGAAGTACACTTCTATGCATAAGTGCCCATCTGATCTTCTTAAATTTCTATAAACATAGTACTATTTTTAAAAACCCAATTTCACCATTGTCCATGGTAGGTTCATATAGTTCTTACAACTCCCAATCATCTTCCTCAAGCCTTTGTGAGGGAAGCCCTGTCACAGACTGTGTCAATCTTCATTTCTTTTTCATTTCATTTCCAGTATATAAGCATATCCTGTCTTGTTATTTTTATTATTAGTTATGGGCATTTTTTCTATGTTTTGACTACTATGATAATATTACTAGAAATACTATGTACTTCTTTTTGTATAAATGTCTTTGTTTCTCCTAGATTCATATGCAAGAGTGAAATTGGTAGGTCCTACAGTGACTCTGTGTTTAACCTCTAAGAAATTGTCAGACTGTTTTCTGTAATGACCATGCCAACTATGAATGTCAACATCTGCACCAAAACCTGTTATTACCTTTCAATGAGAGCCACTCTAAGGGACCATTAAGGGTTGTTTCAATGTGGTTTGGTTTGTATCTGTAAGAAGTAGATTATTTCATTTAGCATTCAACCATCTATTTTAAAGCTGTAATCTATATTTTTACATTGATTGAAACATACAGCCCTTCTATCCTCTAGGCAGTGTGTTTGGCTACAATAAAATGATTTCCACAGTATTCTCCACCATCTTTTCCTCTTTTCCTTCCCTGCTTCTTGACATTCTTCCTTTCTTGTGTGATCAGATGCTGATAAAGCTGCTTCTCTCATGGGCATTAACTCTTCTGAGTTGGTAAAGAGCCTGATCTATCCTAGAATCAAAGTTGGTAATGAGTATGTTACCAGAAGTCAAAATGTACAACAGGTAAGGTAACATTTGGGGGAACTGTCATTGTGTGATCATGCAATTATTTCATACATGTCATATTTATGTGTTTTCAACACCTGACAATGTTAATGATAATTTTTATGAAAGCAGTAAAGAGAGCTACTGAGGTATTTCTTATGTTATTATGAAAGACATTATAGTAGTAAGGGACTACGCTGAATATTTTGACAATTCTCCCTTAGGTAACACTTCACTTGTGATCTATACCTTGGTTGTCCAGCTAAGAAAATTTCAGAACTGTAGAGGATTGAAGTGAATTATCTTGGAGAACTGATATCCCTTTATGTACTAGCTTCCTTAGCATAACTGACATGGGGTTACATTAGTGGAGAATAGGTTTCAGTATGTGTGTTGAAGATAGGATTTGAAGGAACAAGAAATTGAAAACAGACATAAAATGCAGAAAGCTATGTTGATTTAGTTTGATATAAATGACAAATGTTTGGGATGCCTGACCTTCAGACTTTTCTGTATGCAGCAAATATGTCCATGGTTGCTGGATACTAAGATAATTTAAGTTTACCAGTACATTTCAGAATAATTTATGTCTGCTATGTATATTAATCAGTGTGATACAGGCCATAGGGCAGCAACACATATACACCAAAATCTCAGTGGTAGCAAAGTATTTGTTCTCTTACTCAAACCAAATCCAGTACTTATTATACAGCATTCTTGTGTTGTGTGCTTATGCTACCTGGGACACACAGCCTGTAACATTGCGGACAGGGAGAGAAAGTCATTTGTGAAGGGAAGTTCTCCCTCAACTTGGGACAGTGATGCTAAGACTTTGATTTATATCCACTGATGAGAATTTGTCATATTTTCTTGTCACGATGGGAAAGGTGATGAATATGGTCTTTCTAGAAAGAGAAAATGGTACTGTGAAGTCATAACTTTGTCTCTGCCACACATAAAATATAAACACAGACACAGACACAGACACACACACACACACACACACACACACACACACACACACACACACACACCAGGTTTTGGTGACATATGGGAGGCATTCAGGTAGCAGGAGCTGGAGAATCAGGATTCAAGGTCATCTTTGGATGAATGAGTTTGAGGCTAGTTTGGGCTATATAAAATTCTGTCTCTACTCCCCTCCCCCCAAAAAAGAAAAAACAAACACAATAACAAAAACCCACTACATATAGTTGATGGACTGGATATGTGAAAGCCATAACAGGCTTGACCATTGTGGATTTACCTTGAGCCTCACTGAGAAAATTAGGGCAATGAACAATGGCACAGTTTACAAGGGAGGCAAATGTCTCATTTACTTTGAACTACCAATGCCTTCTTTTTTTTTTAAATCTATTTATTTATTATATGTACAGTGTTCTGTCTGCATGTATGCCTGTGTGCCAGAAGAGAACACCAGATCTCCTTATAGATAGCTATGAGCCACCATGTGATTGCTGGGAATTGAACTTAGAACCTCTGGAAGAGCAGCCAGTGCTCTTAACCTCTGAGCCACCTCTCCAGTCCATACCAATCCCTTCTTTAATTTAAGTCTAGTAGTGAAGATGATGGTTCTGTAAATGTCTGTTTAACTTGTGCCTCTGGGGGATGTACCTCAGTGGTAGAACACTTGCCTAGCGCTCTCTCTCTCTCTCTCTCTCTCTCTCTCTCTCTCTCTCTCTCTCTCTCTCTCTCTCTCACACACACACACACACACACACACACACACACACACACACACACACAATAGAAATGCTTATCTCTTTCTCAGTTTACAATATTTGGAAGTAATTGCACCAGGAATATTTATGATGTTTTATTTGAGGAAACATTTAAAGTACCCTTGGTGACCTTTAAGGTCATGGATTATGCCTGAGTCATTCTAGTACACCAGCATCTAGCACAGTACTCTGCAACCACCAGGTGCTTTATAGGTACTAAAACTGTACAACGTGGGTGGAAGTTGAGTCATATCATAAGTATTTGTCAGTGTTATTGTTTCTTAGACACTCACTGTAACATGGATGTGTGATATGCCATGACTATAGAATAGGGTCTTTCTTCTTATAAAACCAATGAGCCTGTATGATGATTGTAATTTATAATCCAAGTCTTAAATTAGTGCATTACAGGGGATTAATTTGCAACTACAGCCTTCAATAGAACTAGTTAAGAAAGCTAATGTGTTATTTTTCAACATTAAAAAGCAAACTATCTCATCTAATTGGGAACAGTAAAAAGAATTTTCTTAGCCTTACTCTGACAGGTGAATCTGCATCAGAATGATTTTCCCTGAGGCCATTCTTCATTCAGGAAGGCAATGACCACACTGAGAACAAAAATAATAAAGAGTTGGAGGTCAAGACTAGACAGAGCCTCCAAGAACATTATTGGGATGGAAGTACTGTATCCCGGGGAAAGTGAGTCAGCTGCTAAGGGTCATGCAGTTTATCAATCAGCAGCATCAGCAACAGCAAAGTAGGTTGTAGGGATTATAGATTTTAATATTCAATATTAATAGTTTAAAAACTTTATTGGACACAGTGCATTAAAAGAAAGATATATCCTGACACTTATTAAATGGTGAGAAAGACTTTATTCAGGACAGTTGTAATAGGAAATAATGCAACAGGAAAGAGACTTTGCACTCAACTCTACATACAGCCATGGCAAGTAGGAATTTATAGGCCAAGAAGAGGGAAGGGGAGTGAGTGATGGCACATTTCTAAGAGAAGACATCAAGAAAAAAGGACCACTGGTGACCTGGATTAATAGGCTTCTTGCTAGGACAAGTTAAGAATTTACACATGAAACGGGGAATGCGATATATCATCATGTACCAAGGGCAGGAGAGTTTTCATGATGACATAAGAGCATTTTTCTTGTAACAGGCCTGGGTAAATGGGAATAGTATTACTATACAGAATCAGTACATCTAGGGTTTGGCCTGAGTCCAGACATCTTCTAAACATTCCAGATGATGCTGATACTGATAGCAGGTCTTTGTACTACAATGAACAAGTCTTTCTAGCACAGCATAAAACCATATCCTGGGATATTAATAGGAATATGATTTCGTTCACCTGTACTTTTGATAAGGAGGCACTGTGCTAACTTTCTTCTACTCTACTTTCCTCTGTTTCTCCAACCCTTTCTTGCTTGTTTTCTTTTTTCCTCATTATATTCAGCATAATTTTAAAACCATAGAAGATTAATAAACATATACTGATTTGACTAGAGGAAGGTGTTTGCAGATAGACAATGCTCAGGATTAAAGCATTTTTTAAAAGAAAAGGAACATTTTAAATATTTACTTTTGTTGTTGATGCGTATGAGTCTGTATGTGGGTGTGAGCATGTGTGAGACTAGAAGAAGGTATTGGATCCCCTGGAACTGGAGTTACAAGAAGTTGTGAACTATCTGGCCTGAGGGCTGGAAGAGCAGCAAGAGCTTACAACACTGAGCTACCTCACCACATATTTATGAAGAAAAAATTTAAATATGATTTCTAGGTAACCTATGCTGTTGGTGCACTGTCTAAGTCAATCTACGAAAGGCTGTTTAAGTGGCTAGTGGCACGCATGAACCAGGTCCTGGATGCCAAGCTCTCAAGCCACTTCTTCATAGCTGTTCTTGACATCACTGGTTTTGAAATACTTGATGTAAGTATACGTGGTAAGAGTAAAATCAACGACTATTTCAAGGAGATTAGAAAATTTGGGTTGTGAAATGTAACCATGGGAAAACATGATCAAAGCATGTTGAGAATCATTTTACCTAATATCAATGAATGTGGCAGGGGGAGAATCTCGCAGGGACCCATTCCTAGACAATGAACTACAGGCAACTAATGAGTGCTCAGAGAAAGAGAAGTAGTCTCTCCCTTATAGGTTATCCAATTCAGAGTGGTCAGCCCTGAAACCACACATCCACACAACAAAACCAGACTCAGCAGACTGTATGAATATATTTGTGCATACACACACACACACACACACACACACACACACACACACACACACACGTAACAGTAACAATTAAAGAAAAAGAGGTTATCAACTTGAGAGTGGGGATGCATGGAAAAAGTTGGAGGGAGGAAAGGGAGGGGGAAGGTTGATATAATTCTATTTTAATTTAAAAAAGGAAACAAAACCAAACAAATAAATGAAATCGTTATACCTAAATCTAAGGACTACTTTGATTAGAAGAGCTGCAATTAGTAATAATTATTATTACTACAATTAGTGTTGTATTTAATTTCTTAATCCATATTTGAATCAAAGTAAATAGAGATCTTTTGTGACTTTTTGAATCATAATTCCATTGAGTATTATTTCATTACAATACTCATTAGCTTGTAGATATATCTGGAGGACTCAGGAACTTAGCTGAGCACTGTTACTGCTTGGGTATATTTGCCATCATGTGATGATGATTATGATTTCTTATTAATATGTACTATTGCAAGTGGATTTCTACCTTATTTTTAATTCTCTTTCTACCTATTCATAGTACAATAGTCTTGAGCAACTCTGCATTAATTTTACCAATGAAAAGTTGCAACAGTTTTTCAATCAGCACATGTTTATTCTGGAGCAAGAAGAATACAAGAAAGAAGGTCTTGACTGGATATCCATTGACTATGGTCTGGATTTGCAAGCCTGCATAGATCTCGTTGAGAAGGTATGGTATATATATTTATTCTCCTTGTCCATTTTGTTTATGAACTACCACAGCTTTCTATGCTGATCCATCTCAGGATGTAGCTTCTGCCAGCAGATGGGGAATGTATCTGGAAGGCTCTGTCCATCTTTTCCTGATGGTCTTTGTGTGCAGGATCCGTGGCATCCCAGCTAAACTCTCCTGTTAGCCTCCCTACTCCATCATGTGTAACACAGTCTGTCTGCACATTTGCAGCTTGTGTGTGATCTCCATTGTTAAAATGCAAGGGCACTTGTTGAAAATCAAATGGCCAAGCTCTGTCTTTCTCAAGGGAAAACCAGAACTGAAAATGTGAACTCTGCAGCACCTGTCTAATTAATGATGAGCACACATACCAGGGGAAGTTTAAGAAAATTTGGCAAATTAGCATACAGATAAACAACTGATCTAAATCCTTAGGGCTGGTACCTAGCAGAACATTGTTTGTTCATTTAATTCAACCAGTACCAGCTATTCTAAATAATTTGTGAAAGTATTCCGTGGCTTATTAACAAATCAGCTATAGTATATGGTTTCAGAATTTTGTGAGGCCCCCTACTCTGCTCTGTGTTCTGGGATGGACTAATGGGGTTTGGTAGAAGGTCTTGTGTTCTATTTTCTGCTGCTTTTTTCTATAAAAACAAGCATTGTCTCATGGTAATAACTCTGAGCATTTTCTTGGTTTTATCAGGTATTGAAGTATATTTTGGAGACAAGTCTGAGCAGGCCAAAGCCTTTGCCTTTCTGAAAGTCCTTTAGTTTCCTTAACATTTGATTTCACCAACACTGTCAGGAAGGACGTAGGGTAACTGACCCTTTACTGTTTCATGCAGATTATTTTTCTAAGGTTTTAGACAAAAATAAATCCTATTATTCTTAAAAGGAACAAACATCACATTGATTTTAGTTTGGTCAGTGAACTTCCTGATGGGGAGGGCAGGTTGAATAAAAAAAATGGATTCCTGATATCACTATTATCTTGTTAAAATAATAGTAATAAACTAACTGTTTTGTGGTAAATTGTGTGTGTGTGTGTCCATCTTCTGATTAGAAATAAAACAGAGCTTCAGCTCAGCAAAGGGTAAGGTTTAACTTTTGGGAACTGTCACTTCTAACACTTGCTTCTACTGCCTATAATGAGACACAATTTTCAAATAGAAAGAAGGGATATAGGGATTGTTCACTCTGTGGAAGGTCAATGCTATTGACTTTTATTTGACCTGAGGTTATTGCTTCATTTATTCCAGCCTTGAGTTTTCCATGTTATACAGTAGCAATGCCGCTGTAATTTCCTGTTATATTTTCTACTGGTTTGATAAAATGTGAAAAAAATATTGACCAGGTGATAGAAAGCAAAGATAAGTCTTTAACTACTTCAAAGAACTCAGGTCAGAGTAATAGCAAGAATGCTCTTGAAAAATAAAATGTTTTGAAAAGATCCAGTATATTGATTTGGGTTCTATAGAGAAAATTGTTTATATTAATGATAAAACTTAATTCTTTATACAGAATGAATCATGAGAAGTTTTTAATTCAAAGTAACTACAATACCTCAATATATAGAAACCACATTGTGTCATACTTACTTGGCATATTTATGGGGGAAAGAATTTTCTTTTTCTTCCCATTTCATTCCCCTGTGTTTTCAGAGATAGGTAAACCATGCTTGCCATTTATACCAACTTGAGCCTTTCGTCTGTGAACCTGAGGTAATGAGTTCTGTGCTGTGAGGGTTAAGCAACACAATGTGGAGACAAACAGGATCTTTCTTTGTCCTTGCTTTGGGAGTTTAGCTTCACCATCAGCTGGGTAGTCTATGACCACCTCAGGCCCAGCTTTAGTTCCTCAGAACCATCATGGGACCCTATGCCAATTCTGGGCACAAAATGGATATTTCCTTATTCCTTTGTGACTCTTGTCTGGCCTCCCCCTCCTAGAAGGTTTCCGGGTCCTGTGTTTTCCACCACAACACAAACCAACCACACTATCCACAGGGTGTTGCTCAATATTGGTTTATTAAATAAATGGATGATATTACAGTTATTTTAAAGTACATCAAAGTATCTTTTAAAATACAAATTTCTGATTTACCCTTTCCTGTGTTTGGTATTATAGGTCAAGCAATTAGCTGGACTTCAAAAAGTGGTTTTCAAAAAGTTTCATGTTTTTAAGATTACAAAAATGTAATCATACTGAATTTTAATATATTTTTAACATCAAGCTTAACCATTCATTTCTTTCTCCAAGCTCACAGTGAGCTTCTTCCATATAAATGCTGTGAATAAATCTATTATAGGATTAACTCACTCTTGTTTTATTATTGAAATATTTTAGTTCGAACTTAATTTACTTACTAAAGTATTATCATACAATTACATATTTGTGGCTATGTTTAAACCTTTGTTAAAGAGATTATCCCTGTTATTTCTTGACAAATAGCCAAAATTTTATATTTAAGAACTTGTTACTTTTTCGTTATATCTTTAAAAGCTCTAGCATTATTCCATGGGATTAGAATAAATTTTTAGAATTATATTGGCCTCAAGAGAAAATTCACTTCAGTTCTTACCACCATACTAGATGTTGAGTGTAAAATGTGTTACATGGTGGATCATATCATTAGTCTCATATGCCTGACTTGGTCTGAATTTACATTTTCTCTTACATTTGCCTACTTGCCTGTTCATTAATTCTTTGAAAGTTTTGTATGATATGTTTTGATCATATTTACCCCTCATCCAGCTCCTCCCAGATTCACCCTCCTTCTCTACCCACCCCACTTTCAACTTTGTGTTTTTTGTTTCTTTAATCTTTCAAGAGCAATATGTGCTGCTCAACTATTCTTGAATGTTGTGGGATATTTGTACGCTGTGTGAAGATGTGTCACTGTGATTGGTTTAATAAAGTGCTGAATGGCCAATAGCTAAGCAGGAAGAGTTTAGGCAGGACTTCTGGGAATAGAGAGACTGGGAAAAAGAAAGGTAGAGTCACCAGCCAGCCAGAAAGGAAACAGGAAGTGCAAGATGAAAGAGAGGTAATGCCACGTGGCGGAATGTAGATTAATATAAATGAGTTAATTTAAGTTATAAGAGCTGGTGGGACAAACCTAAGCTAAGGCCAAGCTTTCAAAATTAATAATATGTCTCCATGTTGTTTTTTGGGAGCTGGTGGCCCAAAGGAAAACCCATCTCTATACACCCTTAGAGCAAACTGTCTCTCCCTCTTCCAATAGCTAATAATGTCAATAGCACCATGGCTAGGGATGGATTAGCTTTTGGAGTGAGATAAGTTTTGGTGATTTCTATATAGTGATATGCTGTCAGACAACAGCTTTCCATATCAGAAGACAATTTTAACAAATATTCCAAAAAAATTCTAAAATATCTGAAACCCTAGTAACATCTCAGCATTAAATAAATATTGCAGTCTCCCAAGGGTAGTTCTTTAGTTGTGCTAATTTTGCTATTTTAGTATGAAATAATTGATATTAGCATGTAGTTATATCTTGTATTCCTGCAATTTTGTTAATGCATAGCTTCATGCTTTTTTACAGTTTGTCTATTGTTCCCCAGCCATGTGGCTTATGTTCCAGAATTAAAATTTTTACATGTTGGAATATGTATCAATGTTAACCTATCAATTAATTACTTACTAGAAATTTCCTGAGGACTTAGACTAAGAGAATACAGTCTTAAAAATCATCATCTTGCCACTCATGGAACTCCTTTTATAATTGGAAAGATGTCTTTAAACCAAGGCTGTTTTTCACTAAATAGATAAATCTAAGTTCAATGACTTGTCTGGATTCTGTCCTCCTCACCCTGTTGCTGAGACAAGGATCTCTGACCCAGGTTATGTGGAAGGATGAACATGTGGCTTCTAACAATGAGCAGAGGAGCTCAGCAACTTATTTGTCATGGTGTGCATATTTTGCTCTTATTTCTGGGATTTGATGCTTCATACCACTTGAAGCCAGATGAGGACTACTCCCAGAACAGAATGAGTAAGTAGGAGCTAAAGGGGGCAGGCTCTGAGGCAATAGGATGACTCTGAATTTTTGCAGGAGGATGGAATGGGCGTGTCTAAATTATTTCACTGCTCACAGAAGATAGAAACCCAGGCCTATCTCCTATGGGGTGTGTGTGGGGGGTAGTTTGCTAAGGGATCTAATCAGAATGTCCAGTGGAAGAGGAACTTAGGATTGGCATACCAAAGTCCCTCTTGGTTTTCCCCAGCTGCCAAGGTACACAATGATCACACAGCAATGTGCAGATAGATGATCAACCTATAACCAGTAGAAATCTCAAACACTGGGCAGAAGCAAAGGAATTGTAAGTCTAACAAGTGTAAAAGGTCTTTTTAAAAATAAGAGACACAGACAAAGAAAGGTCCAGAGCAGCCAGAAAGCCAGAGGTTGACTGTGTCTGCATGGATCTATAACAGCCTGCCAGGAAAGGAGTAATGTTTAGGCTATATCTTTAGAAATGGGTGTTATTTCTGCAAATAAAGATAGCTAGTGAGATGATGGCAGGATGGGCAAGCACCAACACACAGAGACAGGAAATGTCATATCCGTACTAGGAACCTCCAATATTCAGAAAGAAATACCTGAGGGGAAAGAGGGAACAGACTACCAAAGGCTTTTTGATGAATTTATTGCTTATTTTAAGCAATGGGAGTAAGTTGGGTTCTGAGCTGGGCAGTGGGGAAAACAGAGCAGCTGAGATTTAATCTGCTCTAAGTCAAGGCTGGTAGGAAGGCTCCAGAGAAATAAGAGGTCCTGAACTAGGGCAGCACACATGCTGGCAATAAGTCAGTGATTGTGAAGAAAGGAAGGCAGGATTCATGATTCTTAAAAGGGAGAATTCATAGTACAAATGATCTGGTCAGAGCATCTGATTCAAACCATTTACAGTGAAATATAGGTGTAATAGAATTTATTGTCAACTTGATGCCTCAAAGCGGACTGTGTGGAATTATCTAGACTAAGGTTAACCTCTGAGGATGTCTGTAAGGGACTCTCTTGACTAGGTTAACTGATATGGAAAGATCCAGCTTAAGTGTGGGTGGGACCATTCTCTGAGTTGGGGATTCAGGGTTGTCTGAAATGGAAAGAGTAAGCTGAGAGCTAGCATGCACTCAATGCTCTCTACTTCTTGACTTTGTGAGTAATGTTAAAAGCTGTCTTGAGCTCCCGCTGCTGTAACTTCTCTACAATGATGGACTGGGCCCTGGAACCCCTTATCCCCTAAGTTGCTTTTATCAGGGTGTTTTATTACAGCAACAGGAAAAGACTCTAAGACAATAGTGCAAGATGTTATGGGACAGCAATAATTATCCCTTTCCAATGCATTTGGAAGTTATTTGGTGGAGAGCTCCATAGTCACTGGAAGTTTACACCTCCAGAGAAATTGAGAAATAAAGGAGACCTTGCAGGCAGCCACCTTCCCTTGTTGGTGTTGCAACTGTTACATTTCAAGGTGTGATGTCCACTTGGTTTACATCAAACTTCTATTCATCTCAAAGTCGATATTGACTTCAATGGGGACCAGAGACTGGGGACCAGGGACTGGGGACCAGGGGCTCTTCAGGTGTGGGTATGGCTCTGTGTGAATGAGCACTGTCTCTCCTTGTGGGGATTTGCCACTGTCCTCTTGTTAACAGGCCTCCTCCTAGGAAATGCTTATGTTTTAAAATGATTCATTCTAGACTTCTCTATAAGTGTTGGCTGTTGGTATATAGAAAAATACATGGTACTAGATGGAGTTCATTCATCCAAGCTTTTAAGAGTTTGCAGGAGTCCTTCAGCTGTAAGTTATGGCATTCCACTTTTCTCCGCTCCCCTTCTTGATAGTCCCCATTTTTCATTTTGCCAAGAGTTTACAAAGCCAGTGTTTTATGTACAAGATGGGTATCTATTTTACACAGAATGCTTTGTGCTGACAATACTTGTTTACTTGCTTCATCTCAAGTCTTGGAATGCAGGGAGGTATCAAGAATTACTTTTGGAATATTTTTCAATATAGTTTCTATAAAATACAGGCTCTAGGTCCATGAGCATTTTTTTTTTAAAAAGATAGAGACCCTGAGATCTATGAGATGGCTCAATGCGTAGAAGTACTTGTCATAGAAGCCTGACAACCTGAGTTTGAGCCACAGAACCCACATAAAAGTGGAAAGAGAGAATCCAACAAAGTTGTCCTATGGCCTCTGCAGATGTACTGTGACAGGTGTGTGTCCACCTCCCTGTCACACACATACACAATGATAATTACATATATATATGTATATATATGTGTGTGTGTGTGTGTGTGTGGCAAATAATTGAAACTTTTATCTCCAAATATCTGATGAATTATGTGGGATAAAACTCATTTCTGTGGCTACAGTGAGATCTTTAGAACAAGGAATTTTAAGTATAAATAAATTTTGTTTTAATACATTATATATCTAGAGCCTTGACTCTGGTATAATCTCTCTGCATGGAAACATAAGTGGCTGCCCTTAGAAAGCAGTTTTGATGGGAACTCAATGATCTACTAGGAAAGTTAGAGGTGATATTTTTGGTAGTTTGGCCCTCATAAGTTCATAGAGAGTGGCACTATTAGAAGGTGTGGCCTTGTTGGAGGAAGTGTGTCACTGTGGAGGTGGGTTTTGAGGCCTCATAGATGCTCAAGCAATGCCTAGTTTCTCAGACCACTTCCTGTTGCCTGCTGGATCAACATGCAGCTCCTTCTCCACTCTCAAGTCCTTCTCTAGCACCATGTCTGCCTGCATGCCGTCATGTCCCATCACGATGGTAATGGACTAAACCTCTGAACTGTAAGCCACCTAATTAAATGTTTTCCTCTTCTCAGCAATAGAAACCCTAAGACAATCTTCAATGTCCCTTCCAAACTCAAGAAAGAAAAGGGTTGGTGAGAATCAGGAGGCCTGTGTTCTTGTAAGAAGCAATGGTGTTCTATCTTAATTGCTCTACCTTGAACTCCTTTCACCTGTTTCTCTGGGCTGTCTGTTTTGCTGACTACACATTACATGATTTTTTTTTTTTTTTTGGCTATATACTTTAGGACTGGAGCCTATGTCTAAGTAATATTGTCATATCTCTAATTATCTGAAATAGTGAGTTGATCTTAGAAAGCATTTCAAAGTTATTCATAGAGTGGATAGGTAAATAATGTTAATATAAAAGAAATATATAAATATCATAAACATCCCTGATTTTTCCTTGTTCACCAAATGTGTTTTCCCTGTGCATATTGTTTAGTGGAAGTGTCTATTAGAAACTACTCAGGTTGAAAATTGTCTTACACCCCTTATTTTCTTTATTAGAAAATTGTGACATAGCTCAACTTTCAACTACATCACATTTCAAATGACTTCTCACAAGCTCTGACACCGTTTCTAGGCAGACTAGGGGTCAGCCAACTCTCATGCTATGGCCAACTCCATCCTGCAGTCTGGTATTACTGAAACTTTGCCCCTTCTTTTGTTTGTATGTGCCACAGTGAATGAGCAGGGAGCAAACAAGTTGCCAGGACTATGACCATTTAGAGAAAATTTGCTTACAGAAGTAATAACATTTTCTGTCCTATCTCCTTGTATATTCCTAAAGCCCTTTAACATGTAAAAAAAAAACCCATTGTTAGCTCATAACTTTCCAATCTGCTTGGCTGGCTCCTCCCCTAAACCATGTTCTTTCCTTCAAACACAAATCATTTCACATCACTTCGTGTTAAATGTCCCCCAAAGGCTTCTCATTGCATTCCAAAGCCAGCCATCTTACCACAGCCTGTAAGTTCTTTGGGATCCAGCTGCATCTAACTTTGGGATCTCCCCCACTCCCCACCCCCGCTGGCTTTGCCTGGGTCACATTTGGACAGGATGTCATACTCACAAGAGTCTTCTGCCTTGGGGTCCCTGATATCTTCATTTTCTGCTTCCTCTTCTAGAATACCTTCACCAGATCTTTCTGGGTTGTTTTCATTGGGGCAAAGAGGTCTCCTGGTAAAATCGCTTCTGCTCTTTCATTCCCAGTCTTTACACAACTTCTTCAGAGCACTTACATGGAACTAAGCTAATTTTCCAGTTATTTGTTTATTTGCCTGTTATCTCTGTCCCACGTGAATGTCATTACAGTGTGTGGCTCACTGCTGCCCCTGCTGTACAGGTAATAAATATTTACAGGATACATGAAGTGATTGGCTAGTTCTGTGCTGGGAAGAACTTCCCTTTGTCAACTAAGTTCTTTATGAAAGATTTCTATTGATGTACTACTGGAAATGCTCTTTTCTGGTGTTTTAAGAACTCACTCTCATCCCTCTCCCACAGCCCATGGGCATTCTTTCCATCCTTGAAGAGGAATGTATGTTTTCTAAAGCTACCGACAAGACTTTCGAGACCAAGCTCTTTGATAACCATTTTGGGAAGTCACCTTACTTCCAGAAACCTGCATATGCTGGGAAGAACTCCGAAGTTCACTTTGAACTTGCTCATTATGCTGGAGTGGTGAGTTAGCTCTAGACTTCCAGCCCACACTTTCTGGTTTCTACATCAAGTGAACTTGTACAAAATCCTCAGCTAATATTTTAGCACTGTTTATATTAAATGATGAGATGAACAAGTACACTTCAGTGCCAGAGGAAAGGTGGTGTCATCATTTGGTGTTCAGGAAATGAAATGTCCATGCTACAGTAGCTTAGGCACAGAGGTCAGAAATGTCAAAATGAACTCTGTCATCCAGCCTCAAAACAGGGCAGCTGCAGGAAGCTTTGCCTGGAGATCTTCAATGTCATGGGCCACCTTGCCTTGTTTGTCTTTTTTGTTTTTAACTTGACGTAGTGTAAGTGATTTCAAATCACCCTTTTTAAAGACATGTATGACATAATGATCTCTAAAGTTTGGCCCAAATTTTTCGAATGACCCTTATTGCCTCCCAAGTGACATATGTATCTTTTTTTCTTCTTCTTCTAGTCAGTGATTGTAAGAGAGCAGATATATAACTAAGGAATGATAACAATATACCTCAACCTAAAAATGACCTCCCAAGTGTCCCCAGATATAGTTCTCTTCTTGATGTCATGGAATATAGTTATAACTACATGTAAAATACTATTGTACTTGTTAACGTTCTCCTGAATACTCAGTATGTGTCAAGAGAACAGATGATTTTTTTCTAGTGCTGCCTATGAAAGATGCTGATGTTTCTAATGGAGACAGAAGGTCCAGTCCATCCTTCCCATTCCTTTCTATCCTTTCCCTTACATTTGTTTTCACCTCTCGCTTCTTTCTCTGTCAAATCTTTTTATTTCACTTTCCTTTGAAAAATGTAAATTTTAAAACTCCCACTGCCTATGAGATGGCCTTCTGGAATGTTACTCAGTATTGTTACTGAATTAACACTAAAGGATACAACTTGCACATTTTTTCAAGCAATGCATACCTTTCCTTTTTGAATGTATGAATGTACACCTTTTCTTATATTGTTACCTGAAACGCATACCTTTCCGAAGGTCCCTTATAACATCAGTGGTTGGCTTGGAAAGAACAAAGACATTCTTAATGAAACTGTGGTGGCTCTCCTTCAGAAGTCCTCCAACAGAGTTCTGGCGAGTCTCTTTACCAAGGACTTCCTTTCTGGCAGTGGTGAGTCTGTCTCCATTGATGTTTTACCTCCCCATGGGGGTTGATGGGTGACCTGGATTTTACAAAGCCCTTTCTGCTTTCTGTGATAACAACTTCTTCTTTCTGTGATGTCTTCCCTGTTCTAGAGTGTTTATGGCCAACTCATGCTTTCTTCTAGACTTACCTACAAAGAGAGAATTGATAATACAGTTTGATGAATGTTTGGGGACAATAATAATCCTCAAATAGATATCAAGAAACTAATCTAAGTTTTGCAAATCTTAGTTGACTTTATTTGCAATTCTGAATTGATTGGCAGTCTGAAATGACAAAACAAAACAAAAACCTGATTCATATTACACCAAACCACCACACGGGTAAGAGCTGCTATTCCTATCTAGAGACAAGAAAATGATGTGTAAAACTGGATGTTAATGAGACAACCTTGCTGATTATAGCTCACATTTATGTTAGGTGAGCATGGTTTGAATAGTTGGCAGACTATGTTTGACTAGGACCTGGCACCTTGCTCAGAGTTGTCTATAATTTGTTTTCATATTCACTTACAGGTTACAGAGAAACATTTGAGCTAAGTTTAAGATGTCCTAAGGCAGCTTTGGGACAAAGTCAGTTTATCTATCTATCTATCTATCTATCTATCTATCTATCTATCTATCTATCTATCTATCTATCTATCTATCATCTGTCTATCATCTTCCTTTGGTTCATACAGGTTGAAAAATCAAAATATTTCCTCTGTAACTGGATTTTCTTTTCCTTTGCAAAATGGGAACTCTTGGTAAATATTAAATATGGCAAGTTCAGATTCCCTCAGCACACATGGAATGGAATGTACCAGCTATTCTTTCCATAGGGCATGTACTCTCACTTCCTAACATTCTCACCTCCCTATTATTTATAGCCAGCTTCACACTAATCCCTGGTGTTTCTTAGCCTGTTTTAGGCCTCCTGATTAGCATGGTCAAGTAGATGAAGAATTTAGCATTTCCTGGATTTTTCAGCATATGATGACATAATTAAGGAGCAACCCTGGCATACTCTTGGCCTATGTCAAGAGGAGATTCTTGTTGTTGGTTTTTTACTCTTTTTTTGGGGGGGGGGCTTCCATCCAGCTCCCAAATAAATCACACATGGAAGCTTATTCTTAATTATGAATGCCCGGCCTTATCTTGGCTTAGTTTCTAGCCAGCTTTCCTTAACAAGGTCTCCCACATACCTTTTGCCTCTGGGCTTCTCCCTTTCTCTTAATTCTGTATCTTCCTCTTATTCCATGGCTTTCTGTGTGTTTAGCTGGTTGACTGGTCCCTGCAGTCCTCCCCCTTCTTTGGCTGCTCAATCTCTCCTCACAGTTTTCTTCATATATATATGCCTTCTAGCCCCATCTATCCTTTCTCTTGCCTTGCTATTGGCCAGTTCTTTATTAGTCCATCAGGTATTTTAGACAGGCACAGTAACACAGCTTCACAGAGTTAAACAAATGCAACATAAACAAAAGAAACACACCTTAAAATATTCTACTACAGGAGATAGAGAAATAAAAGTGTTTGTGTTTGATTTTGATAATTTGGGGGCAGTACAGTTGCTTGTTTCTACTCTTAGTTTTTTTTTTTTTTTTTTTTTTTTTTTTTTTTTTTTTTTTTTTTTTAAAGACCGTGTCTTGACAGTGGCTGGTCTCAAGCTTCTTGTCCTCTATCCCAGTCTCCTAAGCAACCAGGATGACTGGCACAGAGTACTGTGCCCACCTTTAGTCTGGGTCTTCTACGGTATCTCTGAGTTGGTGAGGAAGTGGCCATATACGTTACAGTTCTTAATTGGATAGTTATCTGACCACACACAGGAGAATCAGAACAGGGGATAGCCAGACCATTGGGAAGGAATTTGGAGTCTCTCTCTTCAAGGTGTACTGCATTCTTTGCTTACGGAAGGGAAGAATTATCTCTGAAAAATTTTATTCTAGCTTTCTTGTGAATAAGTGCTTCTAAAATTCTAACTCACCCTTACATTAAATTGTTCACAAATTGATGTGTTTTAGATCAGAGTCATAGCTTAAAAATGAAATGTCAGGTAATTGTATTCAAAGATGGGGGAAATGAAAAAGTGCACAGAAATCATGTGATCCACTTAGAGGACCTGGGCCTCCCAAAAGGACATTCATGATTAAATTTCATTACATGTGCCTCTATATAGTCACTATTCAGGTTCAGAAAATATGTGTTTAGTCTCCAGATTGCCCGTGGCTTTTGTCCTTTCTACTGTTGTACATCTGAGTAAATTAGGACTACACAGCTGTTTGCAAGATATTTTGACTTAGTGTAAATTCTTTCACTTCAATAATAAGGAATGGGGAATAGATATGCCTTTTTCATAAACCTTGAAAGTATTTTGGTGTTGCCATAAACAGTTAATGTAGGGAAACTAAAAAGATAAACGTAAAAGGGCCAATTATATCACACAGGAGGTAACTACTAGTAATATTTTTGTTTCCAGGTCTCCCAAGATGTTTCATTTGCAGTCACTTATAACCTAACTGTGCTTAAAACTAGGCATACACAATCAGGATAATGATATTCAAAATAGACATTCTGTAACTTCTTCTCTTAAAATAAAACAAAGTATTTCCATATTTGTTATATGATCTACATAATCATTTTAAAGCTTGAAGTATTCTACTGTATGCATATTTATTCATAATTTAATGTGTCTTAATGGACATTTCTTAATTTCTCTTTTGCTCAGATTTTTCCACAGTGACTACATAATGTTTGAGTGGGTATCTTTATATAGCTTTCTGATTATTTCTTTAGGGAGAAGCACTATAGGCATTTTGTGAAGGATGTACATACTCTCTAAGTTTTTTGGAACATACTACCATGTTTAAAAACTTGGATGAATTTGTTTTTATCAACTATGACAACACTATGTATTATGGAAAAAGGGATTTTTAAACCATTTTCATCTTTTGCTTTTTAAGCTAAACAGTTTGGTGAGAAGACACACAGGAAAGGAGCATCGTTCCAGTTGATTTCGTCTCTGCATAAAGTAATTTACATTTTTAAATTAATCAATCATTATTATTTTGTGTGTGTATGATGTGTGAGCATGTATTCCAGAGTATACATGTGGAAGTCAGAAAACAGCTTTGTGAAATGAACTCAGTTCTTTTCTGCCTTTGGGTTTTGGGTATAAATTAGGCAACCAGGCCTTCAGGGTAAATATGCTTACACACAGAGCCATTTCATCAGCCTTACATAAAGACAGTAAGGTGGATAAAGCCATCTTGTCATTGTGAAGGGCTTTAAAAGTCACTAGTGGTGCCCTGACTAGGTTCCATTTGTCAGCCTTGTTCTAGTCCTCTGGCTGGTGTGACTATTGGCTCATAATGGCTCCCAGTGGTTAGAATTGCTTTTGGGCAACAGGAAGCAGAGGCACCTCATGTCTACCTCTCCTAACTTTGGCTCGTCTCTTCTTCAAGAGAGGACCACTGTGGTGTGACTGGGTGTGTGGAATCAAGCCAGAGGCTGAATCAGCATGGTTGCCTTTCCTTCTGTTCTCCAACCTGCTTCCTTCACTGTTAAAATGCATGTTTTTAACAATCTCAGATAATGATTCTGTACAATTTGACCTAAAATAAAGGCTTCCAAAATAGAAAATGGAGGAAATCATAAGCAATCTTGTTGCTTGGCTTCAAAAGCCACTGAATTCAAATTCAAAACAGGTGGAAATGATTCACAGTGGAACTATGGCTGTTGGGTAAGTATTGACTTGCCATAGGAAAGAAAATAATGTGTTTGGTAAGCATGTAATAATGTTGAATTCATTGTCTTCCTATTGGTGCTCATGTTGGATATCAGATTCAGCTGACAGATTTAGATTTTCTGGGCTTCTTTTGTGGCTTGCAAAGTGATTTTGTGTTTATTATGGCTTTTATTTTAGGAAAACATAAATAAATTGATGACAGATTTGCAATCAACCACACCTCATTTTGTGAGATGTATAAATCCAAATATGAACAAAATGCCAGGTAAGAACTAGACATATTTACAGCTTGTAGTAGGGAATATATTTTATTTCAGCTTTGTTGAATGTAATTTTAAGAATTATTTACCATTTCCTTTATATATGAATAGATTTTCACATTGAACTATGAAAGGAAGTAAAATTTGAGGTCTCTGGAGCCTCCTCCAGGCTGCTTTGAATTTGGTTTCAGGTAGCCATACAAAAAAAGACTTCCCAGAGTAGCCTCCATAGGAAACTGGTTTTTGAATTTTAATTTAAAACATAGGTGCTGCACTTTTATTCCACTCATTAGAAGGAGAAAATATTCTTAAAGTTATTCTTAAAAATTCTTAAAAATATTCTTAAAATTATTCTTGAATAATCAATTGGGATGATATTTTAGCACAAGAAGATCATTTCATAAAATGTTAAACATTTCTCTAGTAATCTCTTCAAACTTAGCATCTTCCCTTAACATGCCCATTTCCTTAGTTATGTACTTCTGGATGGTAGGCACTTTCTCAATGAATTAATGGGGACAAGATGGTGATGATAGGACCGTGGTGATTTTCCCATTTGCAATTCTCAAAACTGCTCAGCCAAATTTAATTCTCTGGATCATGTTCCTTAGATCACATTTTAAAGCTTTCCAGACAACTCTTTGAAATATTAGTATTCTTAGAGCTTATTTTGAGGTGCTCAGACTTAAAGGAACCCATATGACAAACACTATGTCTTCAGACCATCAACCACTCTTAGAATTCATACTCTATCAGTGTTGATTATGATCTGTGTGGGTCTGTACTATTTTTGTACTTTTATGAATCTACTGTAATTAAGAATCCAATCTTGACAGACTGTGACCTAATTAGGGAGACTGTAATGCCAAGTAATGTTGTTACTGGAATTTTTATAATGGAGACATTTCAGCATTACATGTTTATTTGTGTTTGTATGTATACACATATATAGCTTCATTTTTTTCTTATAAGTTCAGTGTGTTTGTGTGTGCATGTGCGTGTATGTATGTACGTCATGGTATTAGGACTAGAATAACACAAGACTTCACACAAGCTAGGCAAAGATGCCATATTTGCTACATTCCCAGACCTTAGCTGGGCTTAGAATACATCTAAGTGTCCTGTTTTATCAAAGAATACAATCAGTTCCCTCTGAATTTTGGAACAATTCTGCTACTATTAGAAGACTTCTATGGAATCAATCAAATTTCAGCAAGTTTTCAACAAAAGCTTTATGCTTTAAAACAATCATTCATATTTAATAAAGGGCATGAACGGGTTTCATCTTAAAGTGTCAGAAGCTTCTAATCTCCCTTGTTATAAAAGATCTGGTCCTGTTCATAGAAGGACTGGAGTACAGACATAGGGTCTAGCTTACATCTGTGATCTGAGACATAGTTAGAGACATAGCAGGCCTTTGTGAAAGGGGTGGTCCTTGGCTTTGTCCAGAGACTTGATGAAGGTCAGAAACGCTGGGTCCTTGGTTGGCCTTTCAAAGGCTTCCGCCAGAGATTCCAGCTGGCAGCTGTAGAAGGGCTGCTTTTGTTGAACAAAGTGGTGATAGAAGAATGCTTGTACTAGAGAATAAATGTAGACATTGCAACAGAATAGGGGGAAAAAGACGTCCTGAATGTGGGCAAATCCATTCTAGGCATACAAGCAAACAGAATTTTGTGGTTGGTCCACCTTGTAGTTTCTCTGGCCTCCTATTGGAAATGGTAACCCACCTTGGGCTCCACTCACTTTCTCTAGCTGCTTCTAGTTAGCATGTATATGATGTTAGCCATTTGCACATAGCAAAATATGTGATCTTTTTCATTTTCCAGGAGAATATGCCTATAGAGTTTTATCTATCAGCTTGTTCTACATTAAAAAGAATTCTAGGTAAATCGTATCTGTAGAATCCTTCCTATTAGGACAAGTACTGGAATCGTCAGGCTGGGAGTTAGTGAGCTCCTGTAAACACTCGTGTACATTACACTGAATTCAAACTTTCTTCTAAACACAAGATGCAGGAATGAAGATAATATCTGATGTGATAGATATTTGAGAATGTCGAGTCAGTGTTTCCCTCTCTTTCAGGTGTATTGGACCCTTTCTTGGTTCTCCAGCAGCTGCGATGTAATGGTGTCTTGGAGGGGATTAGAGTATGCCGTGAAGGCTTTACAAATCGGATGCTATATGATGACTTTAAGCAAAGGTAGACATACATTTGAGGTTCCCAAAGTCTAGAACAGTCTGTTTTGTTTCCTCTGTGTTGAGTGTTTATGCATGCACTGTTTGTTTGCTTGGCGTACTCCACTCTATAAATTGATATGTTTTTGTGGTGATGAGACACAATGTTGACAGGGTTCCACATTATTTGTTCTTAAATTCAATATCTATATAGCTGCAGAGCCCTTAAATCTCCGTTAGTGGATATTAGACCCATATATAGAAGAAATATACATAGAAAGAAGATGGACAGCCTGTTGTGGGATGTTCTGTATGGCAAATGTGTTGCTCTGATTGGTTAATAAATAAAACACTGATTGGCCAGTAGCCAGGCAGGAAGTACAGGCAGGACGAAGAAGAGAATTGGGGGAAGTGGAAGGCTGAGGCAGAGAGACCTGCCAGCTGCCACCATGACAAGCAAGATGTAAGGTACTGGTAAGCCACGAGCCATATGGCAACTTACAGATTAATAGAAATGGGTTAATTTAAGATAGAAGAAGTAGATAACAAGAAGCCTGCCACAGCCATACAGTTTATAAGTAATATGAGCGTCTGAGCAATTATTTTATATGTGGGTGGTGGGACTGCGGGGGCTTGGTGAGACCTGGAGAGAAGCTCTCCAGCAACAACAGCCTAAAGTGAATCTCTGAAGTCTATGTGCTTTGTGGTAGCTGCCACCCAATCAAGCTGTTGCATTTTTTAGCAGCCATGAAAAGAAGGATGCAATAGTGTGTAGGTGATAGGAGGCAGGAGAGGCATCTTGGATTTCCATGTCCTTTTGAAAATGAAAATTCTAGTTTATCAAGACAATTTGAGCAAAATGTGGTAGAGCAAGAACACCTGTCTAGGAACTGAAAGGCACGTGTCTACAATTCACCATCAGAGTGAAAAGCTTTGGCAAAAGTCAATTCAACCTTTGTTTTCCTGTCCACATAATAGAGATACTTACACTTTTCCCCTTTTCTTTTTTTTTCTCAGTCCCCACTTCCTCAGTAAAATTAAGTTAATAACCACAACACTGGAGAGAACATAAACTGACCCATTGGACGGATAGCTGATAGCATCTTCACTATTGTGGCCAGGAGTTGTGTTAGATTTGACAGATTGGAAAGAAAGATAGGTGTCTGCACTAGCTTTCCCCTGTAGATGAAATTCTAAACAGTCTTAGTAAATAAGAAACACAGAGATAAATACAGAGTTAAAGCCTAAGAGATCAGAGCAAGAGGCACGATTCCCTTTAGCTTACCACTCGCTACCATCCTTCGAGAGAGAGAGAGAGAGAGAGAGAGAGAGAGAGAGAGAGAGAGAGAGAGAGAGAGAGCTTCTCCTGTGTGACCTGTCTTTTTATTTACTTTCTGTTCTACCTTCTCATTGGCTCTAAACCCAACCACGTGATTTCCTCATCACTGCCTTTCTATACAGACCTCCAGGTCTCTATGGTTTGTACTGGGATTAAAGGTTTGGGTCACTGCTTGGCTGTCTCCTTGACCATACAGAGACTCTGCCTGCCATGTGATCTGATTAAGGGCGTGTGCCACCACTGCTGGACTTCTGCTAAATGGCTTGCTTTTAGCTCTGATCCCCAGGCAACTTTATTTATTAACGTACAAATAAAATCACATTTCAGCACAAATAAAATATCACCATATTCCCCCACTTGTTTCAGAGTTCTCTTTGAGTCATATGATCCCCTGGTCCCATTTCAAAATAGGTACTGCATTCTAAACCCAAGGACCTTTTCAAAGAGTGACTTTGTGAGCAGCAGAAAAGCGACTGAAGAAGTACTTGGTTTCTTGGAGATAGACCATTCCCAGTACCTGTGTGGAGTCACCAAGGTAACCCAGAAATGTCAAAGAATGCATTTGGGAGGGAAGAAGAGGGAAAGGTGTACATTTCAAAATATTGGTAAATGCTTAATTATTAAATAAGTTCTTCAGCTCTTGTGACCAGAAATAATACAAATAGAGACCAGTTCATAGTGGAAACTTCAATTCTGCTTGAGAAAGAAAATCCATTGTTACTTAAACAAGTCTAAATTTTATTCACATTATTTCAATATTGAGGGTTAAATGTAGGGCCTTATACATTCTACACAGGCACTCCCTTGCTGAACTGCACTCCATCTTGCATATAAATTTTTATAACTAATTCTCTAGTCAAATTCGTGCCACTCTATAAAACACTGAATTGACCTTTCTGTGATAGACAACAGAGTAAGAGAATGTGAACCAGGTTCACAGAGATGACTACTTGCGCACATGAAATGTTTTATGTAGTGTGCTGAATTGGAAAATAATTATTGCTTGAATCATTGAGTAATTTAAAAATTCAATTATAAGCCAAAACCAGCTTTCTTAAATATGACTATTTAAATTCTACTTTATCCAAAAAACCCACATACTTTTGGAAATTTCTGGTTACCTGGCTTGCTCTTACCTGGTAGTCAATACCATGCTGTCCTTAATGACATCCACGGAAAACCAAATTTTTGAAGAAGAGTGTGAGGATACAGGGTAAAGATCTTTCTGTCTGCCTGCTTCCTGTCTATCCATCCTTCTTGAGCTTGCCTCATCTTTCTTCTGCCTTAGCCTTTTGAGTTTCTAGGATTATAGCAACCCCATAGTACAGTTTTATGAATGTTATTTGATTCTTATATTTTGAATACCTAGAAATAAGTGTTTATCATTTGTGGTTTTTTTCCTTATATCTCATTATTTTTGCCATATGCCACTCATTGGGGCTCAAGCTCACATGAGCTTGTAAGAATCCCAAGTCACATATATTAATGAGGCTTTCACTCATGGATGGGAGGATGAAACTGAGTGGGACTCACTGACAAGACTGGGCATATTTTGAGTGGAATTGTTCAAGATGCCTTTAAGAAGAGCCACATGTGTGCCTCCATGAAATTTGTGTCTTAGGTAGCTAATCACCTCACTTTGGTTCTTACTGATTAATCTTGGGAAATGCCAAGTCTCTCATATGTAGAGCAAAAGCATCTTCTAGAGCATTGGTCAGTAAACTAAGATGCAACAACCCATGGGCTATTTAAAAATCACTGCCAGCATCTTACTATTCCTTTTCCACCTATTCCAAGGGTCCCTTTATGCTTTCCAGGTTTCTGTGATTATTCCATGTTGTAAATTCACATCTGAGAATAGGGAGCTAGGAAGTGCAGATGAGAGAGAACATGCAGCTTTTGTTTTTCTAGGTCTGGGTTACCTCACTCAATAAAATCTTTACTAGGTCCAACCATTTATCTACAAATGTCATGACTTTCAATCACATTCCACTGTGTATAGGTACCATACTTTCACTATTTCCTCATCTGTTGAATGAAGTTAGGGTTCCATTTCCTGGCAATGTCAATATCAATGGACATGTTAACATGAAAGGGATAATTTCATGGGATTCCACTTCTACCCAAAGAACCACAGGCAATTCATGACTGCCAGAAGGAAAATTATCCTCTCTTAGAGATGAGCCCCCTTATTGGTTGTCCAATGTAGAGTCCAATGTCATCTGCTTTGAAACAATATATACACAAACAGGAAAAATGAACTCAGTATGTTGTATTAATATATATTTGTATGTGCGTGCATATGCAAATGTGCACACACATACAGAGAGAGAAGAGAGGGAGAAGGGGGAGAATAACAAAAGAAAAATATGCTATCAACTTGGAGGGGAAACATGGGAAGGATTCAAACAAAGGAGGATAGTTGAAAGGGAGAGGAGAAGTGATTTAATTTTATTTCTATTAAAAACATTGAAAATAAAAATAAAATCATTTCCGGCTAGCAAAAATCATTTTATATTTAAAAATTATTTAGAAAAGCAAACAAATATTCAACACAACTGTTTATGACCCACCATACCCAGAAATAAATGTTTCTTGCCTTGTCCTTTGCAGAGGTAGTTGTGAATCTTGCCAAGTCCTTTGGAGTGCTGTTTACCTGAGCTAATTTTAAAACCTGGATCATGTTCTTTAAATGTTATTATTAATCAATCAAGTACAGAGTAAATGATCAGACTGTCAATATGTCCAATATAAAATGTCCTTTATAACCATTACAGTTAGAAATTTAGATTCCCTAGAATGTAAATTTTATGCAATGAACAAAACATATACAAAGATATAGGATTGATAAAGTTGTCCCGTAGACTGTTTCTGTTGTTCTTGGCATCATTCAAAAGACTGCTGAATTCATCTGATGAGTGAAACTGTACCTGGCTTACTTCCTTTAGGTGTTTTTAAAACCTAGCATTCTGGACCAGTTGGAAGAAAGGAGAGATGAGAAAATATCTAAAGTCTTCACCTTGTTCCAAGCCAGAGCACGGGGAAAGCTGATGCGTATCACATTCCAGAAGATTCTAGAAGAAAGGTATTAACTCTCTATGACACTCTCCCATAGATAGAGCAATTCATACCTCAACCAATGTCCTGCAATAAATAGACTGTAGTACAAAGACTAGTCTGCTTAGTCAGAGTCTTGAAAATGTTTTAATATCTGTATACAAAAAAGGAAGCATAGAAGACCTTGCTGTCTTCCCAAGTGAAGCATCATAATCCAGATATTATTTATTTCTTCTCATCTTCCCTTTGGGAGGGATGGTTTATAGTTTAGAATTACAGACATTGGAAGGTGATGTGTTTCACAGTTTTGGCAGTAGCACACCTGAAAAGACTGGCACACACCTAAGTAAGACTTGAACAATGATAATATCGAGAGACATGTTGACATGGAAAGGGGAAATCTCCTGAGGTCCCACCCTAGATAACGAGCTACAGACAACAAATGAGTGAAGAGAGAGAGAGAGAGAGAGAGAGAGAGAGAGAGAGAGAGAGAGAGAGAGAGAGAGAGAGAGAGAGAGAGCCTCTCCCAGGGATAGGCCCCCTAACTGGGTATGCAGTACAAAGTGGTCAGCTCTGAAATCATATGTACACAAATGGACTCAGCAGCCTTCATTTATGTATTTGTGCATATACATGAAAAAACAACGAAAATGGGGCACCCAACCTGAGAGAGGGTGAGGGGGGATATGAGAAGAGTCGGAGGGAGGAAAGTAAAGGTGAGAAGTGATGTCATTATGTGGTGGCGCATGCCTTTAATCCCAGCACTTGGGAGCCAGGGGCAGGTGGATCTCTGTGAATTCAAGGCCAGCCTGGGCTATAGAGTGAGTTCCAGGACAAGCTGCAAAGCTACACAGAGAAACCCCGTTTTGAAAAACCAAAAAAAAAAAAGTAATTATATTTTAATTAAAAACATGTTTTAAAAAGATTGGCACACATATCCCAAAGCTAACTCTGAAGAGGGATAGTCATAGTGTGTGTGTGTGTGTGTGTGTGTGTGTGTGTGTGTGTGTGTGTGTGTGTGTGTGTGTGTATACCACTGTTATTTCTACTGGCTCAACAACTGTGGGTCTTGATGGCTTATAATTGTACCTCTCATTTCATTTCAGGTAAGTTCAATGGAAACATTTATAATTGTATTTGGACAATTTGGTATTGGGTTTCTTTTTTAAACTTTTAGAAAAACCATGGAAAGCAAGCTAATGAAAATCTTGAAACAAACAGACCAGGAACAAGAAACTTTGTATTGGCAACACTTTTTCCTTAGCATAGTTTAACTTCTAGTGGGAAGCCCACAAGGTTTGATATGTTTCTTGATTGACATTAATTCTGTTTGTCCAAAGATGATCAAGACTATGAAAATTATTGATGAGACAACTCCTGGAGATCTTTAGTGACTCTCTCATAGCAATCAGTGTAGTGTGGGAGCTTAGGTAGCAAGTAACATGTCTTTTGGGTTTTTGTTTATTTGTTTTTTGCTATTGTTGTTTGAGAGAGGGTGCTATGTAGCCCAGGCTAGCCTAGATTTAATTGTGTAGCCCAGGCTGGCCTTGAACTCCCAGTGATCTATCTCTGCCTCTTGAGAAGGCTGGGATTGCAGATGTGTGCTACCCTACCTGGTTCCAGTTGTATATACTTGTGTAAAGTTTTAAATTTTTTCATATTTACTTCTTTTATTTCTCAAATGAGGCCATTAAAATTTATTGTTTCTAAGTCATTTATCAAAATTATTGTGGAATATATAAACTTCAAAAAGTGTAGATAATAATATAGTGCATTCTCATGGTATCATCATCAAGAAATATTAATTCTTAAATTTTTTTATGCAATTGCCGACAATTTAAAAATTATCAACTGATGCCACTGAAGTCCTTGTTTATTTTCCTCCTTGATTCAAATCTATTTTCCCCAGATCCTAAATTAGTGTTAATTATTTTTTGTCACATGTATAAATGTATAGTTAATATAAAAATATGTTCTCATTCTTTACTAGATAATATAGATAGTCTTTTCTGTTTCTTTGTTTTCGAGACAAGGTTTTTCTATGTAGTCCTAGGCTGTCCATCCTAGAACTTCCTCTGTGGTCCAGGCTGGCCTCAAACTCAGAGATCCACCCGCTTCTGCGTCACAAATGCTGGGATTAAAGCCGTGCACCACTATGCCTGTGTTAATAAAGATTTTTCTTTTCTTTTTGGTTTTTCAAGACAGGGTTTCTCTGCATAGCCTTAGGTGATACACAGATGGCCTTAAACATTTGCATGGCTTTTCATGCTTACTTCATGTGAATAATATTCTTTATGAAGTTTTCCATCAATGCTTGGAAGTCTTCTTAAAAGTATATCAGTGTCGATGAGTGTAGGGCGAGGCCATTGAGTTTAATTGCTGTACAGTAGCCCATTTGCTTGAATATACCACATGTATTCCTTTCCCCCATAAATTAAATCTGTGCTATTTAAAATACCATGTGCCGTTCAAATATGTTATGGTTTTCTAGTGACATTTTAATAATATTTCCCCCATTCTTATATGGAAGGGTTTCTGGAAGATGACATAACTTTAAAAGTTCCATTCTCTGATAAGTTAGTGACAAAGTGCAGGCACAGATGGCTGTTCTCACAATTTTACCTTTGCAGGATTTTGTTTTCTGATTTTACTACTCAGCAGTGGTCCATGAGATTCCTCTTGCTGAATACTTTCATGAATATGTGGTACTTTAGACTTTGATATATTTCTGACATTGGCAAAAGCTATCATTTCCATTTAAAAGATGATATTTTCTGTAGCTTAAATTTTTTGATGTATTGTTTAAAGAGTATTCCCATTTCTACCATTTTCTTTTGAAAAGCTTTCTTTTTTTTTAAATCACGAACTCATTAATTTTCTATCTATCTGTTAATATATGGTCTTTATAAATTAACTTGTAAATGTGTTAAATTTTGATAGATCTTAAAACATGTAAACTAATTTGATTGGCACTGATGCATTTTGTAATAATGTTACAATGAGATTTTTAAAAATCAATTGACTGGCCTATAATTTTCTTTAATTTCTAGTCTGCTATCTAGTTTTAGACAAATATTATTCTAACCTTGTAAAAGAATTAGAGAATGTTTTCTCTTTCCATACATGAAACACTATTTAACTATGACTCTTTTGTGCATTTGCCTATAAAATAATCCAAATTTGGTATTTTCTGATGATTTCATAATTTTTAAAGTGTCTAGACATATTTCATTTTTTTCTTCTTGAGTCATTTTATGAATTATTTACTAAATAAAATTTATGCACTATTAAAAACTGTTTATATTATGTACTATTCAATTATAAATGTTAAGTATTTACTATGTGTACAATTTTACTCACAGTAAATAATCTTTATTAATTCCTAGGCTGTTATTCCCAGTATTGTTTATTTTGTCTTCTCTCCTTCCCTTTATGTTACATGTATATCTATTTATTTAATATATCAACTGGATAACTTTTATTCCATTTCCTTTTTCCCCTCAACTTCATTCATTTGTTATCCTGTTTTTGTTCTTCCAATTTGTTTTTGGCTTATCTTTCCCTTTTCCCAGTGTTTGTGAAGTTTAATTGACAAAAATATATGTTTATGGTATACAATCTGATGTTTTCATATCTATGCACTTTGTGTAATGATTGCTGCAATCAGACTAATTACTGTATCACCTCATATAGATATATTTTGGGTGTGTTGAGAGCATTTAAGATCAACTATATTTAACTAAGCATGGTGTTGCATGCCTGTAATCCAGTACTTGGGAGATGGAGGCAGGAGGATCAGGAGTTTGAAACTGTCTGGATTACAGTATGTGTGTGTGTGTGTGTGTGTGTGTGTGTGTGTATTCAGAAGTGGGCATATTTGTTACTTTCCTCATTGCTGTGATTAAATACCTGAGGAAAAAGAAATTAATGAAGGGAAGGGTCTATTCAGGCTTGTTTCTAGAGAGGTTTAACCGGGGAGGGAAGATTGGCATGAATCTGGGCAGCTGCACCATAGGTGCCGAAACCCTAGACTCTCTGCTTCCTGCCAGCAAAGACAACGTGACCACCCACCCACCTGACACTTCTGCTTCCATGCCTTCCATTCTTATGGACTGTAAATCCCCAAACAAAAATGATGTTAAAATAGTTTTTTCAGTTTATAAGCATGGGGTTTTTCTCCATATTTGGATCTTCTTCAGTTCCTTTCATTAATATTTTAATTTTCTGTATACAGATATTTTTACCTCCAAGTCTTATTATTGTGAGGTAGTTTATTTTATTATGTAATTATAAGTGGGATTGTTTTCTTAATTTTTCTTTTCTGTGTTTCATTAACATAACTATGTAACTGTGCTGATTGTGTTTATTTAAACTCTCATTTTTATATATAAGGTGGAGTAACCTCCAATTTAGTCTTAATTAAGGTCTGTATTCTTAGAACACTTTTCAGCCCATGGTGTCCACATTTTGAAGATAAACCACTTTGTCAGAGGCAGCATTCATTTGTAGTGGAAGTAGAATTAAAGATTTCAATACTTCTGCTCATTCTATTGGGTGCATTGTTAGAGACAATGTCAGTGTTAGGGCTAAGATGTGATTATTGCCCTTTGTCCCTATTGTGATGGCAAAGCCTTTGAGACTTGATAAAAAAAAATCCACATTTGCCCTGCAAACCGTAATAATACAGGGCAGAAACTCTTTGTTTCTAGGAACCTTTGCACACTTGAGTTTTAAGAAAGTTTGCAAACATCTGGTTGCAGAAGTTTACAACCTTCTGGTTGCAAATCATGTTTTTCCAGTCTGCATGGATCTGATGGTTCTCTCCACCCCTGGTGCTACTAGAGCAGTGATGAGGGGACCTTCTCTAGTTGAGGTTTCTTGGTCCTTCAAGCTTCCTGGATCTGAGTGTTCTTCACTTAGTGGCATGTCATAGATTTCTTGAGCTTTCTTTATTCTTTCTCATTGTTTTAAAGAGATATATGAGGGTCTTACTTCAAAAGTCCTCTTTCAATTTACAAGGCTTTCCTTTTCTTTGGTTTAGTGTGTGGCTGAAGCTAATCAGTTATAAGTTTTGTTTTACTGAAAATTTTCTCTAGTTCCAAGACTTCTTTTTAGTGACTTCTTTCTCTCTATGGAAATTGTCATTCAGATCATGAATTATTTTGTTAATTTTACTAAATTCTCCTGTATCTCACTGACTTCCCCTGGAATAATTATTTTTAATTTCTCTTTAGGAATTTAATAGAGTCCCTTCATATTGCATTTCTGGTTATGTCACAGATTTTCTGTATGTGTGACATATGTCAAAATATTTGAGCTAATTAACTTAGAGAAAGGAAAGATTTATTTTAGCACACAGTTCCAGATGCTTCAGTCTATAATAAGCTTTGTTGTCTCAGATCGTGAAGCTAGGTCATAAATCATGATAAGTAGTTTATTGTAAAAGGTGATGCTCACAGATGGAAAGAGAGAGGGAGGTGCAGGAGTTACAGCATCCCTAGTTAGTAGTATACTCCAATGACCTAACTTTGTTGATTATATGTCCAGACACAAATACAGTTCTTCTAGCCTATCATATTTTTTGCTTTATAAATACTTGTAGCAGTCTGTTATTACCCTTTATTTTTCTTTGGGGTCATTTGTGATGGTTTTATTTTATTTATAATTGTATTGCCATTCTTCTTTTTTTAAATAGTATATCTTAACATCTTTCTCTTTTTTCACTCCTACTTTAGGGATGCCCTTGTTTTGATCCAAGAGAACATAAGAGCTTTTATGGCTGTGAAGAGCTGGCCCTGGATGGGGCTCTTCTTCAAGACCAAGCCTCTTGCTAAGTCTGTGGGTGTTGGAGAGGAGGTAGCGGGACTGAAGGAAGAGTGTGCACAACTTCGGAAGGCTTTGGCGAATTCAGAATCCCAGAGGGAGGAACTGAAAACAAAGCAAGGCTCCCTTGTCCAAGAAAAGAATGATCTACTTCTAAAGCTGCAGGCTGTGAGTGCTCCCAGCACCTGTTCTTTATGGCTTGCTTTAAATTTGACTAACTAGTTTCAGAACCGTTGCTGACTTGAGAAAAAATAAACATGCACTAGCTTTCTAAATACTGTACATTTTTATTAAACCGAGCATGTGGAAACACATAAAAAGAAACCTTGCATTAGAATGAAGTAATTTCATTGGCCAGCTGTCTTAGAAAAAGCCATAAATCTTAGCTGGGGAGATGCTCAGTAGATAAAGGACTTGCCTCAGAAACTATGAGGATAGAGGTTTACATACCCACAACCTACGAAAAAGCCTGGCAAGTGGAGCAACCCCAGCATTCAGAGCACTAAGATGGGAAATCCCTGGCACACACTGGCTAGATAGTTTAGCTGATCAATAATCTCTGGGTTCAATTTAGAGACCCTGCCTTCATTGATAAAATGGAGATCCATTCAGGAAGACATGTGATATCAACTTCTGACCTCCACACACATGTGTATACGTGTGCATGCATACACAGGTACCTACCACACACATATACATGAAAGACAAGTACAAGGAAGAGGCAACCTTGCTTGTCCTGGCGGCGGCTCCAGGCAGTCCCCTCTCCTTCCTCCTTCCTCAATTCTCCTCTCTGTTAGTCCCGCCTATACTTCCTATCTGGCTATCGGCCAATCAGGTTTATTTACATATAGCGATATCCACAGCAAGCAGCTGTCAGTCTCTGTGCCCACATCAGTTCTTCTAGGTGCTTTGATTTATATGTGGCACATTTTCTCACTTTTGGAAGTGTGCTCATTCTCTTAGGCCCCTGGATTTCTATTAAGTGCCTTAGAAGAGGTCACTTAATCTACTAAATGGGCTTAAAATACAGAAGGCTCTTCCAAACACAAGCAACATCTTTACTTCCCAACAGCAGGGTTAGGAACCTGGAAATGGTATTTTAGCTACCTATGAAAGGCAGGTAAAACTTCTGGGCAGAGGGCAGGTAATTATCTCCTTACTATGTGTTAAGCAGGCTCATCACCCAGCTGATAAATTACTTCCAATTGTTGGCAACAATCTTCTCCTCGTTCTTACGGCAGGAACAAGAGACCCTGGAAAATGCCAAGGAACAGTGTGAGTTGCTGATTAAATCCAAGATGCAGCTGGAGGACAGAGTCAAGGAGCTGTCTGGGAGGATGGAGGAAGAAGAGGAGATAAATTCTGAGCTGACTGCCAGGGGACGGAAAATGGAAGATGAATGTTCTGAGTTGAAGAAGGAAATCTATGACCTGGAAACAATCTTGGCAAAGTCAGAGAAGGAAAAGTGTGCAGCAGAGCACAAGGTACTTATTCTGTGGTGTTGGGAAAACTGAATTCTTGGGTGAATAACAGAAGTGCTCTGCTTTGTTAATTAACACAGTGGCCTGCAAATTTAGTGATGGGAGCCAGAATCAGCAAAAAGTGAAGGGTCTGATGAACTATATTTTTCCTCCACGGATTTCTAGTTTGAAAGTATGGGACCCCTTTAATGTAACAAATAAACTATTCCTGAAATCTAATAGAGCAAAATGGTTTCATTGGGCCTCCAAGCATCCCTTTGGGAACGAGAATGAACATGATGCCCTTTGCCAAAAGGTAATTTGGGATATGGCTAAAGCCCCAGCTTTAGCAGTGATTTTGAATCTGACCTTGAAGCCATCTCCTTAATTCCAGGTAAAGACCTGGGCTTTTTGCTTTAATTTGTGCTTCTGTATGGGGATTGACTAGTGAGGAGTCTGAATGAAGCCTTTGACAAGCAGCTAATCTCCAAGATATAACTGTACTTGGCAGATGATTCTACAATAGGTTCTGTGTTGCTTCCCAGGAGGACAGATGGCCAACTCCACCTTCACATGTGCTGTCTGCTGGAACCCTTCTTGAACTGCTGCATTTCGGGGACACTGAGGCATCATGTGATAGCACACGTTACCCAGATCCTCAACAGAAGTTAAAATTACCACTGATGATATTGTTGTTATACAGTAATGAGCTCTGAAAACAGTTTGCACATTGGGGTTTAGTGACCATGGTAGATTAAGGACCCCCTTTTTGTGGGAAAAATTGAATTTAGATGTCAATGGCTCTTGATGACATGAGATGCCTCATGAGTATTTTGAACTATGAAAGGGAAATGTTCTTGGTGTTATACCCAACTTTTTAGTGCTGGCTCTAATGGTGTCTGCCCACAGGTCAGGATCCTGACTGAGGAAGTGCACTCTCTCAATGAGGAGGTCAACAAACTTACCAGAGCAGTGAAAGCTGCACAGGAGTTCCAGCAGCAGACCCAGGAGCATCTGCACATAGAGGAGGAGAAACTCGGTAACCTGAGCAAAGCAAGCCTGAAGCTGGGTCAGCAAGTTGAAGCGGTGAGCAGCAGCGGGCTGACTGATTGGCGGTCTGACTTCATTGACAGTCTATCTCTAAGCTTTGCTTAGTTAATTTACCCTAACAGTTCCATGAAAACTCAGTAGCATAGCGAACTCACCACTGGTGGTAGAAGTCTTTTATTCTTAACATTCATAAAGACCATGACAGTGTGAGTGTAAGAATAAGTATAAGAATACTTAAATGTAGCTTTTGCACAACTCTGGAAAATGGGAGACAACACTGAGGTGAATAATAAAAAGTAACATCTTTGACTGAGTGGTTCTTCCTTACGTTTTTGTGTTCATCTACTTTTTCTCCTACTATTTTCCTCTCTGTGTTACTTAGTTCCCTTTTCTATTTCTATGGTTTGCCCATCTCATATAACCTCAATGTAAGACATTACAGGTGTTTGCATGTGCACATTCCTTGGTGACTTCACCCATTTCGGTTGCTCTAGCAAACTTGCATGGAATTCAGGCTTCTCAACAACAGAGATGAACTTCCCACAGTTCTGGAGACTAGAAACTCCTCACTCAAAACAGGCAGACACACCGTCTGGTAAAGACACAACTGTTGTTCAGAAGTGACGTCTTATTGCCTTGTCCTTACACAGTGGCAGCTAAGAGGACCTATATACTTGGATTTTTTTTTCTATTAGAGCTCTGTCCTCTTGACCTATGTACCCCAAAGGGACCTACCTACTAATGCTATTGCTTTGGAATTTCATCATGTTCTAGGGGACATGTGCCTCTATTTTTATAACATCTGTTATAGATGTTACAGAATTAGTTCATCTAATTCTAATTTTTATACATACCTTTGAGAAATATCCCTTTAAACAACTTGAATTTCATATATTTTACTAGTTATGGGAGATTGTTAAAAAGCGAGGCTACCAATAAACAGAGGGTAGTATTTTAATTGTTTCCCAGCTTCCTACTAAACCAACTTCTTTATCACTGTTATCAACATGAACTCAGAGACAGCTGGAATGCTCTGAGTAGTTTTGTACAATATCAGGATATAACAAGTGTTATGGACTAGAGGAAGGTGGAGAGTTTAAAGGGCAGTGGGCAGGGGCAAAACATCATGCCATGTGAGTCCCAGGTAGGCTGTGGATATTCATGGATGATTACACAGACTGATTACATACTGTAGTTCTAGAAAGCAGAACACTTGTGTTTTAAAGAAACACCCATGAGTAAATGGGACTTATCCACCCAGGAAATGAGCTGTCAGGTGAAGAAGTGAGCTACTTTTTCCAGGAAGTAATGAAATGGACAATTGGCCACTTGCTATTGGTTGCCACTCTAAGACAGATCTTATCATTTATAGTCTGTAAAACTTTCACCCATCATTGATTTCTAGATTTGTTTTGGTAACACACTGATGCATATAATTTTTATTTAACTCTTCAAATTTTAAAAATAATGTTTACTGTTTGATTTATTTGGTTTATGTGTGGTGGTGGTGTACATTTCATTTATGGTGCACATGTAGAGTTCAGATTGTAACTTAATGGAAGTTGATTCTTTCTTTCCAGCACATGGATCCTGGAGATCAAACTCAGGTCTGCAAACTTGTTAGCAAGTCTTTACCTGACCTTTACCTGCTCAGCCCTGCTGTGGGCCCTAAAATGCTTCTATGCACCATTTACAGAATTTGTTCCCAGACTTTTCTTTTTCTTGAAAGTGGTTAATGTAAGCAACTTCAATAAAATACAAACTCTGACTTTTATTTGGATAAGCAGGCTTCCTTTTTTTTTTCAGTTGGAAGGTGCCCTTGAACGGGAGAGAAAAGCCAGAATGAAGTGTGAGAGGGAGAAGCTCAAGCTGGAGGGTGAGTTAAAGAAGAACCAGGAGGATGCCGAGAACCTGGAGAGCAGCAAGTGGCAGCTGGCAGAACAGCTGAGGAAGTAAGCACCTTCCCAATGCCAAGGGATTCTGGGAAAATCTTAACACTGGGAAGATCAGTGTTCTTGTTTCATTTAGCATCAGGTTTCTAGACCAGAGACAGATATTTTAAGACCTAATACTAGAAGTTTAGGTGACTAGAAGTTTAGGAAAGGGATATTTTCAATACAATGGGCTCTAACACACAACTGGAAAAATAAAGATACAATCTAGAGAATATAGCAGAAAGCATCCACCTAGAAAGTGAAAATTTTGGAAGTAGTAACATAGAGGAGAGGTGAATTGTGCAAATGTGAGTCTACAAAAAGTAGCCTACTTCTTTGACTTGTGATGAGACCAACGGCAATACAAACACAATGAAAACCTGACTGTGATATGAAGCCTGGAGAACTCGATGATCACTAAGTAATATTGTTTTCCTTGTCAGATACAGTTGCAGTAGTATTTATGTAGACTATGAAAACATTGATTCCTAAAATAAAGTCATACTTATATGACATGATAAAAATTATGGAAAATTTCCATCGGTTCCCTTGGATTTTTTATACCCTATGGAACTGACTGGAAGATGGTTTTCTGTCTAGTTCTGCTGGTTGGTGACATATGTTTTAATGGTTTGTATCTTTTGTCTTCTGTTTATTAGATTTTTTTTAAAAAAATAACACTTAAAGATTTAGATTCTACCAAATAAGTGGAGCAAAAATAAGATCCAAATACAAGGTCAAAACTGAGAACATATCAAAGTTGGGGTCCACAGTTCATAAAGTAGTCAAGTGGCTTTGCTTGCATGCATGAGTTGGCCTTGAGCGTGTTCTTGGTGATGGTTGATTGTATATTCCTAACTTATTACACTTGACATGTGTCTGTGGTCATCTTAAGAATGCAAGGGAACAATATGTTAGAAAATGCCGACAGGGTTCCCTTCACAGTCAGTGTTGAAAACTATGTCAGTTTGGCAGAGTGAAGATAATACTCCATGCTTTTGCAGGCTGTAGGCCAGAGTTCGATTGAATACATGTTACAGGCTGATTGTAAAGTAAGCTCTGTGTGAGACCATGTATAAGCATGTCCCTTATATTATTATATGGGTCAAGTAAAGTTATATATGTATACATACAAATTCCTGTAATAGGATAGATTCTACAGTAAAGAAAATTAAAATATCCCTTCTATTTTGCACACACACACACACACACACACACACACACACACACACACTTATGAGTACTTAGAAAAGAGTTTAGAAGGACTCACACCAAACATGTGATCATGATTTGAAGAAAGAGACCAGGGATTATATAATATTCAAATCAGATGTAGATGTAATGGTTATATTACAGTAAGAATTCATATGCTATTCTATAATTTTAAAGTATTTAAGTATGTGTTATTATTTGGACAGATTATCTTTGTCACATTTTCCTAAACAGGAAAGAATTTGAAATGAGTCAGATGAATTCAAAATTGGAAAGTGAGAAGAACCTGGTATCTCAGCTTCAGAAGATGATGAAAGAGCTTCAGGTACCCAATTATCAGACAACTCTGTGTGCCAGTGTTTAGATCCACGAATGATGGTTGGCACTCCCAGAACTGGTACCCTTAGCCAGCTGTAGACAGAGGGAGTAAAGAGCAGCAGTTAAGAGGGTAAATGGCCTCCCACAAATGTGTGACCCTGGAGGGATAATTACCTCTTAATTTTAAATTTCTTTCTCACGAGAATAATAACAAGTAGCTTGTTCTTTGAACTTTTGCTGTGGACTAGTCCTTGTGCTAAATCTTGAGCACATAATTTTTAACACATTAATCTTGGCAGCTTTGAGCTCAAATGATTAAATTCAACGATATGTTTATGTGGGAAGAACAGTACATGACCCGCTGTGTCATTAGTTTAGTGTTTAACTTTTATGGTTAGAAAGCAATTAATTTAAAATTCAGTAGATTCTATAGCTATTCATAAACCCAAATCATTCTTTATTTGATAATGGATAGCAATTTGGAAATTTCAGACTAAGTGGTTATTTTACACCATATCACCATGTTATAAGACAATTAAAAGTACTGTTATGGCTATACACATATGCATACATGGTGTTGCATATACATTTGTATAGATTTTTTTTATGTCACATTAACATCTTAATAATACCTCCTTTTAGTGCTTATCTTCTGGGATATTTTAAGCCCAATAAGAAAACCAGTCTCAGGCCCTCTGCATAAGTGAGAGTTGTGTAGCTTGATCTGCTTAAGGGACCCCCTGGCAGTAGGATCAGGATCCATCCCTAGTTCATGAGCTGGCTTTTTGGCACCCACTACCTATGGTAGGATGCCTTACACAGCCTTGATGCAGGGGGAGGGGCTTGGACCTGCCTCAACCGAATGTACCAGGCTTTGCTGACTCCCCATGGGAGGCCTTACCTTTTCAGAGGAGGGAATAAGGGGTGGGTTGGGAGAGGAAGGCTGTGGAGCGAGGCACGAGGAGGGAAGAGGGGGAAATCTGTGGTTGGTATATAAAATGAATAAAAAATTTCTTAAAAAAGAAAAAAAAAAGAAAGAAAACCAGTCCCATTTCTTGTGAACAGGCTTTCTTTTCAGAAACAACATTAAACACCAAGCATTATACTTTCTAGGTACATCTTCAAATGATAGATGACTTTACCCAAAAGAAAATAAAACTCCCAACTTATCCAAAAAAAATTTTGTGTGTGCCTTAACGATTCTCTAAAAATTATTTATGAAGACATACTTCTGAGGATTTTGAGCAAAGCACAGTATTATTTGAGATAAATATTTCAGATTCAGTAACTAGTTGTCAGGGACCACATTTACTTGTGGGTAGAAATTACATTTTAGAAGCACTTGCCCTGGGATACCTTGTATACAAAACTGGTGGACTGCTTAGCTGGCGTGATCTAGAGAAATAGCTGTCTCTAAGCCAATTTATTTACCGTAAAGGAAAACATTTTGTAAATAGTCTTTGCTTTTCTTCCCTTCTCTCCTAACCTGTGCCTATTTACTTAAGGTGTTAGTGAATATTGCCACTCTTGCTGCACTGAATACAGTGACTCTGAAGGTTTCTAGCACTTTTTACCATTGCACTGGAGCATCTGGAGCTCCAAGTGTTCTATCAACACTTTGGCTAATACCCCTGCCTGTAATGGCATCCCAGATGACTGTTCACCTCAGTAGTTCCCATTCCTCCACCAATTCTAATTCACCACTGCAAATCTACTACTTGGAATCTGAGGACTAAGAAACCAATTAACCAACTTGGCTTGCCATGTGGGTAGGGTTGATAGATGTTGTTTCTTGAGGGCAAGTTGCTTGAATGGGTATTGATTCTATTGTCAGTTTCCCAAAGTCTATAATTATTAAGAGGGTTAAAAAATTTCAGAAAGATATTGCATATATAATTCACTATGCCATATTTTTATAAGCTCCCTGTGAAAATTGTTCTTGGCATATGAAATAGGTCCTTTTTTAAAAAGGGGGTGCTCTTTATTAAGAATCTCCCTCCTTGTATAATTTAATGATGTTGTCTATAATGCAGGGCTGGGGACCTGGAAGAATTGAAAATTGTAATTATGCTTCTTGGTATGACTTTGGAGAAAAATTGCTTATTTTCTCAGTGTTGAATTTCCTTTAGTTATAAAATAGGAAAGAAAAAAAAAGTCACATTTGCTTTTTAAGTTGAGACAAAATAAATGTAACAACCTTGTTGCATATAGAAATATGTCATAAGTAATTATTAAAAGTCAAAATTATTTATTTTTTTCAGGCTCAGATACTAAATTTGAAAGAGGAACTGGAAAATGAAAGGACCACTAGAGCCAAGGTGGAAAGAGAGAAAGCTGACCTCACCCAAGACTTAGAAGATTTGAAGGAGAGGCTGGAGGAGGCAGGGGGTACTAGTTTGGCTCAGATGGAGGTAACCAAGCAACAGGAAGCAAGATTTCAGAAGCTTCGCCACGACATGGAGGAGACCACGAGACACTTTGAGGCAACCTCTGTCTCTTTGAAAAAGAGGCATGCAGAGAACCTGGCTGAGCTTGAAGGTCAGGTAGAACATTTACAGCAGGTCAGGCAGGTGCTAGAACAAGAAAAGAGTGAGCTGCAGTTACAAGTGGATGACCTCCTGACCCGTGTCGACCAGATGGCCAGAGCAAAGGTAGAGATTTCCAAGCCTTTCTTAGAGGCATCTGAACACAGAAGTAGGAGGGGAGGGGAAGGCAAAGAAAATTTTGAATGATAACTAGAAATGTTGGCTAATGGAAGGGGCAAGATTTTCCTGTGCTTTATTACAGGGGTTGAACCTTGTCTTTCACATGCAGTGCAAGTACTCTATTGCTAAGTTATAGCCCCAGACACCTTGGTATTTTCTAAATTTTGAGACAGGCTCTTATCAAGCTGCCCAGGGTAGCCTGAACAAACTCTGTATCTCAGAAGGGCTTTGAAACTGCAACAGGTCTGAAGTCATGGTGGTTGCCCTGCCCAGTGATTCTCCTGGGCATCACAATAGTGGAGAATTGAAATTTGCAGCTACAGCAGACCCTCCGTAGTTCTGTCTGAACTCCGACGCTCTTCAAAACACATTTTAAATTTAAGGTGGATATAACTACATCTTCATACTTCTTGTACGTTATGGACCTATGTAGTTAACAGTGTATGGATATCATCAAAGAGTGTCTGTTAGTTATATTGTTGGTTTGAGCCACATATGGGTTGGCAGGAAAGAAAAGCGTTGGCATGCAGGCAGTAGACACTTAGAATATCCCTGGGCAGTGAGTCTTGAAGTCCACCAAGCAACATTGGCCTCTTCTTTGAACGTCTTGGCACTTGAGGTTTTCACATTCTGGTCTTGTGCTAGATGGAGCAGCAGATATGTGGTTGATACAATAGCTATTCAATTGGTTAAACAGTGAAATATGCTTAAATTCATGAGCACAGAGGGTTACTGAAAATTGGCAAATATGTAAACAAAAGAATAATTTTTTTGTTCATCTTTGGAAACTGCTGAAAAAGTAAATAACTATTTTGAAAACTCAAACTGCAACAAAGCATCTATGTTAGCCCCCGCCCCCAAGGTCTCTATGTAGCTCATCTCTGCTCTTTCTTTTCATCCCTGCGACCTGTCTTTACTTCCCCAGACATTGCTGAAAGTGTTCCCTTAATTTGTTCTCTAAGAGATCAGTAGTGGCCTCACTGTCCACAAGTCAGCACATGTGAAAGCAAACCCACCACGTTCACCTGCAGCAGGCTATTCCTTTTGTGCATTTCTGCCCCTGGCACCTGTTCTTCCAACCAGCCAGGCTCTAAGCCTCAAACATGTGCTTCTTCGTCTGTTCTTTGCTTTCCAATTCCTTATCCCAGCAGGTCAGTTCCTCACTGTCTTCCTGCTTTCTCCCTCATTCTCTGGTTGGTCTATTATCACTTTGCATCTGGACTGTTTTGGGTTCCTAAATTATCGTTTTTGTTTCTAACCTTTCATTATTCCAACCCATCCAATCCAATACCAATATAATACTTTTCTAAAGTATGAATTTATGGAGTTTTGAATTTCAACTTTCTGCTTTCAAGATAACCTAGGACCTATTGTAAGGTTCAGCCTCTGTTGCTACCAGTTCTAGATTCTGTTACTTTATTTCATTTCCATTCAAGTTAAAATGTTTGTCTTTCACTAAATATCCACTTCCCCATCAGCTCTTTCTTTCTTTTTCTCTTTCTCTCCTTCCTTCCTTCCTTCCTTCCTTCCTTCCTTCCTTCCTTCCTTCCTTCCTTCCTTCCTTCCTTCCTTTCCTGTCCTTTTTCATTTGTTCATTCATTTTTTGTTTGTTTATTTGAGACAGGGTCTCATTATGTAACTTTGTCTAGCCCAAAACTCACTAATTCACTATGTAGACCAGGCTGGCCTTGAACTCACAAAGATTCACCTGCCTCAGCCTCCCAACTACTGGGATTAAAGTTGTGTGCCACTATACCCTGGCAAACATCAGTTTTTTCTATGCTAATTCTCTTCTCTGGAATATTCAAGTTGTTTTTTCTGTATTAAAATTTTACCTGTTCTAGAGTTCTTGTAGCACTTTTGGGATATCTCTTGGACTGTTGCATTTCATCATCTTTTAACTTTTTTTAGAGAAAAGCTTCTCTACAGCAGAAACTATATTGTATTGCGTTCATACTTACAGTGCTTTGTGCAATCTGTGTAGTGGCTGGCATTAGTATCTGCCTTTTGCCCTAAGTGCCGCATTTAGACAGCAGAAATTGGCCTCATCTCCTAATTATAGGCATGTGTGTATATGATCACATTCTTTTGTGCTTCATATAATTTTGATAATATAAATTGATTCTGTGGGCTGAAAAAATGGCTCAGTAGGTAAAGTTGCTTGCTGCCAACCCTGGTAATCCAAGTTCTATCTCTGGGGCCCACTTAGTGGAAGAAGAGAACTGACTCCAAAAAGTCATCTTCTGACTTCCACATGAGCTCTGTGGCAGTTGTGTGTGCCTATGTGTGCTCAGGGTGCCTGTACACACACACACACACACACACACACATACACACATACACACACACACACACACACACAATAAAAATTAAGTTGTGCTCATTCTTAAAGGCATAAATATCACGCTGAACTTTTATCTGAGTTATTTACTTTATCATTTCCCAAGTTATATTGGTAAGACTGTAGTGCTCGATGGAAGTTGAAGCATTTTTAAGTGAAAAGTATTCTGATAGAGAGCCCCAGGGCAATTTAGAAGTGATCGGAATTCTCATAATTGTTTTTTTTTTTTTTTTTTCATTTTCTGGGATACGTCATATGTAGTCTTCTTAAGAAGGGGAATTAAGATGTATGTGCATTCCATTAACTTCCTCTTCTCTCATATCAAAATTAGTTATTCATCTTTAGACTTAAATTGAAATTCTTTTGAAGTTGCAATTCTTTTGCAAGCTCTATTCCTATATAGGCAACTTGTAGATAAATATCCATATGATCTATTACAAATCCTGATTATAAAGTGCTTTATTAATTAAAAATACTCTGCCAGTTGTTAGCACTTCTTGCAGATACACACCATGTGAAGCTATGCCTAAAGGAAACATTGCTTTTCTGTCTCCCCAGGTAGGTTGATAACCTGTAAGTATGTACAGCTCAGCAAGCTCCTCGTCACATGGGTGTCTGTTAAAATCCTGGCAATCTGTGGCTCATTTTCTTGCATTTTACCAGTGAGAAGCCTTATAGGTACCCATCATCTTTCACTCTTTTCAAACAGATATGCATATGTAACACAGTATACCCAAACTATGAACATAAGTGCATTTTACAACCCTCTAGGAGCTTCTTAAAAGCAAGCTCAGTCATATCTTACTTCCTGCAAATCAGCACATATAAATCCAAACCCACCACCTCCTCCTGAAGCATGTGCTTCCTTTGACATTTCTGTCCCTGGCACCTAGTTTTTCCTGGCTCTTCATTTGTAAACAGAGACATTATCTAAAAAGCCCATGGGTTGGAGTCATTTTTCATCAGAAATTTAAAATAAAGGTAGTTTATATAGTATTATAGTAATACATTTATCTAGTCTTCTAACAGACCCAGGACTCAGACAAGTGTGTGTCAACCAGTGCATCTATCATTTAATCTTTAACATCTCCTTCGTGATCACTTCTTCATGTCATATATATCTAAGAATTTAATATTTTGTGTTTTATTTCATATTTTTTCCTACACTGGCGGACAGGCAATTTCAGTTCAAATCCCAAATCTGATATTTACTGTCTCTCTAGATGTGATCAGGATCAGTCTCTAGGATACTGTTTTGTTTTAGAAAACTAAGTCACCTTAGACTTCTGAGGAAGAGTGTGAAGAAAGAAACAAACATGCCCACTGTAATTGTCAAAAACATTTTTGGATATGTGACCAAGCATATTCAACATTGAAGATACGGTTTGCAACTGTGGGTGACCTGAAAATGGCTACACTGGTCATGGTTGCATCTTTCTTTCATTGTGTGTAGAGTGTTTGTTAATTAATTAAGCACACCTGGCAGTTAACATTAATACTATGGCCACCATTATCCTGGTGGTATCGTATGACAACCTGGTCATTGATTCTCTGCCAGGTTTGGCTTCTCAACTACCAAAAAGCCTATGTGCACTGTAGAGCATCCATAAGCTGGAACTTCATGGTATTAGCCTCCCAACAGATATGCGCTGGAACTGGTTCTCCTTCTTCTTTGCTAATCTTAGGGTGATATCCTACCCACGTGATAAAACAAATACTTGGGTTGTATTTTATGAGGAAAGTTTGAGTATGACTTCAGTCTCTACATCAGCCAAACTCTTACTAAAGTCTACAATAATTTGAACGTTGTAGGCATTTCTTAAGTGCCCATTGTATGTCAGGTATTCATTTTGGGATGTAAGAAGGCACAAGTTAGTAACTGATTGTGCGAAGTTTAGAATACTTACTTGCATAAGTTTAAAGAGAGCTCCAATACAACAATCTCCAATACAGCACACGCTCCAACTAGAAATGGCCCCGAAGATTCCCACTGGTCTTACCCTGCACTGCCTCCAAATTTGCCTGATCGTGACCACTAGCGTTTTATAACAATTAAGCTAGCATTGCAATGATCAGATTCGCCACCATCTTTCACCATTCCACAAGCTCCCAGTGTTTCCTAAAAACCCAGAGTGTATGATTTCTCATTTCCTTATTCAATTTCTACAGTCTCCTCTCTTTAGAGATACAATGCACTTATGTTTTTTTCTTCAGAAATCGAAATTCAACACATATTCTAAAGAGCCTAGGAAAGTATTAATTAACTTCTGCTGTAGTTATTTTTACTATTACTGTCATCAGTAGGGAAGATAGAAGGCACCCGAAAATTATTTATAGATGAGTTTCACAAAAACCACAATTTAGAGTCTATAGAACCACAGTGCACACCAATGTAATTTATCATTTTTGTTCACATAAATAGTGAGAAGGCAAAGTACAATTAATTCTTAGGCAGTCACCATCTCCAATCTTGCATTTATCCCTCTCTGAGGACCTTGAGAGCCAAATTACTTGCATGAGTTTCCAGAGTGTGACAAGAACCTGGTGATTAGACTGGTGGCTTAAATCAGGGAGAAGTAGGAAGGCTAATCTATCTCTTTCAGCAAGCATGAAAAGCCAATTCAGAGAAGCTAAAGTTTGAAACTGAAATGTTAGCAGGATTGTCTTGAGCCTCAACCCTCTTGACCAGATGATGCAGTTTCTTAGGCAGGTTTCGTGCTAAGATAGTGAAGCTCAGATCCGTCTAGTTTCTCTTGTTAACCCTGCTCATCCTCTAGATTTCTTTCTACACCCTTCCCCTCCCTAGCCATCTTTTTCCTTCTACTATATTTACACTTTATTCTAGGCACCATGTATCTGATATCAAGTAGACCATTTACCCCCAAGAGACATATTTCAGTGGAAGGGAAAGCTAAATATTTAATATAGTAACATGAAATGATTATATCTGGCACTATATTGTTATTTGACATACTTCCTTCTCTAGAAGACTGTAGAATTCTAGAGAGGCTCCTAAAAGCCAGGGAATGGAATTTGAGTCTGAAAAGCTTTGCCTTTTTCTTTTCAAGGTACTAACCTTGGAATTTGTTGTGCTCACTTAATTTAAAAGATACATTTTCCTAGTGCTGGCAGTGGCCTTTACCCCAGAAGCAGAAGAACTCATACAGGTTCCAAAGCAAAGCATCACCACCCTCCCAATGTAGCTAATTTATTGTGGATTTTTTTTTTGCCAAGACTAACCTTTCTTTCTTTCTTTTTTTTTTGGTTTTTTCGAGACAGGGTTTCTCTGTGTAGCTTTGCGCCTTTCCTGGGACTCACTTGGTAGCCCAGGCTGGCCTCGAACTCACAGAGATCCGCCTGGCTCTGCCTTCCGAGTGCTGGGATTAAAGGCGTGCGCCACCACCGCCCGGCTTAAGACTAACCTTTCTTTTGCAATGCACAGGCAAATGCTGAGAGACTCTGCAGTGTGTCTGAAAGGCGCCTGAATGAAGCCAACACAAAACTGAATGAGGTGACTCAGTTAGCAAATGACCTCACAACACAGAAGACAAAACTCCAGAGTGAGAGCGGTGAGTAGACAAGTGCCGCCTCCCCTGTGAGTAACCCAAGGGACTCATGAGGCACAGCTGAGAGGATAAGTACCCAGAGACCAGTGGGCACAAAAAGTTTCTAGGGGGTGGGAATAATGCCTGGGGGTCACCTTGCAGATGTGCCCAATCTGTTGACACAATAGTGACTTCTTTTCCAAGGTCATGTTCAAGAACTGTGCAGTCTAGATACAAAATCTATTATCCCACAAAATCTTACTTAACGGTTTAAGTAAGTTTATCATTTGTGTTGAGCCATATTCATAGCTATCCTGAGGGAGGTTGGACATGTCTGAATGTCCAACATGCTTCTTGGTTGGGAAAGGTCAGCACTCTGTTGCTTTGGGAGGCCCTGCCAAGCAGAAAAGCAATGTGAAATTGTCAGAGTAAGTCCCAAGATCAAAAGATAGTTGGACTGTCCATGGTGCCTTTAGACATGATCCTTAGTATGACTTTTACCTCACTGAATCATTTTTAATCATGAGCCTATGTGATATTTATACTCAAAAAAATCCACAACTGACGCAATACTATGATTGTTCTTCTGTCATCTCTGGTGTTCTCTACCTGTTGCTTCTTTCAGTCTGCTTTAGCAACACAGACCTCTATGAGATACTTTAAACTCCAGGAACATCCCTAACCTTGAGTCATAGACTAGCTGTTCTGAATGCCTGGAGCACTTTATTCATCCCACCGAGGCTTGGGGATGACGGTTAGCCAAGGGGCTATGGTGGGCAAGTTAAGACACTCCTTAGATACCTTGGTGTTTGGACACTGTTAACCCACCCCCTCAACGTCCTTCTGTACTGCTTTTTCCTTCACATAGACTTCCTACTTGACATAATGACTGTCCTCATCTGCCAGAATATAAGTTCTAAGAGGGCAGGGATTCTATTTTGTTCACTGACATATGTCTATCACTTAGAACACTGTTTGGTAGTTGGTGTTCTATAAATATTTGATTAAAAATTAAATATAGAAAAGTGTCCCATGGCTATTACCACCAATCATTATTGATTTTTTAAAATTTATAAGTCTTTATATTGCAATAATCTATTTGGGATTTAAAAAAATAACGAAGTTTTTTTAAAAATTTTTTTGTTTTTTTGAGACAGTTTCTCTGTCATATTTTGGAGCCTCTCCTGGAACTCCCTCTGTAGACCAGGATGGCCTCGAACTCACAGAGATCTGCCTGCCTCTGCCTCCCGAGTGCTGGGATTAAAGGTGTGCACCACCACCACCACCACCACCACCACCAGCACCACCCGGCTAACAAAGTTTTTTGTGGCTTATATGCTCGGTCATTTGTAATCCCTATTCATAATCCATCAAAAAAAAATGGACAGTAGTCTAATTAGCCTTATCTTTATTTGTTTACTATGATTAGCATGTGAGTAGATATCTGTCTATAATTATATTTACTTTCAGTAGTATGTTTTCAGAGGTAGAATTCCTAGGTCAACAAAAATGCACAATATATTTGTAATTTCCAGAGATAGATAGTTTTAAACACTGAAGGTCATAGGCTTTATAGGGCTATTCTGTAAATATGCTCCTTTTTCTATTCTAGATCTAGAGTATTAAAATAAAATTTTATAGACCAAGGGATGTCTGAACTGAAGGTTTTTGTTGAGATGTTTCGGATACTAACCAAAAATAAAAGGACGTGGGCCCTGGGATAAATTTGTTACACTACCAGCAGTATGGCCAGATCATACTTGGACAAATGTCTGCAAGATCTCAAGGCAGGCTATATATGATGAAAACCCATGGAGAAAGGGGCATGTATTGCTTACACTGAACTACTACTACTTACACTGACTGTGGATAATGGGGCAAGCTAACAGCAAGGAAGAAAGAAAAGTACTGGGCAGTGAGGATAGTCTATGAGAGGAAACTCTTGTGCTTCTTGATCAGTTCTGCAAGGATAAAGAGGTGCTGTCTCCACAACCAATGCGACATAGTGTTTCATTGTACACACACACACACACACCCCTTATAGACTTAGCCAGAAGCTGTCAGTTAAACCAAACCTCTCTTTTATTCTCTTCTATTCTCCCACCTGAGTCTAAATTTAGAACATTTCACTATTCTTTATTTATCAATGATCAGGGCTAAAAGAAAATGAGTTAGAAAAGTGGGAAACCTAGAAATCTAGAAAAGGGAATCATTTCTGGTTCTTGTAAGGACACCAAATAGGATCCCTTCCCTATGCCAATGGGGGCATATACCTGTTAGCTTTGTTATGCATTCTGCTGTTTAATAATTCTTCTTAGGAGTTACCATTTCTCTACTGCATTTCACTTCAACCTCTCCTCCCCTCCCCACCCCCACCCTTTCTGGGCCCAGGCTCCAGACCTTCTGCTTTTTCTTTTTTATAGCTGCTACTATCCAAGTTTCTCATGTCTGCTTTCAGATGAGACCCGTACTACACATGGTCACTTTCGCCACAAGTGGGCATGGCTTCTGTGATGAAAGTGATTTCTTAACCTCCACCCACTAATAGACTTGAGTTTCAGGGATCCCTTGAAAATGATGTTTTACCGAGTGATTGTTGGCGTTTGGATCACAGATCCCCAGTGAGCCTCAAGACTCTTGTGGGGGATGGCTCTGAGATTAAAATAACCTCAGTAGGATACATAAAACCTGTTTGCTCTTTGAAATCTGTTTCCATTCGCATTGATAGTGCCTAAGCAATGATGATGAAAAGAGCCGGAGCCTCCCCCAAGGCCAGACAGTAGCATTATGATGCACTAGTGGCCACATTCTCTAATAGGTACTCACACTTTAAAAGTTTCACTTAAGAATGTCCTTAGCGAAGCAAAAGAATTGAGCTTTATCATCCTCTCAACTCTAAGTATGCATCTTTAATATTTTCTGTGATAAAACAAGAAATAAGTATAAAGAACTATTTCAGGCTGAAAATATTGATTGTCTCAAGTTCTGGCCTGAGCTACTATCTTAAGTTTTTTTTTTTTTTTAAATACATAGTTTTGCTGTGCATCCAGTCTAGCCTTGGGTTTGAAAGCCCCCTACTTCAGCTCCCTGAGTCCTGGAATTGCAGTGTGTCCCATTGCCAGTGGCATTTTCAGGGAACAGCATCTTAACTTGAAAAGACAATTGAGAATCAAACTAGGCTTATTCAGATCAATATATTTGGCAGTTATTTTCTAAAAATTAGCAGCGTAAGCTTGCCACTTCAAGCTTTTAGTCAAACTGAGAATTTAGAAAATATGTATATGGCATCACAACCTTTAAAGCTTTCAGTTGTTAAAGACATTTCTGCAAACATGATTTTTGTTTTGCTTGTGACTTTAGGATTCATTACACATGCATGTATGTATGTATGTAGATATATTCCTTCTTCCTGGGATTCTCAGTACATGGCTCTTATTATGCTTAGGATCTCTGGTGTGATGAGTGGTTTTTATGCTAATGAGGAGGCTGATATGCTAATGAGGAGGCTGGTATCAGGGCCTCCTAGACAACTTCAAGAAAGGGCCTGGTCTCCAGAAAGACCAAGACATTCACAGAATGTGGTACTTTTAGATCTACCTGATTTCTCTGGAGAAGAGAAGGGGTAAGGGCTTAATTGATCAGCAGTGGGAAGTGATTTATTTGACATATCTGTATAAAAAAGCCTCAAAATAACATAAAATCCGAACCAAATACACAAACTACAGTGACTAGAATCCAGGACTTCATTGTTGAAGAAATGGAGGCTTCTGGAGGGGGGCAGAGTGGAGCGGGTGCACATGGAAGCTCTGTGCTCCTTCTCCACACTCGGTCCTATGTGTCTCTTTCCTCTGGCTGGCTATTCAGTTCTAGTCTTTAGAATGTCCTTTTCAGTAAATAGGTAAACAGTGCTCACTTAGGTGAACCGGAGGACAGTGCTGTGGGAATCCTGACTCAGAGCTGGTGGGTCAGAATGTATGTATGACTGTTTAAGATTGACATGCTGATGGGGCATCCAGGCAATTGGCATCTGGAAAGGGGACAGCTGGGACTAAGTTCTGATATGTTGAACTGTTTTTTCCTTTGCAGAAGGAGTGACATAATGATCCAGTACTGAACTATGAGAGTTAAACTACTTCTATACCTATATTAGTAGTTTATCCGTATCTAGAGCACAGAAGGCTCTAAATAAAGGTGCTGATGCTATCTGTTATCAACTCATGCTTTCTGCTAAAAATTGATTCTTTTAGGGTTCCCTTCTATGTTTGGGAAAGGCTCATTGTTCTGGTTTTGCCAGTATGGGATCTCTCAGGCCTTCTCTAAATATAGAACAGTATTTGGGTAAGAGTCCTTGCAAGGGTCCTGAAAGTCAATGCGCAGGAATGGTAATCACTTAGAAGAAGCATAATTAACTTACCCTTTGAAACCTTTGCCCAGGTGAGTCCTTAAGAAGACTAGAAGAAAAGGAGGCTCTGATAAGCCAACTTTCCAGGGAAAAGAGCAACTTTACTCTGCAAATTGAAGAACTGAGAGGACAGCTAGAGGAAGAGACCAGGGTAATGTGTCAATCATCTCTCACCAGTCCCATGGTGTTTAAAAAAAACAACAACAACAACCAAAAACAATGCTTGGCAGTGAGCCTCAGTATGATCTCCTGAGAAAGAGAAAACAGGAAGTGCCTAGTGAGGAATTCACGTGTTGCTCCTTGTTTGGACCATAAAGAACTCTGATAACTAAGAAATTTTGTTTATCATCAAAATTTCATCTACAGTTTGTCAGATTTAGGGCAAGAAAGGTGTGTGTTTTCAATATGCTTCTTAATTGAACTGAAGGTCACTCATTTAATCATCCACCAAGAAGTGGTCCATTACCAGTGAGTTTTACTATATGGATGTGTAAGAGTTTACTCCTATTTGTTGTTTTCTGATTTTTTGTTGTTGTTGTTGTTGCTTCCCATTTCTTTTCTGATTTACGTTTGTGGTTTGGTGGTCTTCTGTTGTGATAAAGTTTGGTTCTTTGTATTATTTATACACTTGCATTACCATTGAGTTTTATTACACATTTGTGCCCCATCATTTTTTTTCCCTGGGAAGACATAAAGAAACATCTATTCACCACAGATAGAGAAGGTACCAACGTATTAAAGAGAAGATTTCTTCCAGGTCCAGCATGGTAGACCAGTGAGTTTATTGGGGTAACCTATAGGAATATGGGTGACTGGGAGATGTCACCAGGAAGATCCCTGGGAGACTTCTGGGCAGCTATACCAGAAGAGTCCCATATCATGAAGCTCTCAAAAAAGCTTCACCATTGAAAAGTCCTAGTAGGTGACATACTGGCAGCTAGACTACCCCAAACTCTCCACAGTCCCTGTCAACTTTCTACCTTCTTTGCACTTGAGAAGGAAAGGAACCTTTCTGGGCTATCACCAAGAGATTTGTGACCCATGTCAGTTCCCAAAGGTTGTGAGCCCATGGGCCTTTCCCCTCCCATTACAACCCAATGATAATAAGCCCCAGTCTCTAGAGAACCTGAAAGTGATCATAACTGCTCTGCTCTGAGATGGCAACAGTCATGTCCTATCCAGATCACACAGTGTACGAGGGCTTTCATAATGGTACTTCTTTTTGTTGTTATTGTTGTTTTTCGAGACAAGGTTTCTCTGTATTGCTTTGAGCCTTTCCTAGATGTCACTCTGTAGGCTAGGCGGGCCTCGAACTCATAGAAATCCACCTGCCTCTGCCTCCTGAGTGCTGGGATTAAAGATGTGTGCCACCACCGCCCGGCCCCTTTATAATGGTACTTCTTGCCCTTCCGTGTGGAGTTGCATTTCTTCATTAGTTCTCTGTCCTTCTTAGGAGACCAGTCTCACAATAGCGAGTCCTCTCCCCTTTGCATTACCCTGGATTGCCTTTATTTCTCCTTCATTGTTCAAGGATACGTTCCCCTCAGAACTTGATTAGGACATTCCATCTCCTCCTGGTTTGTAAAGTTTCTTCTGGGAGTCTGCTGTTAGTCTAATTGGAGTTCCCTCACATGTGAATTAGTACAGCTTTTCTAGTTTTATAACTCTCTCTCTTTGACTTGGATTTCTAACTTAGTTGCGTATGTATAATATCATGGTGCAGACTTTTATTGGTCAAAACAATTTGGTGTCTTCTCAGAACTCTTAGAATCTGGTGCCTGTTATCTTTTCCAAGACCAGTGAGATTCCACAGATAATCTTGTTGCATATTCCACCCTCACTTATGAGATTCCCACAATTGGAATATTTTTATTTAATGATAGTTCATAAGTCGTGGGAGTTTTCTTCATACTTCTATGCCCATTCTTTCAACATCATTGGATGTTGCTGCTCCTCACTCACCATCAGGGGATATGTGGCTAAAGATTCCATTAGCTCAGCCATGTGCTCACAGACAGGTGCCTGCCTAAGATGGTGCTTTTTTTGTTTTTTGTTTTATTTTTCAACTTTGTCAAGAAGACTTATGGTGGCTTATGGAAACCTTAGTCTCTTCAGGAGGTTATCTCCAGAGGATGATGCCATCTGGTTAGCCAGACCATCATTTAAGTGATAGAAATGTTCATTAAAATCTGCTCTGTTGTCCAACAAATACAGAACGTACTCCAATGCTATAGTTATCTAACTATAAACATAGGGGGTTTATTTTTCTGATGAATAGAGTAAAGTGGATAGATTAAATCTTCCTCTTTCTGGTTTAAACAAAATCTGACTGACATATTGTTAAATATAAATCATAGTACCTAAATGATATTGAATACTACTTTCATGTTTCCCACCATCTCTATATGCCAAGTCCTTTTGATATTAAAAATTTATGTAGTCAGGCTGGCATTTCCTTAAATATGTTTCATTCCTGCGTTAATGACAGTTTAGATACTTTGTCCCTTTTGCCATTTACCAAAGTCTTTCTTTAGTATTACCTGACTGAGTTTAAGTTCAACTTGAATTTTTTTTTTCTTTTTTGGTTTTTCGAGACAGGGTTTCTCTGTGTAGCTTTGCACCTTTCCTGGAACTCACTCTATAGACCAGGCTGGCCTCAGACTCACAGAGATCCACCTGCCTCTGCCTCCTGAATGTTGGGATTAAAGGTGTGTGCCACCACCGCCTGGCTTTCAACTTCAATTTTATAGGTGGTGTTAGATTGACTTGAAAAGTATGTCACTTGCAAGGATCTCATTGCTCATGGTAAAACATGCCTGCATTTTTAGAAAAGTATTTCTTCTACAGTCTCAGAGTGCCCTGGCCCATGCCCTGCAATCAGCCAAGAATGACTATCACCTTCTACGAGAGCAGTATGAGGAAGAGCAAGAGGTCAAGACTGAGCTGCATCGGGCTCTCTCCAAGGTCAACAAGGAAACAGCTCAGTGGAGAGTGAAGTATGAACACGATGCCATCCAGAGAACTGAGGATGTGGAGGAAGCCAAGTGAGTGGGTCCAGGCTCTTCTCAACCTGGAGTTGGTCCCATGCAGGAGAATGAGTGTAATGACAGAGTCTCCCATGGTGTGTGCTTAACGAATCTTCCCTGAGTTTTTAAATAGGTCAAAGACAAAATCTGAAATAGTCACTGCTGTCAAGAAGCACATACTCTGGGGGGGGGGGCAAAATATTATAATATAGGTGATTGAGACTATAAGACAGTCTTAGAGAAAAAAGGCTCTTTCTAGGGACGTAATAAAATTTTTTCTAGAAGATGGGACTTTGAGTTACATTTTAAGAATTGGGCCACTGGCCCTTGAAATCTTACATTTTATTTAGTACAACAATTAATTGATTTTATATATGTATGTGTGTCCATCGTTAGACTCCCTGGGTCTTTGGTACAGGACTTGGAGACTATCAAGCATTTTGTAGGAATGGGACAGTTGGAAACATGTTAACATTTATTGTCATGTCTTATGAGACAATGGCTCCTTTTGAAGACCCCATCCTTGGGCCACTCCTAAAGTTAGACTACCAGGTCAATAGCTAATGACAAACAATCATTTCCAAAGGAATTCAAAAACAACTTTAGGAGTTGGAAGACTAGCTCGTTAAAGACCCAGCACCGAAAGTTGAACTACAGTGCTTATTGGTTTATAGATCGTGTGACTGTGTATTTATGAAAGAAAGCATAAAACTAATTCTCTAGCTTACAACCATTAAGGGTTCACTTAAAATAATATGATTTGATAGCTTGGCAAAGACCCAAGAGCGATCAATACAATTCTTTTTGGCTTCAATCAGAAATAATGTTATTTCAGTTCCTCACCTGCATTGTGATTGGGGTTGCTCTATACTTGCAGAACATCTGTTGTACTCTGTCCCAGAAGGGACAAGTGATCCATCTCTGTCCACAGTAGCTCATGGAGGGCTTAAGAATGACAGTTGCTAAAAATAACTGCAGCATGAGTATTTACAAAACCCTGGACTCCAGAAAAGTGGCGTATTGACCAGAAACGCCTCTTTATATCCAAATCTGTCACTCACTTCTAAATAGGCTTTTTGTTTGTTTGTTTTCTGTTTAATGATTGAAGATTTCAAGTGAAAGTTTCTACTGATCATGCTAGTTGACAGCTGATTCTTTGGGGGTTGGATAGAAAGGAAGGAAAGAATGTAGAGAGTACATTTTGATCACATATATTTGTTGTAATTGGTTCTGTTGTAGGTGATAGCCAAAGAAAAATATTGGGTACCATGGTAATAGTCGAATGGTTTTGTTTTTATATTATTTGAATATTATATAAATAAGCTTCTATTGTATCACACTTTTTCTCCTAATCACTCTGGCAAGGCAAGCAGCTGCAGAGAAGTAGAAGGTCCTGTGATTTTCAGTTGGAGAGTGAGAGATCCTCTCCCTGAGCGTATTTAGTGGTTCTGCTCTGAGGATAATAATTTTAGCTTTTTAATCTCTCATATCCCTTTTTATAAGCTAGGCAGTTGAGTAAGTACATGCTGCTGGCAAGTTAAGGTGTAAATAGTAGTAGTTGTATTAAATGTAGAGCAACTTATCAATAAGATGAAAGGGATTAATTAGTACATCCAGTTTGCTATGGAATTTCTCAGTCATATATTATTAAAAGTCTCCAGTCTTAGTGAAAACCCTCAGTCCTGGGAAAACCAGCATAGTTATCCAAACCAGAGCGGATTTTCTGGAGTCCATCACTGTAGGTGTAGTCAAAATACACCTGGTGATTTTAGCAGCCTACTCAGCTAGTGTAAGTCTAAGAGTCTCCTGTTAAGGAAATGTTTCAAAGGGTGACATTATCAAGCCAGCGAACAAGGAAGGAGTAGAGCCCAGAGCCTTCCAGATAACAAGCACAGATTGGATTGTTTTAGGACCCTCACACAGGGAGCCTTATCATACCGCTTTGGGGGCTAGTTGTGTGGTACTTGGGAATTACTCAAGTCCTTTCTCAGATAGCTACAGGAGAGCAAAAGCTTCCGTACCATGCAGTTCATTTCATGGAAGAAAACAATGTTCATTTTAGTGAAGGAGTACAAGTGCATTTCTGTGGACTTGTAGGCAAGAAAACACACTTGATGTATTAGAATTCCCAAGAGTTTTGTCTGTACTGCTTGACAGAGGAAGTAGGCTGAGCACATCTCTTTAACATAGAAGGTGCTGCTGGACGACACAGAGGCTGAAATAGTGAGACCCGCTAAGGGAGCACCATGGTGGGCAGATCTGGGATGGAGGAAAAGACACTGAGAAGAGAGAACTGTCACGGTTGGGAGGCACATGATGATGGGAAGAGGATGAGCAGGAGAGCGCAGAGAGGGGAAGCCGTATCCAAGGAACTCTTTGGGACTACACTAACATGCCCAAGTATTTTTACGTAGCTTACTGTTGGTAAGATGTTCAAAACAAAAGCGTTTCTCCTATTTCCTATGAAATGTCATTAAAATCTATATTAGTTATGGAAGTGCTGGGATAAGCAAATATTTCTTCCTAGGAATTCAAAGCGAGCCTGAGTTCCAGATCCAGGCTGGTAAAGGCGGGGCTGGGGGTGGGGTGTAAAATCCATGTGGCCACAAGAGCCAGAAGCTGGAGTCAGCCAAGTCTGAGGACCAGGTGCTGCCTTTGGGATGGTTAGGCCAGTCACACTGGCTGCCCGGTGTAGTTTCAATCACTGTACTCTTTGGCTTTCTCCTCAGGAAGAAGCTGGCGATTCGATTGCAGGAGGCTGCCGAAGCCATGGAGGTGGCCAATGCCAGGAATGCCTCCCTGGAGAGGGCCAGGCACAGGCTCCAGCTGGAGCTGGGGGATGCCCTTTCTGACCTGCAGAAGGCCCGCTCCGTGGCTGCTGCCCTGGAGCTGAAGCAGCAGCACTCAGACCAGGCCCTGGCTGCCTGGAAGCAGAAGCAGGAGGAGGCCCAGGAGCTGCTGCAGGCCTCTCAGAAGGAGGCCCGGGCCCTCAGCACTGAGGTCCTCACCCTCAGGCATGCCTGTGAGGAAAGCACGGAGGCCCAGGAGACACTGAGGAGGCAGAACCAAGACCTTCAGGGTACGGTCAGCTGGCCTTGCAAGCAAAGCAAGACAAAGGGCTTGAGGAGAGGCTGGTTTGGGCGAGGCTGCCCTCGCTGCGTGGAGAGCCTTGGCATTTTCAAGTTCCCATCCATGTTTGACTTTCAAAGTTTTAAAACTTCATTCTGAAAATATTTACTGCGAATGTTATTTGTATTCAATGAATTCTAAAGGGAAGATCAGGCCTACATCTTTGATCTAATCCCATACTGTAGGGAAGCTACTCTGGAGAATTTCTTGATTTCCACAGCTTTGCTGAGATTTTCCACATACATATTCATAGGTCTATATTACCCGAATTATACATTGTTGCATACCATTTATTTTTCATTTATCAACGTATTTTGAATATAATAAAAATTTCAGTAACTCATGCTATATATTAGGTACTCTTCTACATTCACGGCTTATCCCTGAGATTAGCCTTCAAGTTAAGGTCTTCGTCTACAAAATACAAGGTTAGGTGACTTGTCTGAATCCACAGTTCATAAGTTATAGATCTGGGATTAGAGCCCAACCATCTGGGCTTCTGTCTGGGCATGTTTAACTGAGCCATGCTACCGTCCTCGTCCTATGTACCTTGTGGTTCTTAGTATGCCAAGCATGGAGACAAGCCACATTCTTAAAAAGAGAAACTACATAATACTCCATAATAAGTATAACTAACACCTATCTAACTAGATCTCATTAATTTAAAACCTGATTATACATAATTCTGAGTAATTATATACTATACATTCATGCACATGTATTTATGCATATGTAAAATATCTCAGTAGGATAGATCCATAGAAATGAATTTGCTGAGTTAAAGAAATAGACTTAAAAATTTTGGTACACTGCCAAGGAGCAACTAAAAGAGGCCGCCGAGTTATTCCAGAGCCTACAGTGATACGCATGAAAACCCCAAAATGTCCTGGAAGAAGTCTGTTACTATTGGAGGTGTGGGTGAGTCCTGTCTGGGGCCCTGCTCAGTCCGTGACTAACTCACTGACTGGGCAGTGAGATGGCCTACATCAGTGGCCACGGAGCTCAGCTAGGCACCGCCTGGCAACAGACAGCCACGCCTACCACAGAGCTTCTGACTCAGTGCATCTGATTCGGTGGATCTGAGGTGGAGCTTTGACTCTTTCTTTTTAATATGCTCCCAGGTGAGGCTAAGGCCACAGGTCGAGGTCCCATGTGTGGCTGGGATAGGGCTTTAGAATAACTTTTAAAATAAAAGTATTGGACTTTTTTTTTAAAGCTCTTTCGGATGACTGGATGCTATGGTATACCAGAGTTGAGAATAGCCAGTGTTGAGGTTTTTTTTTTTTTTTTCTCAGCAGAAAAGGAGTATAATTCACATGACCTCTTTTCTGATTTTTTGTTTTGTAAGAACTTTGGAGTTCTTTTTAAATTATTATTCTTTCATAATTCCATGCATGTATAGGATATATTTTAACCATATACATCCACCATTATCCCTTTTCTTATCCCCCCCTTCTGTTGAGCCCTCTCTTTTCTCTAACAGGTTTGCCTCTTACATTCCTGTTTTTGTTGTTATTGTTACCGTTAACCTGCTAAGCTTATTAGTGCAGCTTGCATGAGCGTGGACGTTTCCTGAACCATGGGCACGAAACCAATGGCTATATCACTAAGGAAAATAATTCCTGGTCTCCTAGTAGCCATTAACTGCCTACAGATGGCCAGAGAGGGGTGGGGCCTCTTCAACCCCTGCCCCATCCAGGATGGGCCCAGTCTTGTGGGAGTACTCACAGCTACTGTGGTTTGATGAGTGATTTCTATGTATATTCAAGAGGCAGTATTTACAACACCCACCCCTCCCACGCTCTTATATTATTTCTGAACCCTCTTTTGCCACATTCCCTGAGACTTGGAGGTAATAATATAGTTATCTACTGCGGGGTGGAACACTCACCCGTCACTTACGCTAGCATTTAGAGCAGCGAATCTCCGTATTAACTGCTGCCTGCTGCAAAGAGATGCATCTCGGACCAAGGCTGTGAGTAGCACTATTCTGCGAGTGTAAACATAAATATCAATAAGGCAATTTGACAGCATGTCCTTTCAGCAGAGCAGCAATAACAGGTTCCTACTGGGGCCTGTGATTTCCCCAGCAGTGGACTTTTGACCAGGTTTATAGAATCAGGTCTGAATTTTGTATTGAGGCGTGGGGCTTGAGTTAAACTAGCGGATGGTGAATTGAACAGGCATGTCTCCGTTGTAGCAGTGAGTGTGTCTTGCCTGTCAAGTCAGTATTGTACCATGCAGAGTCCACAGTGAGAACATTGATATAATATCCTCCCCAGCGGTCTATGTAGCACCTTCTGGAAGCTTCCAGCTCAGCTCCAGTTGGCTTTCTCTATTTCCTGCAACCAAAGCGTGTAGTGTCTCCAGAAATAGGGTCTTGCCATTCAGTTGTGGTAGTTAACCAAGACATATGTCAGTAGGCTGTGTTTTGTGGGGTGCTCTAGGGTCTCCCCAACAACAACACATGGGGATATATCCTACACCTGGCACTGAGATTGACCTTGTTTATCTTAGACCAGGACTGAGAACCAAATGAACAGGTGAGCTGTTGAGTTCTTTTTAAATCTGTGCTAGGTAATTCCCCAAGTTTCCTGGCTGTACGGCATAGCTTTTAGGTACTAGAGCCTCCTTCATGAAGTGTCAAACACAACTCCAACAACAGAGGGTCGTGTAGCTCACTTCTGTCCTCACTCTGTCAAAGGCTTTGTGTTCATAAAAGTCTAGCTAGAACTGCTCATGTGCTTGAGAGAGGCGTCGTCTTTCCAGAGCCCTCTCTGCTTTTCTAGCTTATCTAGAGGCATTCTTTGACTGCTAGCAGATGACAACCTGGCTTATGCTTAAGTTGTCTGTGTCCCAGTAGTGAGTGGTGGCTGGCACAATGGCCGCCAGTGGTGTTGACTCTCAAACTTGTCCGCTGACAAGGACTGAAGGAATTCCTGATGTGTTTGTGAGAGAGGGTCTCCAGGTGGAATCTGCCATGGCCCAAGCCAGCAGAACTGTCATGTGACGTCACACAGGCTGTCCAATGTACAAGACACCAAGCAGTCCCATTCTTGCTAATTGCTGAGCGCATCTTCTGGCAGATGTCCAAGGAAAACATTGAAGGAGGGATTCCTTTTATTCCCCTAATTCCAAATAAGGTTCTCTGTGGATAAGGGTTAGCCTTTCTGTGAAGTTGCTGAGAGCTACAGGGTCCCTGGAAAGACTTTACTTTTCCACTAACATACCTGATCTTCCCTCTTTCAGAACAGATTTGTAGTCTCACGAGCCAGGTGAAAGAAGGGATCAAGAATTTAGCTGACGTGGAAAAGGCCAAGAAATTGATTGAACAAGAGAAGACTGATGCCCAAGTGATGCTGGAGGAAACAGAGGTAGATGACCCGGGAGGGGGCCATTCTTAGAGGACAAAGCATGTCTGCTATCATTAGGAATGACAGCCACCATGCCGTGGCACTCACGCAGGTGTTTGCTATATGCTCTGCACCATGCCAGATGCTTTAATCAACCCAGCAAACTCTTGTCTCCATTTTACAAGGGAAACTGAGGCTCAGAGAGCAAGATAATCACTAGTAAATGCAAGTTCCCCGACTGTAATGAAAACACAACCATGACGTGTTTATTTACTTTATCTCTAGCTTAGACCCTCACAGACCGTATGCATGAACATCCAGGATTTTGTTAGACTTTCAGAATATCTGCCCTGTCCCCAACTTTATTGAGTCAGAATCTGTACTTAAACTAGGTCCTTTGGGGCTTCCTTGAGTATTAACATGGAGTCATATTTGCTGGAACACTATTGGCCCATAGGGTGCTCAGTGTATATTTACCCAGAGTTGGAACTATAAATAGATTTGTATCTATGCCTGTTAACGACTCCCATCCCCAAATCTGTTGGTGAGATGAAATTCCCAGTGAAATTCTCAGACATTCAGCCCTCAAAGGCCATCTGTGTGCAGACTCTTTGATGGGGATGTTTTGGGTGTCCTGGAAAAAAAAACTCGTGCTTCATCCCTGGATGCGGACTAGGTAATTGACAGGACCACTGAGATCTGATGCCAAAGAAGATGATGTCCCAAAAAGGAAGTTATCCTTCCAGAGTCACCAGGTGGTTGATGAGTCATTGGCTCTACCGAGACTCTTTGCTCCCAACCGAGTTTCATCTCGAAGCAGCTACTGAAAATCTGTCTGGACACATTGGAATCCACACACCCTTCCAATGGAGGAAATGAGTTTGGAAAGATGTCCAAGCACTTCCCGTTACAGCTGCCTCACCACTACAGCTCTATAAGAAACTGGCAAAGTGGAAGTGCCACCTCACTCTGGGTGCAGTTTTGAAGTAAAGTTCTCTTAGCCCAGTTATTGCTCTTTCTTATGTAAACATTTCATGAGGATCTCTTCATTGTATTGAAAACCCCTTTAATTGGTAGAGTACCCCTTAGGAAGGTTTGTTTGGGCAAAGTTGATGAACTTTCTTTAATTCTCTTTGGGTCTCTGGCCACTCTAACTGGGGACTTTCTACAGCTACCACATTAAATAAAAGAAGTAAATTTTATTGTATATTTAAATACTACAGCAATAAAATATGGTTTTAGTTTTGTATCGTCCGTTGGGATAGTTGTGTGTTAAGTGAACTAGCAACCATTTCAAAAAACTATTAAGGCCATAAAGCTCGTACCACTTAACACCACAAGATGGCAGCATACATCGCGTTGCAAATTCAGCCTCACAAATGCTTTATCACTTCGCACATGTATTTGTAACTTGGGGTTATTTATTTTTTGGGGTGTGGCTTTATGAAAAACTTAATTAGATCCATGAATCCATAAGACTCAAATGATCTCAGGTCACCTCTAACCATTCACTTTCTCAGTACATTCTAGAGGGTGAGTTTCCCCTCAAAGAAACTACCATTCCCTCTGAGGAGATTGCTATCTGAGTATTTGCTTTTGATTTATGTCTGTCAGGAATGAGACAAGAACTAAGGGGGGCTTCTTAAAATTCACAACAGCTTATTTTTTTGGTTGTCGTCTTCGATGTTTGACTATTACTACGTGGTTTTACTCTTTGCGGTAGATAATATCACTCCTCAGAGAAGATAAGGAATTATCCCCACTCTCGGGACTGTCTAGAGTTAGCTGGCCAGCAGCTTGCACTGCACATGTATGCTGCTATATTATCACTGTTCCTCAAGTATTTTGTTGTCAGCGTGATTGGACTTCTTTTACACGTATTTTTCTTGGAAAAGGATATATATATATATATATATATATATATATATATATATATATATCCCCTTGGAAGAGGAAATTTCTACTTTAAAAATTGAATAACCCTATAAGAACATCCCTGGAAATAAAGCCCCTGGCCCTTATTATTTGAATACTCAGTCCCAGGAGATATTCCTGCCTATTAAATCCCTCCTCTGTAGTAATAATAATAGTTAAGATTAAGAGGCTCACGTTGAAAGTGTTATCTGCTAAGTACTTCCTAAAGGTCCAAAATAAATAAATACCCCAAACAGGCATTAGCACCTTCCCTATTCTAGCCTTGGTGCTTTTATTGACTCATCCCAAAGATGGAATGAATTAGAAATATTTAGGAGTACTAGATGTAAGTAATTAAATATCAAATACAGTAACAGACTAGATTGAAGTTTTCTATTTAAAAATGCTTTAAAATTTTAGTTCTTGATATATACATACATACATATATATTCTTTATTGATACTGAGAATTGAACGCAGGCCTTCATCCAATCCAGGCAAGAGCTCTATGATTGAGCTGTATCTTTGGTCCAGCCTTAGGCTACTATTCAAAGAGCAAAGGATATCAGAGCTAGATATGATGTGATGAATCAAAGCAGTCACTTGTCCTTGTCTAACTTCAGGGGCCTGTCTTGAATCTACCTCTTTGCCAGGAACTCAGAAGAGAACCTCATTCATGATACGTGTTCTAAGGGAAGAAAATATAACTTTTGTTCAAAAAGAGACTTCATTGGATGCTTTTTGTTACAGGGAGCCCTGGAGAGGAATGAAAGCAAGATTCTTCATTTCCAGCTTGAACTCTCGGAAGCTAAGGCAGAGCTGGAAAGGAAGCTGTCAGAGAAAGAGGAAGAAACAGAGAAGTTGAGGTACTCAGGATTATGTTGCTGAACAACAGCCATGAATGTCAGAGTTCCAGAATGAACAGAACTCACTGCGGGGCTGCTTTCATGGCCCTTGCCAGAGCATGGCCAAAGACACTTGGTCTAACTTGACCCCAGGATTTCCCATTTAGTGCATCCCTGTTTAGAGAAGAATACTATACAGACAATTCTCACTCTCGTGGTTTTCTGCTCTCCAGTGTGGGGAGGACTGCATTGGGTAAAGATCACCTGTGGTGTGTGGGTCTGCTTCTCTGGGTAGAGTCCCATTTGGGTGGAGTCTGGAAACTGAGATGCTGAAACATGGAAGAAAGGACAACAAGTTTGGCATGGTGCTTTCAAGCTAATGTTAGACCAGAGAGAAGGATTCCTTAGCCCCAGCCTGTTCCCTGGGAGAAAGCAGAGTCAAGAACAAGGCTGTTGAAATAGTGGAGTCTTACCTGCTAGGTCACTGTGGGAGACAGGGTTCCCAGTTGCTGGACCCTTTCTGTACTTCCTTGTAACAAGCTGGTGGTTCTAGACACTACACTGCTTAGATTCTCAGGGAAGGGACATGCCATAACCTACATGCCACAGAAGGTGGTGAGGGTGATCAGGAAGCTGGTGCTGGCAAAGTGCTTTGCATCCTACAGATTACAAATTAAACACTTAGAGGTAGGAAAGAATAAATTACCTTTTGGGCTGTTTGCTGTTCCCTTAACCTAGTGGTTCTCCACTTTCCTAATGCTGCCACCCTTTAATACAGTTCCTCATGTTGTAGTGACCCCCAACCATGAAGTTATTGTTGCTACTTCATACCTGTAATTTTGCTGCTGTTATGAATCATAATGTAAATATCTGTGTTTTTCTGATGTCTTAAGTGACCTCTGTGAAAGGGTTGTTTGACTCCCAAAAGGGATCTTATCCCACAGGTTGAGAACTGTGCCTTAACCAAAGCCCTAAGTCTGCAAAGAAGATCATAAAGTAGTCTGAGGTTCAACTGGCAACTTGTTCTCAATGTCTTTGTTAAACAAACCAAACAAGCCCATGCCATGTTAACACATTCTGTTGAACTAGGCTTCTTCCCATAGATTGTTTTCTATCCAAACTTCCAGATGGTCAATATTTAGTGAGGATTCCAAGCCAAGCTTATCCTTCTGTGTGCTCTGAGTTAACTCAGCCCTCATGCACAAGTATTTTCATGGAACTGGCTCTAGTGAAGAAATTTGGTGTATTGATGAGTATCTGAAATAATTCTTTGATAAAGGGCAAACATATAAAGCCCTAATATTTGTGCTATTTTTGTACACAAGTAACAAAAATGAACATCTCCTTTTGGTAGTTAAAAGAAAAAATATGTTTGATCTCAGGTAACGTCAAACCTCAGCTATAAATAAACCAAGTGAGGAAAATGAGTCCTCAGAGAGTCTCTGTCGTGTCAGGTACATCTGAATGTCGGAGAACAGTCCCCCAATTATAATCATCAGTGCAAAGGAAGTCAGAGACGCAAACAGCTAAGGTGAAGAGGAGAGAGCTGAAGGGAACATGAGCTGTGATGGGCTGGAAAAGGAAGGGGCGGCTAAGGCTTGGGCACAAGCTCAGTGTAAGCTTTAGCTGATGACTCACAGTAGCTATAATCAGTACATCCAGCAAGGACAGATGAGCATCTCACAAAACATTGCACACACTGTCCCTGACCCTCCCTGCTCTGTGTGGGTGCAGACTGTAGCAAATGCCTTGCGCTAATCTAGTGGTTTGTTCTGAATCTGGGGCTAGAATAAAATAGAGTAGACTACAAGGGAAATATACCCCAAGCATAGAATTCCAAGCAATCAAGAATCACAAGATAGAGTTTAGATCTCAAAAAGCTACCACCTGAGGGCAGGATGAGGTTGAAGACCCCATGTTCACATCAACCATGTGCATTACCACAAAAACTGAAGTTGTCTATTAAGACAGTATCTGGAAAGTTGAAGGGGCCAAGATGCAGCAGAGAAGGTCAAGCTTTTAGAGTGCAGCACCTATGGACCCTTCCATGTATTCTCGGATGTGGAACATTCTGTCATTCCGGTGAGGAACACTGAGTGAGGCTGGGAGAGAGCCTAGTTGCGGGGAAGAGATCAACAGCTGGTGTGAGATATTCACCTCCTGACGAAGATGTGAGCTCTCAGCGTTGGCAGGATGTTTCATGTAGTGGTGGAGTAGTCGGGACTTCTAAGCTCAGAGATGGCTTGGATCTTTTACATCTTTATTTATTTATTTATTTATTTATTTATTTATGGTAGAGATAACTCATTTTTAAAAAAAGTTCCATTTGCTTAGCCATATTATCAAAATAGATAGCCTTTAAGAAATCTACGATAATCTGAACACAGAAGCAACAGCCAAGATATCAAAAACACCAGTTTTCTTAAAAGATAACTGATTTTTAATTGGTTTATTTTTAGTTAAAAATTCTTTTGAGAATTTCATATATGAGTACTGTATTCACATAACATCTATCCTCTCTTCCCCCTCCAATTCTTCCAATTTACCCCATTCTCCCTCTTAAATTCATGACCACCACCCCTTCTCTTATCTTCATCACCATCATCATCATCATCATCATCATCATCATCATCGCCAGAGGATGGTATTGGATCCTCTGGAGCTGGAGGTACAGGAAGTTGTGAGTTGCCCGATATTGGGTGCTAGGAACCAAACTTGGGTCCTCTGCATGAGAAGCAACAGCTTGTAAACCACTGGGCCCTCTGTGCAGCCTACAGTGTCTCATTTTTCTTTTAAAGACATGCTTGAGGGAGCTCCGACTTTAAACGCTTTTTGGTCCTGTGTGAATGGTGTTTGCAGTCATCACTTAGGCCCTTGTCTTTGGTGCTCCTTAACATTTATGAATTTTCTCAGGTAGCTACAGGAAATCTGGCATTTGAAACACTCACTTTGCTGAAACAGAATCTATTTGTGGATAGAGAATTGGCTGGCAGGCCACACAGGCTTCAGTTTCCCTGGTAGGGAGAGTTACCTGAGGAAAAAGAAGGAGTTCCCCCATTGGAAATCAGGGCAGTGTCTTCAGAATATAAGTGATGTAGAGTATGCTTATTCGTTGACTAGTTTGCAAGGGATGCTGTCAAACAAAACAAACAAACAAACAAACAAACAAACAAACAAACAAACCCCACAGACTGGATGATTTATACAATACAAATTCACATTTTCACAGCCTGGACACTGTAGATCTGAGATCATGATGTGGACGAGCAGTTTTTCCCTAAGACCTCTGTCCTCATCTTGAAGGCAGATGGCTGCTCTCTCTCTGCATTTCCACAAGATCTTTCTATTGGGAGGATGTATTTCTTCTGTCTTCTTCTTCTGAAGACTCTGTGCTATTGGATTCTGACCCTTCCTCAACACTCTCGTTTTACCTTCATTGCTTCTTTAGAGACACACTTACATAGGTTTTTGAAGTCCCATCTCGAAGCACAACACTGTGTTTCCGGTGCTTAAGGCTTCAGCATTTGGAGGCTACATAATTTGATCCATAACAACCTCATTATCTTTATATGCCTGCAAGTTTCTGGGATTCTAATCTGTGAGATGAATGCACAGTACCTAGGGATATGCACTAAATGTAAGACGGAAGACCAGTTTTAACACTGGGTTAAAAGTCAGTATGAAGTAAAAGTTACTATGAAATAAAAAAAAGTTACGTCCCTTATTTTTCTATAACTACATCTGTTGCCCTTTCACCCATTATAAATGTGGTCATGAAAAGTGGAGGCCCCTACCTGTGAACCAATAGCAAACTCCAGCCGTAACCCTACTAATAGTTAGTGGTGCTTCTCTGATCAGCACGAGAGGTCAGGACACACTCTATGGCAATTCAGTGTGGAATCTGACCCATGACAAATACACTTTAGATGTTTGTTGTTATCACCTCTATCAGGATAAAAAAGATAAAAGAATTCTTCCTTCCACTCATCTGTCTAGGACTAGGGCTCTGTTGCAGGGAGTTTAAGAGGACATGTATTTTTGGTAGCAGTTAAAGTTTCTTGATGAATAGCCACCAAATACTGAGGAGTTAAAAGGGGTGAAGTTAATGTTTTTTCTCCTTGAAACCAGAGTTTGAACTAGGTTAGAATGGAAAGTAAGCCACTAATCAAAGTTGTTCCAGAAACCAAAGTTTTCCTACCTTTGATAGCACAGGTAAGGAGGAGAGAGAGTAGATTCACACAATCGGTATGACTCAACCAACACCTTATGGGAGAGGCTTTTAATGGCCCATTGCACCACAGTCCCAATTAACAAATTAGTAGTTATTCCCATGGTACCCAACTATTTGCAAGTAAAAATTCCCATGATTTTCTCAAATTCTTCTTTGCACTCTTGAATGCAATATTAACTGAGCTGGTAGCACTTTACAATTATGGTTTTGTCCAGAGCTTTTGTTCTTATAAGAGAATATTAAAGTATTTCTATACTATATAGGATTTAGTTTTCTCAACTAGCCATTCTCTTTCAAACTCCTAGAGAAAGAAGGCAACACACACACACACACACACACACACACACACACACACACACACATACACACATACACACACACAAATAAACAAAAAACCCACTGAACTCATGTTATTATTGAAGACTGTAGACCATTAGAACAGTATGGCTAGATCTCAGGGCTTGTTTTAATCTCAACCTCAGTAGATCTTCCCTGATGTATTCAGATTTGATTTTTGTAAACACTTGGAAGTAGTTTAAATATTATGTTTGTCTAATCGAACATTCATTCTTCATCTGTAGACGCTCTAGGAAATCTAGAGTTTATCAGCCTTGTTTTGGTTAGGGCTTCTATTGCTGTGATAGAACACCATGACCAAAATCAACTTGGAGAGGAAGGATTTATTTCACCTTACCACTTCTAAGTCCATCACTGAGGGAAGCCGGGGCAACAACTCAAGACAGGAACCAGGTGCAGGGATTGGAGTAGAAGCCATGAAGGAATACTACCTATGGACTTTCTCCCCATGGCTTGCTCAGTCTGCTTTCTTATACCACCTAGAACCATCAGCCCAGGGATGTCACCACCAACAGTGAGCTCTGCCTTCTCATATCAACAACAACAACAACAACAACAATAATGTTAATAATGACAGTAGACTCATTAATCTAATGCTTAGCTTCCTCCATTTATAAAATGGAAACTCTTTAGACTCATTTTGTTAATCTCTGAGAATATTTTTGTTTTAATATGTTTTCTGTAACTTGAAAAATGAGAGGTAGCAGTTTTTAATTTGGGTGTGTGATGGTCTTCCCAAATGTTGCTCTGCAATCAGGGAGAAGCATCAGCAGGCTCTGGGTTCCCTGCAGTCCAGTTTGGATTCTGAAATTTCTAGCAGAATGGAGGCCACCCGGCTGAGGAAGAAGATGGAAGAGGACCTCAAGGAGATGGAAATTCAGCTTTGTGCTGCCAAACGGCAGGTGTCACAGACAACTAGAGCCTTGGGCCAGCTTCAGAGTCAAATGAAGGTACCTTCCAACCATACTAAAGGACAGAGATAGACATAAACCAAGTGACAGAATCCATTGGGCAGTAAAGAAGGAAACCACAAATCTCACTCTTCAAGAAGGCTAGAGCATGCTTACCTTAAAATAGGTGGAACTCTGCCAGGATCATGCATGCTCAAGGACATATCCCATTCTGTGAGTGGGATATTAGATAGGAAGAAGGAATAGACAGAGTGTAGGAAGCCAGCTGCTTCCACAACACCATGTGGGGCATGTTTACATCAGTATGTCAGAATGACAGTTTCATTCATAGCCTCCTCTTGGTGCAAATGGTAGGATGGGTACCATTATTTGAGGGCAACAGCAGAGATTTTCTTGTCAAATAGGAACTTTCTTGGAGGTAAATTCTCTCCTGCTCTAAAGAAAATTGTGTTTTATAACCTAAAGTCTAACATAAGCCACCAGGCTAGAAGAAATAAGACAGAAATTAAGAACAAGATAAGGAAAGAGGAGGAATAACTGACTCCGTAGTGAGCCATCACTACATACCCCTCAGGACAGTAGCTGGTCTTGCTTGCTGTCTGATTTCTAATGCAGAGGGTTTAACTTTCTGGCTTCCTCTCTGTCCCTTTCCTCCTGGCAACAGCTTCCTGCCCTGTTGCTCAAGACACTTTCTCTCTTTGACTTCAGTAAACTGTCCTTGAGCTACCTCCCAGGGTCGGCTTGGAAAGCCTTTTACTTATGAGATCAAGAACTTGGAACCTTGTCTCTGCATCGTGGTGCTCCCCGCTTCCCCTGCTAACAGTAGAACTTAGAGGGATCCATGCCTCAGGCCCGGGTTTTCTCTTGCAGGAGCTCCAACAGCAGCTGGATGACAGCACGTACCAGAACAAGGACCTGAAGGAACAGGTGGCTCTGGCTGAGCATCGCAACAGTCTTCTTCAGTCTGAACTAGAAGAACTGAGGTCTTTGCAAGAGCAGACAGAGCGAGGGCGCAAGCTGGCAGAAAAAGAGCTCCTGGAAGCCACAGAAAGAATCAATCTTTTCCACACCCAGGTAGCACACGTTCATCTTCTCTATTAGCTGGGTCAGTTGGTTGAAGGAAGCAGTTCACATCCCGGGACCGGCTAAGGATCTGTATGGTGGCCATGTCAAGTCTTAGGTGTGGCACTAGATGCACAAGACCGTTACACCTTTCATCCCAAGCATTAGGTTCCCAGAGTAGCTGTAACAAAGCGCCACCAACAGATGTCTTTAAACAAGTTTATTTTTTCACAGTCCTAGGTGCTAGCTATCCACATCTAGGTATTGCAAGAGCCGTGCTCCTGCTGAAACTCACAGAAGACTCAGGTTCTCAGGTTCTCTGTGCTTCTGACGGTTTCCTGACATGCCTTCTATTGATGCCCTGTTTCAGTTCCTAGCCCTCATATGCATTCTGCTTTTGTCTTGTTCTTCTGTGAGTGTGTCTCTGTCCAGATTTCTCCTTTATATAAGGATACACCATATGGGATTATGGCCCACCTTAATGACCCAGCATCAACTTGATTACCTCATTTAAAGCTTTATTTCTAAATAAGCTTGTATTCTGCAAAACTAGGGCTTCAGGGTTCAACATATGCTTCTGTGCGCATGGTGGGGAGTGCCGTGCAACTGTAACGCTAAGCTTTCTGCTTCAAGAATGGACTGTCAGGACATTCACAGCCAAGATGGCAGAGGAGAGAGAAACATTTCTTATTGGTCTAAAATTATCTGCTTGCTACCTTGTTCCCTTGTTCCCTCTCAGTGACTAGATTCCCAGCATTCTGGGAATCTTTCACAACCTTATTAGCTTCTCTCACTCTTCTGGCTTCCCCTGTAAGGTTGTGCAAGTGGTGATGAGCAGGATTATTCCTAGATCATTTTTCTGAAAGCAGAAGAAGCCACAATGACAGTGACAAATGCCTATAGCAAGTGTGTCAAGCACTGAATATTTTTAGGGCACATGCACATGCAATAGCTTAGATACATGTACAAATAATGCCCTCACTGTCCCCAAAGAGGGGAGATAGAAGTAAACAACCATACCGTACTGTTAGAAGTACTATAGAGGACATATGACTCTGCAGGATGCCCAAATAATCCTAAATAGGTCGGGCAGGGACATAGTAGTTTTCTTCCTAGTCATGAAAGACATGGAAGAAGTGGGACAAGGTGGTGGAAAGAAAAAGTAAGGAAGTGGATGAAGTTGGAGAATTTGGAATTTAAGGTAAACTCATATAGTAGAAGACAGTGCAGTTAGGAGAGATGAGAAGAAATAATGTTAAGAGACAGGTAGGCTTAAGGTACCAGGACCTTGAGTGTGAGACTAGTGGAGCTTGAATTTGATCAGCAGATAATTGGAGCCACTGAAGAATTGTGAGCAGCTGGGGGTGAAGTTGTTAGATGCACACTTTGGAAAGTTTACTCCGGTGACCATTGAGAAGGATAGATTAAAGCCTCTGAAGTCAGTTTGCCACTCTTGGGAGTGTTGAAAATATCTTGGGTCATCTTAGTTGTCATAGTGACTGGGAGGTGCCATTAGCATTTTTCTGGGCAGGGTCCAGAGACCTCCTTTGAAGTACCCTATGTTTCATATCACAAAAGTATTCCTGCTGTTCCCAGAATGTCAGTAGTACCCTCACTGGGAAATGAGTAAATCAGAGCTGTACCTGCCACAAGGTGTTACAATTACTCTGTGTCTACAGTAAATTCTTGAAATGACATCATCTTTCTGGTTGCTGTGGATCAGGAACAATTATGTTGTAGGGTATGCATAATTATTAACAGGTTAACTCATTTCAACACATGCCTTTGTGTGTATTGGTCAGTGTAGAACACTTGCCTTGAGTGTTCAACCCATTTGCAACAGAGAAAACCAAAACCCAAACCAAAACCATAACAAGTTCTTTTTCCATTAAGGTTTATCTTAATGAAATGTGGCATACTGGATCATTTTCTTGAAAATATATTACCCATTGTTGTAATTGGATGTTTCCTGTCCTGACTGCCCATTCCCAAATACCCAGTAGCCACTTCCCAACTTACCACACATAGGCTTATATTAATTATAAATGCTCGGCCAGTAGCTCAGTCTTGTTACTAGCTAACTCCTATACTTATATTAACCTATATTTATTTTATGCTTTGCAATGTGGCTCATGGCTTGTTACCTCATTTTCTACACATCTTGCTTCTCCAGCAGCTGGATTGCATCTCCCCCAACTCTCCTGACTCTGTTCTTCTTCCTCCCATCTTTCTTTCTGTGTCAGGCTGTCTCACTACTCTCTTCTTGTCCTGCTGTTGGCCAATCAGTTTTCTTTATTATTATTAATAATGGGCATAATCCACAGCACATTGTCTGCCATGCATACTAACTACTGCTGACAAGTCACTTGACATGCATGCTGTAACTGATAATGTACTGTATGTCCCAATGTGAAGACAGAGGTGGGAAGAGAGGGAGGGGAGGAGGGAAAGAGAGAGAGCGAGCGAGAACAGCAGGATATGGTTTTGAGGGAGGAACATAGAACAGTGTATTGTAGTATGCTGCTTCATTTTTTTTTCAACTTGACACAAACTGAAGTCAGCTGGAAAGAGGAAACCTTAGTTAAGAAATTGCCTCCATTTGATTGGCCTGTAAGCAAGTCTGTGGGGCATTTTCTTGATTAATAACAGGGCCCATCCCATTGTGGGTCTAGGCAGGTGGTCCTGGTTGTATAAGAAAGCAGACTCAACAAGCCATAGCCTGCAAGCACCACTCATGCATTGTCTCTGCATCAGATCCTGCCTCTAGGTTGCCTGGACTTTTCTTGGTGATTGACAGTATAAGCTGAAATAAAATTTTACCTCCCCAAGTTGGTCAGTGTTTTATCACAGTAATAGAGAAGTAAACTAGGACTCTTAGTTAATGATGCCTTGGACTGTAGGGCAGTTTCTGAAACTTAAGAGTCATTAACACGAGCATTCCAATCCTTGGATCTCACACTACCCTACAAGATCCTCATCTCTGCAGCAGATGCAGGCTCAATAGACTCTCAGGTGCTGCCCCTGTGTCCAGCATTCATCTAGGAGACATGCACTCCTCTTAAAGACCTCTTGCTTTGAACAGACATCTGAGTACAACTCACACAAATGATCCTCTGCACCTAATACCTTAACTTTCCTCCTTCTAAAAATGGGAGCAGGGAGACATGGAGGCATTAAACCTGCAGAAAGGTTAATTGTCATCTCCTTAGGAAAGTTGAAGCGATTGCTACACAATCGAATCAGTGTTTAGACTTGTACCATCCTCCACCCTGAGAGACCTCCTACGGAGTTATGTGCAGGGAGAACCCATAAGATACTTCAGGAAAATACACTTCATTTCCCCCCACCACACTGAAGGCACTGGAAATCCTGCAGAGCACAGGGCCTGCCCCTCCACAGGATGGAGAGAGGCATTCTTGATGGTGCTGTGGGAGGCAGGCAGAATCTGTGAGCCTGGGCTACCTTCCTTCTTTGTTCAAGGCTTAATCTGCCTGAGAAAGGCGATAACTGGAGGAAAAGTGAAAGGATGATGAGAAAGGACGAAATGAAAGGAGAAATGAAAAGTGGGAAGCCCGTGCTTTCTACACACGCTCTTTGTGCTGAGGTTTCACACGCTCACAAAAGCCTCGCTTCAAACACAGGGCAGATGTAGCAAAGGGGCCTCGGCCTCCAGTGTGACAATCAGGAAGAAACTGGGGCAGCGTGGCTACAGATCACAAAGGCCTCCCTTTAATGGTGTCCTAGGGGCTGGGGCTGGCTTTATGTCCTCTGTTTCCCTCCACCTCCTCCTCCTCCTCACTGCAGAGTAAGACAGGAAGGCAGGTGGGCAAAGAGGGGAATCCATTTTCTTCCTGCAGCAGCATGCTGGAATCCTCCAGGTGGCTGCAGGTGACTCTGACTTCTGCTCTGGGACATTTCTTTCTATCACACTGAAAAAGCAGAAAAGCATTCCTCGATAAGTTAAAAACTAAACCCATATTCTGGCTTTGGATTATTTGAAATGACCCATTCTGATTCAGGATTCTGTCTCTTTTCTCCTGGCAGTGGTTCTCAACCTTTCTGATGCTGCAGCCCTTTAATACAGTTCCTCATCTTGTGGTGACCCCCCAACTATAAGATTATTTTCATTGCTGCTTCATAATTGTAATTTTGCTACTGTTATAATCATAATGTGAATATCTGATACACAGGATGGGTCTTAGGCAACCTCTGTGAAAAAGGTTTATCCACATAGGGGTCGAGACCCACAGGTTGAGAATTGCTGTTCTAAATGAAACCCCTTCGTTTGATTGCTTTTTGTGCCCAAACCACCACCTGGGGCTGGAATTCTTACTTAACTGCATATGGCTGATGATGATAAATAGCTCCTACCCAGAGCTACTTGCCTGTGCATTGCTGGTCTCTGGTTGCCTAACTGGAATGCTATTCTTCCTTAGAACACAGGTCTCCTCAGCCAGAAGAAGAAACTGGAGGCTGATGTTGCCCAGATGCAGAAGGAAGCTGGAGAGCTGTTGCAGAGGTGTCAAAGGGCAGAAGAAGAGGCCAGCAAGACAGCTGCTGAGGTGGGCCTGTTGACTGTCTGCTCACTTCTGTCCTCCAGAGTTCACTAGCGCTATAGCCCAAAGGCGAGACCTGCTGCAGCCCACATGGATTTCATTGATCCTCATACAATCAGGAGGAGGTTAGCTGACCTGTGGCTTCCCCATTAGCCAGAACACTTAGGCCAACTGGCTGTTGTCTTCTAACCCCCACCTTGACAATGAGAAGGAGTGACTGAATGTCTAAAAGCCAGATCCTCTGAAAACAAGAGTCTTTTTAAGGTTAGCTATTTTTTTTTCAGTTGTGAATCAGTATAACTGGTGTCTAGAAAGAATTCTTCCTGTGCTTCCTTACAAATTTTCATTTTTCTTGGGTATGTAATGGTTTTATGCTGATCATGAGAAGAGCAGTCAAACCACTTATGGTTTACAATCCATACTATTACTGGGGTAGCAAAACTAGACTGGGAAGGCAATGCTTGGGACTGGTGAGCCTGCTTTATTGGTAAACTAAAATTTTTGATGGTGGCATTTTCCTAGATGGCACTTAGTTCAGGGTTAGTTGCCAATCTCAACAAGTTGCGAATCTCATTCACCCACTATGAGCAGATGCTACGCTTCTATTAAAAGGCATAGCAAAAAAAGGGGGGGGGGCTGGAGAGATGGCTTAGGGGTTAAGAGTGCTGACTCTTCTTCCAGAGGACCTGAGTTCAATTCCCAGCACCCACATGGCAGCTCACACCTGTCTGTAAGTCCAGTTTCAGGGTACCTCGACACCCATGGCAAAACCACAAATGCACATAAAAGTAAAAATATATATAAAAAAAGGCATAGCAAGTGAATAGTACTATTGAGAAAAAGTTATTAATGGAGAAAAAGTGAAGGTTGTGTGTTCAGGGCCTGGGACTGGACGTCTCATGACTTGTTACGTAGGCCTGAGCATGATTTCAGCCTCTGCTTATCTTTTGAGGGCTTTTCAGGAGTCTGTCAAATGTGTGGCTATATGCAGCATCACATCCCTGCTTTATGAAAGGAAGCTAGTCCTCATGTTTACAATGTTGTGAGAACTGAGGAGACAGGGCTTTCATCTAGATTTTACATAAACAGTGATAGTAATGGTCCTACTTCTTAGGAAAGTTAATGTTTGAACATGGAATGTCTCCCATTGGCTTATGTGTTCGAACAATGGGTTCGAACCAATGTTCGAGCCAACGGTGTTATTTTGGGATGTTGGGAACCTTTAGGAAGCAAGGCCTAGCTGGAGTAAGTGGGTCCCTGGGAGATGAGTGTCCTGGACAATCTTGATGCTTCCTGACTGCCAAAGTGATGTAACCAGCCTTGTCATGTTACTGCTGCTGATGCAGGGATATTTCCATCCCCTTTTGGGGTTCTTAATCTCAGAGTTTGAGAGAAAAAACCCAGGACAAGCTAGCTGTAAACTTCAACTGTTATCCAGGGGTGGCGAATGGAGGATGATGGATGGAAAAAGCCACACCATTTAAGCTGGCCTGGAGCTCAGACATGTGACAGACAAGTGGCCAGGGCACAGGGAGGGAGGCATTAAGAAAGAGTACGAACGTCCACCATTTTGGGGAAACCCAAAGTGTTAAGGAAAGCATGCTTAGAAAAAAGGATAGAAAGAAGAAAAGGGAAAATGACATGTTTTTTTCTGGGTAATTCAGTAAAATGAGCAGGTGTATGAAGTTACACATCTATGGTGTGGTAAGCTATTGCCAAGGAGCCAGGAGTCCGAGAACAAAAAGTGTGGTATCTCATTAAAGGAAAAATTATCCTGCCCATCTCTTCTTCATTGTAGTTTAAGGTAAACCCTCTTTCCCAGGGGTTCTTCGCTAGGCCGAGTGACTGATGCCTCCACCTAGATAGAATGTTAAGCCTCCACCCAGGCCAGAGAGTCTGCTTGCTTGCCCAGAAGGGTTTTCCCACCGTCTAACAGTGTCACAGCTGCAAGCTGTTCCTGCCCCCACGTCTTCCCACCAGGTGGATCTGTTTCCCCTGAGCCATGAGCCATGAAAATCCTTCACCCCGTAACAATTGTTCCTGTCAAACATTCACAGCAACAAGAAAGTAACTGATAGACATGTCGGTTTCCTATTTTCGTCATGACTTCTTGTTATTATAGAAAATTTCTGAAGTTGGATAGCTTTCTAGAGCAAAGAGGCTTGTTTAGCTTGTGGTGCTGTGAGTTTAAAAGGCATCGTGCTAACCCTGCTATGGTGAGGACTTCATGGTGGATGGTATTGCACTGGAGAGAACACAAGTGGGAACGAGCTCTAAGGCTGTCGGAAATCAGAGAGCATGGGTTCTAACCATTCCTTTTGAGACATCCCCGGTTGGTCTAAGGCTATCCCATTAGGTGGCTGTTCTTAAAGATCTTAGCTCCCAGTATCACCATATGGAAACCATGCATAGTGGCAACCAGATAGAAAGATCTATTCTTGGACTAAGCACACAAGAAGAGGAATCAGCTTGAATTGTACTGAGAAGCCAAGTCATTGTACATAGGGTTAAAACCCAAAGTAGGTTTCATAGCTTACCTTCTTTGTGTCAGATTATTTGTATAGAGCGTGTCTGATGCTATCAAATTCTTGGAGCCTGAATGTGTATACAGTAGTAAATCAGAAGATACATACTTTTATAGGTATTTTACTACATTTTTCTGATGCCTTACATGACAGCAGTTATTTTACTCAGTTACAGATATTTCCCCATACTTTATTCAGTTAAAAGCCATTCACACAGTCATCTTGCTTTCAAGATGTGTTCTGTCTTGTATACACGACACTTTGTTTTAGGCTTTTTTTCCATCAATAATCACCCCATGTGGCTGCTTCAATGTCTACTGGCTGATTTGATCAAAACCCAAGGGAAATCAGGGATTAGAGAGAGCAGAGTGGAAAGAGATTAAATATACAGAAGTCAAGCATATACCCCCTTCCCCTATGAGGTCAGGAACCAAAGCTCACTGGAATATGATCAGCTGCCTACAGGATTATCTAAGTCACTTTCCTTCCATCTCTCTTCTTCATTTTAAAGGATTTATATGTCTTTATTTTATGTGTATGAATCTTTGCATGCATGTGTGTGAACCACATGTGTGTCTGGTGCTCCAGAGGCCAGAAGATGGCAATATATCTGCTGAAGCTGAAGCTCTCCAGTATGGGTTCTAGGGACCAAGCCTGGGTCAGATCAAGAACAGCGAGTACCCTAACCACTGAGCCATCTCTTCAGTCTCTTTTGCCTCCTTTCTTAGGCAGCCAACACATTGGAAGAACTGAAGAAAGAACAAGACACTAGTGCTCACTTGGAGAAGATGAGGAAGAACATGGACCAGACAATTAAAGACTTGCAGAAAAGGCTGGATGAAGCAGAACAGACAGCTGTGCTGGGGAGCAAAAAGCAAATCCAGAAACTGGAATCCAGGGTAGGAGTTTGCTTGGGTAATCGTGAGGGCCTAACACTCTCTGTTCAAGTCCCTAATGTCCCGGAACATCACACCTCATCACTTGGTTTAATGGCACTTGCAGATTCTGAAAGGGTCTGATCTGAATACATTATTGTTTGACCTTGGGCCAGCCAATACGACTTTCTTGGGTCTGGATGAAAGTTGTCTTCCCTTTTACTGATGGATGAGAAAACGTCTTCTCCCACTCACTAGACCCATTCTAGGCTCTATGCAGAGGGGACAGACAGCCCACTCTTTCTAAACACACCTTTGCAGTCTCTTGCTTCTGGGACAATGTTCCTGTCATTTTCTTTAAAGAGAATGCCTGTTTCCTAACAGCTAAAGAAAGGAGAGATGAAACACATTCATGACCCAGAAAGACTCAGTGCAGATATAACAAAGTCTGATACAAATGATGTGGAGTCTACCTTACAGGAACTACATAGCATTTACTAAAACTACCTTAAAAATGGGATTTTTAAAAATTCCTGCATCAATTTTAATGACTATGTATATGAATACAGTAAACTTCACAAAAGTTGAAAAAAAATGTTCTGCTGGGAATTAATGGTTCACAGGGGCCTCTGAAAAGTGTTATATCTACTTTTGCACATTTCTGGAACATTCATACAGTGAAATACCAATATAAACCCATGTTCTATCCAAACAGTTGATTAAAAAGAAACGAGGAAGGTCTCAGGAATATGTTCTGGAGATTATGAGTAATAATGTGACGATAATGAAAGCAAGTGTTACAAAGTGTTGATAATCTGCTCATGAAAGATTATTTTGTCAAAAAATAGTAATAGGATAAACACTAATAAAAAATTTACTAGCTCAAGGTAGAGAACAAAGAGATGGAAGTTAGATCTTTGAAATGCACTTTTTAGGTGTTTTGATGGAAAAATCATGTAGCTTTTTATATGTTTCAAATAAAAGAAAAACCAAGTTTAATTCAACCCATCCATCCTTAAAATGTAATACTAATAGAAAAACAGCTAGATATATATCAAGCATAAAATAAATATAAAGAATTATTCCCAGTGACCTTTAGCATAATACCTTTTAGTACAACCCCTATGGAATATGTCTTAAAGACAAACAAGCGAAGCTCACAAACCAAAACAAGGCAAAAAAGCAAACTGCATGTCTTGTTCCAAAATACTTTTTTTCATTTAATATTTATGCATACATAAAATAATGTGTTTCATCAAATCTACCTCATCTCCTTCCTTCCAATTCCTCCCTATCTGCCCACCACTTTTCCTTATCAACATTATATATGTGCTCTCTCTCTCTC